CACTTGCAGTCGAGCAGGAGAAAGCGATTGTAGGATCGAATCATCTAGAGAGATTTTCTTAGTCTGACGCGTCGTGAAGGCTATTCGGCAAAGAGAACGACAACGACAAAGGGTCACAGTGTTCAGGGAACTCAGCAACAACAAGTTGTCAACAACAGGGCTCGTTGTGAAACCGTGCTCGATGAGCACGAGTCCCAGATCCCAGATTCCTCAGTCACAATCCAAAAACACAAGATCAGTATACCAGTCTGCTGTAGCAGTCAATAATTACTTGTCCCTCGCCATCAGAGTCCATTGACGGTGATGGGAGAACACGAGTCGCCCATGGTCTGAACCCGGGACCTGGTGAGCCCTAATCCTCCTTTTTCCAACCTTCCCCCCTTTGTCCTTCTTTTTCTTGCTGTATCATTCTGGATTTCAAATGTAGGCACGCTGCTCGTTGATATTGTAGCCTTGAGTGGATATTTTGTCCAAAGTGCGGTGGTAGGATGGTGGTGATGGTGAAGTGGTTAAGGAGAGGGTGGAGTCTGCATCATGTAGGGCAGGAGCATATCAGAGTTCGAAAGGGAATAGGTTGCATGTCTGCAGAATTCATAGCATCTTGTGGCGGCTGTAGAGAAGAGGAAAGTATGTGTGATGCGTTACTGTGTTCAAGAGCATTGTAAGAGTGTGTGGTGCCGAGTCACGCTTCGGTGACAAGAGACTCAACTCAGCTAGGGGCTCTAATTCCTAACTTTTCAGGTCATGGATGCTTGCAAGGATACGGCAGCTGGACCCGCTGAGGCGTCTCATGGAGGTACCTGCGCACACAAACGAGTTGGTCTGCAAGACTTGCTCCTGAAGTGCGACATCGCATGAGGAAAAGCATTCGGGCTCGGCGACACGACGGGTGGACAAGGAGGAAGGGCTATGGTGCGTTCTGCCTCACCCTGGTCCAGGAATTCAAAGCAGAGACTTTGTCTTACGATCACCGGGCTGCCGCGGAGTGGCAACAGGCAGCCAACAGGTCTCAGAGGAGGCCACGGAAAGTTCCTGTAGAGGTTGGCGCCCCCCCTCGATCCGCCAGGAAAAAGACATCAGCTGGGCGCTTCTTCCGCTCACGAGGGGATGGGAACAGTGGCAGAAATAGCCAAAAAAATTTCCACCTGAAGGATCAAGGTGATAACTGTGACGATGCAGGCCAGGTTTCCTGATCAAGCCCCTCCCCACCCACCAGCAAACCGGGTGACGGAGTTTTCAAGCCGTCGCAGTCTGTGCTCGACAAAAGCAGTGTATTGGACTCGACCGTGTCGCGCTATGTAGGGCTGTGTAGCTGGAAATGTCGCGGGCTGTCGGGTATTCCACCACTATTCACCACCCATGCAGCAGCCGACGGCGATGCGGGTACCTCTTACCCATACATACTGTAGCATTCCTGTAGGACCAGAGTGACCGTTCAGGGCTAACCCACCCCAACGGCCACTCTTCCCCGTCCGCCTAGCGCGTGGCCATGGCGCTCCCCCTCGTCTTTCTCAACCTTGTATTCTCAAGTCAGGAGAGACGTTGCTTCCGGGATGGTAGATCCCCGGGTTGTCATAGCTGATTCGAGTCGCTTGATGGTATAACACCATGAACAAGTACACCGATCCTGGGAAAAGGGGGTTGTATCTATCGCGACAGCAACCTGGATCGACGTGTGCTGGCAGCTGGCCGCATGCGCTTCTCGTTCCATGGTTCACCGCCCCTATTTCTTTCCATCGCGAGGAGCTTAGGGTCGTGAAGCCACCACCATGACCCGTTCAACATCCAACCTTTGTAACAATGATATTGTAACTTCAGTCGGGCGAACGAGCGAGGATGAAAAGGTGGTCGCGTCCCATAACCCGTTGAGGCCAGAGCCAAATTCCCCTCAGCACTTAGCCACAAAACGACCTATTTCGCCAGGCAGGTTTGTAAGGTTTGGGCACCAGGGGCGGCCCGCTTCATTGCCTTACTCCCAACGGACCATTGGGTGATCTCCAGCCACTTCGAAGATGTTTGTCAAGGGGGTGGGTCCATAACGTTCTGTCTGCGGCCGATGAGAAGTTTCCCAACCTCGTCACACTGACCAATGCATCTAGCAGAGGCCCAAGAGGCATAGCCGGTGTTTCTGTAGAGAATTCACGCTAGTTCGCGTGAGGTGGCACGGCGAGGCCAACACAGAGAGCAAACAGCATCCTAGACAGAAAATCCGGGCGAAACGGGTCACGTCCCGGCTTCGGTAGAAGCTGCTGTGATGACGGCAGACGTGTCTGATAACCACAACAGGTGGTTGAGAAGCCTCAACTTCTCGATGCTCGGTCGGTGGCTTGACGACGAGATGGACCCCTGAAGGGCCTGGAAGTTCTTCTGGGGTCTGAAATATCCTCGTGTCAATGGAAACCATAGGGGAAACAGAGCCGACGGAAACTGCTGGGGGTAAGATGCGCCTTAAGGCGAGTCCACCAACAGGCACCGGAACGTGCAGAAATGCAGTAGCTTAGGTCCAAGCCCCTGAAGGCCCCCGCGTGGCTGCCGTTCACTTTCTGTCTGTCGGCATGGCGTGGACTCTTATCGTGTTTTGATATAGCGGTGTGATGAACACACGAAGAGAAATTAGTGGTGTATTACTGGAATCCGTTGTGTGGATTCTTGTTCAAGAAGAGGGGAGTGAGTGTCTGGGTAATCAGGAGTTCCTCAAGTATAAAATGAGCAGCCCAGCCGCAGTAATGATCCCTCACACTTCCATGTCCACGCTCAACAGATATCTAGTTCATTAACAATTTATTCTGCATTGACCAAAATGGAAGCCGTCCGATTGGAAGTCAGGGGCCGTGATGATGATGTTCCAGAAGACGATTGGTCTCATGGTGGGTGGAAGTCTGTCCCTTTTCTCTCGGCTGTCTAGATTGACGATGAAATGCAGTGTGCTCGAGGGATACCTCGATCGAGCCAAGCGACGACCACAGTACGGGTGGCAGTGGCGGTGGCAGTAGCAGTGACATCTTCGAGAACCCTGATCGTAACATGCAGATCGATCATGTCACTTCGAGTGAAACAGACCTTGTTGGTGTTGGTCAAGGTGTGGCTCGTTCATTGGTCGACAGAGGGCTTGAAGGAAGCCCACAGGCTTCTTCGTCCTTCGGAACACAGTCAAGCAATAACTCGGAGGGAATTGAGCCAGGACAGCCAAACATCCCTGAGGAGCAACCAGAACGACGGCCCATGGGCCACGACAGCAGAGCCCCCAAGCGGAAAGCACCAACGGAGCCTACAGGCCCATCTTCAGAATCACCTAAGAGGGCTTGTCATCGCAATGATGAGAGGGTCTCCTCGAGCCAAACAGTCAGCGGCGGTCCTAGATCATGTTCATGATCTTTACTGGAGGCAGATATCACGATCAGAGAGAAGATTGATTCAGCAAGGCGGGGCTGGTTGTCGAAAGCAATCATCAAGCAAGGCCGAGGCTGCTTCCGGCGCCTCCTTCAGACTAAGGATGATACAAGAACTCATCACCTAGGACATGGATAGATCAAAAGTAATGTTTACATACCAAGTTGTGTTCCAGAGCTTTCATCGTGGTGTATCTTGTAGCACTGGTGAGCCTCGCAAGGTATGTAAACCAGTATTGGTGACCTGTAAATGCGAGGAGGTAAAGCGGCATGACGTCGGAAGTCACTTAGAAACCTGCCCAAGAACTGGCCACATAAATTTCTTTGTAGCTGTCACTGATGCTTCCGGAGTATCTGGTTCTTCGTCGTAGGTCAAAGTGTCAACATGGGAATGAGATGGTGCTGGCTCGTCTTTGAATCGCCGTTTTCTCGATTCGCGGCCATTGCTACTGCTGTTGTTACAATCGTTCGACTTTGCTTTCGCTTCTTCCTTCGCTCTAGCCACTCTTCTCTCACTCAGTAGCCGCTGAATCTCGGAGTGGCGGAACATCTTGATCTGGCTATCCGTCAATGTCCTTCTGACGCCATCGTCGTAATAACCCAAGCTGCCCTCGTCGTGGTTGTCGTCATCGATAGCAGCATCATGGCTGGACTCTGTCTGGCCTGGAGCGTTCAGCGGACAAGTCATCAGGTCTGGGACTGGTTGAGTGGCAAAATGCGTAGCATGAAAAGCTCTCAGCTGGGCTATCTCCCGTTGCTGAAGCATGTCGGGCGATGAACGTAAGGAGAAACAGTACGGCCGTTGACAAACACGGAGAGTATGCGCCACATTCAGTGGCTAGGTGTGTTTAGTATTCAACAAAGAAGGGGATGGTGGCACAGTCGTCGTTTCACTCACCAGAGACGCTGACTGCGGTTGGTAAGCGGAAGTGCTAACTGGATTTCTTGCTCCGCCCTAGCGAAATCACCAAGCGCAGGCGGAGATAGCAACGCGTCCACCTCAAAGAGCGTCTCACACACAATCAAGAGCTGACAGACCACTGGCACCGAAAACCTATGCTTGGAACTCGCCGTCAGCGTCGTGGAGAACAGCAACCACCTCCACAACCTCCTTGTTCCCGATGAGTAACCATCCTGCTGCTCAAGTTGGCCTCGATCCTTCTCTAGTCGCAAACAGGCAATCGGGATCATCAACATGCATCAACCGAATACCAGCCCGGCCAAAGGCCACAAATCAATTGGACATGGGTCTTGCCGCTCCGATTCGTCGCATGCTGGCTTGAACACTGTCTACTCCCTGGGTATACGAGCACTTTATCCTGATACGGCACAATTCTCCTGGCCACCAAACCCATTAGACTCTCGACAAATATAATGATTACTCAAAGTGGATTTGTCTCAAGAGGATATGCCTTGTGTTTAGGTATAGGAGAGAGCATTGAAGAGGTGAGGTAAGATCAAGTTGTGCGTTGACAAGGACTATAAATGAAGGGATTCGCGTTCTCTGAATTCTTCCTTGAGTCTTCAAGTCGATTCCCGAGACAAGTCCAAAGCATTCGATACTGCCTTTGATTCTTTCGTTGCCACGTTCTCGGAGACAAAATTTTTGACATGTCTGCCCAGCTCATCCTTCTGACCGGCAGCTCAGGCCATATCGGTTATCGTACACTGGTCGAGGCTCTTTCCAAAGGCTACAGAGTTCGGGCTGCGGTTCGCTCTGAAAGCAAAGCTGCTGAGATCAAGGCTGCTAAGTCCAGCGAGCCATACTTGAATCAGCTTTCCTTCTCCATAGTGCCCGACATTGAGAAGGATGGCGCCTTTGACCAAGCCGTCAAGGATGTGGATTATGTTGTCCACGTTGCGTCGCCTTTGGCACGACCTTCCGAGGACGACCAGGTTAACATTATCAGACCTGCCATCAGGGGCACGCTGAGCATCCTTCGGTCGGCTCTCAAAGAGCCCTCGATCCAACGAGTCGTCATCACCTCCTCCGTGGCAGCGGTGTCTCCACCCGATACCCGAGTTTACACGGCTGATAATGTCGAACCAGACCCCCATGGACCATACCCTCATACTTTCGCAGCCTATACGGCCAGCAAGCAACTCGCCTACAATCGCACCCGAGATTTCATCAGCGAGGAAAACCCCCATTTCACCGTGGTCAACATCATGCCTACCTTCGTCATTGGCAAGAACGAGCTTGCCACTACTCCGGCAGCGGTTAATTCTGGATCTAACGCCCTTGCATTGATTCCGCTTCTAGGGACACAAAATCCCAATGGAATGCCGGGGGCTACATGTCACGTCGATGACGTTGCCTACGTCCATGTTGCCTCCTTGGACTCTAAAATCCAAGGAAACCAGAACTTTGGAGTCAACTACGACGTGAATGGCGTCAAATGGGACGATGCCATCGACATTGTGAAGAAACATTTCCCTCAGGCTGTGGAACAAGGAGTGTTTCCACTCGGTGGCAGTCAGCCCTCATCGCCAATGCCATTTGATGCCAGCAAGACCGAGGAAGTCTTCGGCATCAAGTTCAAGAATTTCGAGGAGCAGATTGTGAGCCTAGCTGGCCATTACATCGAGGTGACTGCAGCAGCTTAGCACTACCCTGAGCGGCTTCATGATAGGATGCGAGGGAGAGGACCCGTGCCAACCAGATACGGAGGATGTAAGTACCTTCGAGCTACTTGACGAAGATAGAAATCATGCAGATATGCGTTCCGAGATGTCTTATAATTCCTTTCTGGTGAGATTCTCTTGCTTCAGTCCTCGGTACATGTTTACTTCGAAAGTCTGGCACCTGGATGTGTTCTTGGAGGCCGTCTGTCAGTATGAAGCAGTCGACGACCATTAAATACGAGGTCCCTGCTCCATGCACCCCTGATCTCGTAGTTGTACCAAGTAGACGCAAGGATGAGCTTTGGTCAGGTCCATTGCTCGCTTCGGAGACTGCATCCGTCTGCATTGATCGTGACGCATGTGCAGTAGGTGACATCACCCCATCTAACAATTGGAAAAACAAGAGCAACAACACAACATGGCGATTAATCTACCTTAACTGAAAGCTACCTGGGGCCACTCGTCTACTTCGCTCCCAAACAGTCAGAGCGTTCTCCTGTTTCTGTCCCCTTATTAACCTCACTCTCACCAAATGAGTCCGAATTCGGAAGATCCCAGCTCTGCGATCAACATGTCCGCCGCGGCGCGTGCGATGCTGGGCAAAGTCCACAAGCTGGTGCCTCCCATGCTGGAGAGATTCCACAAAGGTCAGCTTGGTCGAGTCGCCGTCATCGGTGGCAGTGCAGACTACACGGGGGCCCCATATTTCTCCGCCATGGCCTCTGCGCGGCTGGGTTGTGACATGTCCTACGTCTTCTGCGAGCCTTCGGCTGCCCCGACCATCAAGTCGTACTCGCCAAATTTGATGGTGTCCCCGATCCTCAGGTCTACGGCCTCCATATCCCAGGCGCAGAAAGAGCAGGATCCTTCGGGAGAGGAGCTCGCCAAACCAATATTGGATATGTTGCCCAGGTTGCATGTGCTGGTCATTGGGCCCGGTCTGGGTAGAGATACCGTGACGCAAAAGCAGGTCAAGGCTGTCATCGCCGCAGCTAAGAAACACAATCCCCCCGTCCCTATGGTGCTGGATGCAGATGCCCTCCTGCTAGTTCAGACAGATCCGGACCTGATCCGGGGCCACAAGGAATGCATTCTTACTCCCAATGTGATTGAGTTTGGACGTCTAGCCAAGTCCGTCGGCATGGACCAGAACACTGGAGACCCCGAGAAGGCATGCCAGGAGCTTTCCAAGATACTCGGCGGAGTCTGCATTATTCAAAAGGGCCCAGTCGACTACATCTCACAAGGTATCGATACCACTGTCTCCGAGTTCCAAGGTGGTCTGAAGCGCTCCGGTGGACAGGGTGATACCTTGACGGGTTCGTTAGGCACGTTGCTGGCGTGGCGGGAAGCTTATCACGAGAAGCTCTGGGACATTGGGGAGGAGATGAGTCGAGAGGAAACGCTTTTGTTGGCGGCGTTCGGCGGGAGCGCCATCACGAGAGAGTGTTCGCGGAGAGCTTTCGTGAAGAAACAGAGAAGTTTGCAGGCAAGCGATCTTACGGAAGAGGTGCATGCATCCTTTCTCACCCTCATTGGGGAGCCTGGCCCGACGCAAGTGCCGAAACAAAATCTATAAAGAGCTTTTGACAATCGTTGCACGGTGAGGAAGCTTCCAGGAAAGGCTAACTTGCCCGGAAAGGATCTGTAGAAACGCAACTACAGTAGTATACGCCAGGAAGAACGCGAATCGTCATATGATGATGCTTCATTGCTTGCGGTAACTCTTGTATGCTCGTGTACTGTGAGACAGCCACGGCAGACCAGAGGAAGCCTTTCCTTATGTACAATGTCACGACCAAAAAAATTCCCTAGGAGGCACTCTTGCTTATGAGTCGTAAATGGATCCCTTCTGTTTCTTGAGCCTCTCTACCCGCTCTTGCTCCACTTCTTTATGTCTCCCTTCGTAGTACTTAGCCAACGCCGTGAGATCTGCCGTGCCTTGTCCAGCGGAAACGTTCCAAGGGGACCCGAAGTTGAAAGATCTGGATATCCGGTTTAGTAACACTGATGCTAAGATTGCGGTCATCCGCAGAAAAGGTGTACGTACTCTTGATGTCGCAGAGGAGGACCCGCGGGATCTGTCGGTGTCGCAGCGAACAATTGCCTATCCGCCGCGGCCTGCTCCATCATGGTCGTGTGTATCGCATCTTTTCTCAACAGCACCTCTCTGCCCGCGTCATATTGCCGCACCAGACGGGTGAGCGCATTGTCACCGGGAGAGCTGGCGATTGAGTAGACGAGTATTGCGAAGGGGACAGAGCCAATGGCAATGTAGAATCCTCTCTGTTCCCCCGTGAAGTGGTCAGTTTTCGCACGTCCTCATCAAATTTTTGAAGGGAGTCTCCTGCTCACGCCGAATCCTTCATGTCCCGATCCACCTGCGACGTGGAGAGCGCTCTCTCCAGAAGAATGATGATGTGCGTCTCCGTGGCCGTGGCCAGCTTCGTGGCCAGCAAATCTGCGTTGTGGACGTTGTTGGATTGCACGTCTCCAGGGACGAGCTGCAGCTCTCGCCCCTCGAGAGACAAAAGACATGATGGCGGATGCTGCAGCGACAGAAGAGGGTCACGAGGGAGTATTCTGCAATGTACTGTACTTCATGTTCATCGGCTGTCAAACAGCGGTTATACGTCCAAAGCTCTATGACGCCAAGAAATATCGGCCCGTCTATTTATCCGACCCTCGCACATCCAATCTCAACATCCTCCCAACTTTCTACGCCAATCGTACTTTGACACGACCTTCGCCAGTGTCCTATCAACGCTCCTCGACCCAGAGGCGAGGGTACTTTGGTTCATGCAGTCCGGTTGATTATTATGCGGAGTGCTTCCAGACCGACTTGTCGTCACTTTGGTCGGGCAGCAACCTCCCATTATGCAACCGTTGACGCCCAGTCTTGAGACGAGCATAGCGCTTGATGCTTACCTTGCTTCCCACAGTTAAGTGTTTTATGACTCAAATGACCTTTTCCTTTTACCATGATCTTCTGATTCTCACATTCTAGACTTGTTTTGTCGCTATTTTCGCGTTGTGTGTCAATAATGTACCAGTATATTTGTTGTCTCTACCTCACTGGACGCCCTGAATACCTGCAAGACAGAAAAGATTTTTAGGCCGAGGGCACTTTGGTTTCGCTTCCGCAAGTAGGGTGATCAGAAAAGCATCTATTTCTTCTTCTATTTATTCTCTCGCTTCACCACGATGTCGACGTCTGCATATCAGACAAATGCCAGACCCCGGGGTAGGCCTGGGAGCTTCAGCGATACTTCTGAGAAGCAGACTCGCAGTCGAGCCTCGAGTTCGGCGTCTGCAAAGCTTTCCAAGACGCTGTCGAGGACTCTTGATGAGGTCTCTATTCCAAGGAATAGCCGTTCGAATTCCCCGGCTATCTATTTCCACCGGCAAAGGACGCACGACTCAAAGTGGTCGGATCCTGTGGTGGTTACATCTAGACATCCTGCCCTCTCCTTGCGATCCGACAAGAGTATCTCGTCAAGAATGGAGGATGACACAATTCATTCCCCGGGTTCGCCAACTAAGGTGAAACCACATATCATCAATGGGTCCCATGACCGACCGGATACATCTATATCAGATGCGCGCCCTCTCTCACCTACGAAATCGTCGATGACCGCTGTTCCCGAGGCTGTCGAATTTATGGGATCCCCTACAAGAGATGTGGAGCTTCTGCAGACCTCGCAAGGTCTTCGTCAGAAGAGCTTGTCGTCGAGATCGCTTTCATCGATGCAGCCAACTGTTTCCGAAGAGCCTCAGGACATCGTGCCTCCCCAAATCACATCGCCATTCCCCCCAGTGCCCATATCAGCTCCCTGTTCTACTGACGTTGTAGAGCCATCTGCGAAGGGTTCCAAGTCGCCACTACGCGAAGAAACGATCCTCGGCTCTCCAAAAAGGTCCAAATCATCTTTGCACGAACCCATAGCTGCACCAATGGGCACAAGCTCAGTGCCATATCCTTATGACCCACTGGTTGCGCCAACTCCGCAGGGCCCGGTAGTCTTTATGCAACCTACGTTTGGCCAACATCTTGCGGATTCCACGGAGGGAGACATGCCTTTTATGTCGAGCCCTCCGTTACCTACTGACGGAACCTATCTTCATGGGTACCCACCTCACGGTCGCTCGCCCTTAGCTTCGCCTCCATTGTCACCCTTTCTCCAGCAACCTGCTGGTAGTCCGCCACCACAGGGTGTGCCATTCCCACCACCTTTCCCGTATCACTATCCCCATCCGTTCGTAGCTAACCCTAATCTCCAACTCGCGTTCTACCCACCACCCTTCCCTGCCCCTCCTGGGCCTTTTCCCTATCCAGATGTGGTGTCTCGATCCGGCTCTGCAGCACCTGATGATGAGCGCACCAAACTGCTTGAGAAAGTCTCAAGCGTCCTTCCTGACATCAATCGCTTACTGCACTACTACCAAGAAAGTCAAGGGCTTCTATCTGAGAAGGATCATCTCGTCAAGCAAGCTGAATCGCAGCACAATGAGGAGATTGCGAAGCTAAGAATTGAACTGAGCGCGTCCAAAGAAGAATACGAGCGCATCATAGGAGAGCAAGCTCGTGAAAACCTGAAGCTGAAAAACGAAATTACGGAACAGGGAGAAAAGATTTTACATCTTGAGGCATCTTCACGGGATCTTGCGCGGGCGAATGAGGAGATAGCTAACAATCTGACGCTGAAATGCAAGGCCTTTGAGAATGAGGTCGAGAACAGTCGGGCTATGAATGAGCAGCTGACTGCAACCAAGGTTGACCTTGAGGACCAGATCGAAGCTGTCAAGAAGCAGCTTGATGACGAACGGATGCAGCATCAGCGCTCACAGACTGACTTGATTCAAGCCCATGAAAAGCAAATGGCGGACAAAGAGGACGTTCATGTCAGGTTACTAAATGAACACAAGGCCGGTCTTTCAAAACTTCAACTTGATCTGGCAGGTCTGATAACAAAGCATACACAGCAGAGAAGAGATCTGGAATCTGCGCGCGCAGTCATTTCCGAGCATGAACAATCCTTGGCCACCAAATACAAGGAGCTGGCCGAGTCTACGCAATTGCACAAAAATCAAATGGAGGCGCAGCGGAAGGCCATAGAGGAGACCGCAGAGCAGCACAAGCAAGAGTGTGCGGATTTGTCACAGAAATTGGCTCAAGCTATGGGAAAGCACAAAGATGAAATCACTGCACTGCGGGAAGGGCATCAGAGAGAGATTGGACAACTGCGCAAAGCAGCCGAAGGACGATTGTCAGAACTGATCACCAACCACAAGCAACGTGAATCGCAACTCCAGGATGAACTGAATGCCCTCCAATCCGTGGTCGAAGACCTTCAGGATGACCTTCAAGAGCAGCGTAACGTCAATAACAGCCTGAAGACTGAATTGGCGACTGCGCAGAAAGCTCACCAGGCACTTCAGACCACGACTGAAATGACCAATCAGCACCATACAGAATTGGCGGAATCTATACTCTGTTTGAGAGAAAAGCAAGCTCAATGGCAACGAGAAAGTGAGCGAATGGAGCGCATCCTGCGAAGCTTGGGGCACACAAGTGCTAATAAAGGAAAGGGTGACAACTTCTTGTGAGTGCGGTCCGTGGCGCCACTGACAATGATCGTTCTCATTCGTTTCCAGGGTTTCTTCGGGCGCACGCCGCTGACAGGTCAATGCAGTGTAAGTGCATTCCAGTCACTGGCAATATCAGTGGAAAATGTTGCGGAGCAGTTCTTCCGGGACCAGCCATGTTTGAGTCATTCCCTGTTGCGGGCAGCTCGACTAAGCGGTCTCCCTGATATGACAGGCACGACGACGGTAGCTCGGGCGCTTCGTTCCCTTTTCATTCAGAATCAGATATTCACTGTCCTACATCAGAGGATCTTTCGGCCATTTTTGTTCACATCATCGCATGGCGAGTGCGATGACTCTGGTATGGAGACGTGCTTGTCTAGGGTGTCGAAAATGATCTGTGCGAAGAGCATCCATCGAGAAGCAATATGGAGAGCAATCACGATGCGGGCTCTCTACACCAGTTCCTATGGCCGCAAAGCCGCGAGCACGGTCGCAACCTCTGTCAGCAAGGAGATCGTCGACAAATTACAATCGATGACATTGGCCGAGTACATTCCAGGGTTGATAAAAGCGGTCCGCTCGATTACCAAGGCAGCAGTCCAGCTGTGGCGTCAAGTACGGGTCGAATGGGCGGCTGTCCGATCCAGCATGTCTCCAAAGATCTTGAAGACAGAAGGAACATCGAGTCCAAGTGATATCACGCTCAGGATACGACCACATATCTTCAGGGAATGCTTCAGGACTGTGGATGATGTTGGGAGGGACTCGGGTCCACCAAATATGCCACCTACGGCAGCTTGCATCTACCTTCAGGGTACCGCACTGTGTCAAGACTCGCCACTGGTCATAGCAAGGCGTCGGGAGCTGATGGCAGACAATGGATGGCAAGAGTGAAGTAGAAGGCATTGTACAACAGAAACCTTGTACCAAACCAGAGGTCAGTAGTTGCACCTGGACCCAAAGCGCGGATTGTGGTTCTACGGAAACTCGTACATGCGACCCACCGACATGAGTTCTCGATACGAAAGATATTATGAGGAGTTGGCGCCAGCGATTGGACAGAATGACATGCACTGGCACGGCACTGGCAAGGGGAAAGGGACAAGAATCTGCCCATGATTCTGCCCCAGGCTAGTGAGATCTACTCTAATGATCCCTGTAGCGAAGACCAAAGGGCAGTGCTGGCTGCTCAGTGGCCTGTGGGCTCGTAAGGCTGATTCGGGGCGGTGCAAGCTGCTTCAGTGTGGGATACTCGAGGCTCCATGACTCCATGGCTCCTTCAAGCTTTGCTTTGGAGAAGGTTAGCTGGTTAGGCAGCGAGTGGAGGTTCCTTGCATCATACCGAGTAAACTGTATTGTTGATTATTATTATCTATCATTACTTCGTACACCGTGCAGACCGTGGTACCATGGACCCGATACTCGTGGTCGGGACGGATCACCAAGTAAATTGTCCAACAGCTCCCACTGCGAGCACGAATACTCCTAATTGAGCTCACCGGCTTGGGGGAACCGGGCTTGTGGCTTGTCAGGGCCTTGTGTGGAATGATATCGTGGGTCCCTGCAGTGACCATCCCCGTTCGTCTGCGCTTGGGTCGAATCAACCCTGGGCGCCTCGACACCTCTAACGCGGGAGCTGAAAAGTAGTGTCATTCAAACCTCCAACAGCCGACCACCATGGCTGTGCTCACTTGCTCACCATCCAGGGACGGGCCTGGTGGGCTTTCCATCTCCATCTCCACCTCAATCCTCCCCCCCGAGAGGAGGCCAACTGAGGCTTGATCCCTCCACCTGCGCGAGACAAGGAAAAACAACACCTCCACCACCACCTTCACTCGCTTTACCACCAACCGTCACTGCGATCATCTGCTTGACTTTCCTCAAAGCCTCCTCCGGTCTGCTCGGCCTCGAAACCTTCCTTTTGACCCAAGTCCCTCAATCCCACCGCGCGCCTGCGAGCCTTTTCCGCCGGCCGACCTCCGATCCATTGTATTCATCAGGCTGTTTCCTCCCGGGTGCAGTTCAATGCTTGGGTCGCGAACCACTTCTCTCACAGCAGCTCCAAAATCTGCCCTCAATCTGCCTACCTACGCCGTTCTCAGTCACTGCTTCTTGCTGGTGGCTGCTCCTCAACCCTTTCCACAGCCCTGTCCGTCGTCCCTCTGCGCGACCAGTCACATCTCTCGAGTGCCTGTCCGACCACATCAGCAGACACCACAATCGGGTGCCACAGATCTCCTGTGCTCCTCTTGACGATTTCCCTCTCGGCTTCTAGTGTATGATTATCCTTCGATTCACTCTCCTCTTTTTCCCTCTCGACATATCGTGGTGCATCGGACGCAGCTGCATATCCACGGCACCCACCAGATCCACGTCAGGCGCAGTCTTCAGTGACTCACTTTCTCTGTTCTTTGACTCAAGCAGCATCATTCCGTGCATTCTGGGGTCGACGTGTTTGATCGGAGGTGTTCAGGATACGCAGATACCTGCAATAAACCACAATATTCTTGACAGCCTCACAATAGGCGGCCCATCCGCCTAACATGCCTCCGACGCCCTGAACATTCGGGACCTCTCAGATCGTCCCCACTTGAGAATTGAGCAAAATAGCAGGGACACATCTCGCTTTCCTCTTACCAGGCTGCACACTTGCGACAACATGTCGCACTCGATCCCGAATTCCTACAGGACCCAGAGGGCCGGGCAGCAATCTCCGCTCCTGGCGACTCCAGCGTTTCACCTACCGCGACAAACACAAACCCAGCAACACAGAGCGAATTCTTCTATGTCGAAGAGCCATCATCACAATGCGAGTATAACGTCAAACCCCTCTCAAGGGATGCAGGAAGTCGGGAGTGGATCGGACGTTTGGCCGGGCAATGCCCACTTCACGCTCCCAGCAGTGTCGAGTCCTGGATCCTTGCACCCTTCCGCTGACATTTACAACCTTGAAGAAGATACTCCGTACCGCGAATCCTCATTTGACGATTTCTTGACAACGGAAGAATCCTCTGAAAACCCTCTGAGCGAACATACTACTCCACAGGAACAAATTTGGGAGCAACAATTCTTAACACAGGAGGCGGCACAACTTCAGATAGTCGATTCCTACGGGTCAAACGATTTCGAGGCCGTGCATGGAGTTTCAGGTAGCTCAGATCTACGAGGTTGTCTTCAACATCCCGAGGAAGGGCTGCCGAAATTCGTGTCTGGCGAAGAGCTCAGGAGTTCCAAGAGCTCCTCACTTGGCTCGCCTCTCCCTTTTTCTCCGCAAATACAAAGTGCCAGCCAGGGACAAAATCAATCAATGGACCACCTGGGCGCTTCCCACAAGAGGGGAGCCTCTCAAAACCTCAAAGTGGACACAACGCCTAACCGCGTCCTCTCACCCAGTAACAAGGTGAACGCCTGGCAATACTCCACCCATATACGTGCACCGAGTCCCGTGGTCATGATATCCGACTACGGAGCTTCTGGTGTGAAGCCTGAGACTCCACAGAACCTCATGCCTCCATCTGCAAAGCGTGGTCGCGAAGGCGAATCTTCTGAGGAGGACGAGGAGGAAGACGAAGATGAATCTGGGCACGATAGAGCAGGACCAGGAGATGCCGATGTCTCCCCATCTCATCTCATGCCCCCGGATGTCAATGGAACGGAGAGTTCACGTTCGACGCCCACCCAACGCCACGGGCTCGAACCACATTCGAGGAACGATGAAACAACATCCTCAGTCAAAGAACTCGAAGAGCAGCGCCAGCTCGAGGAAAGAAACGCTGAGGTTCAAGAATGGCTTGCCACAAGCGACGCCGGAAGTGGGCCCGAGGATGAATCTGGAGGGAAGGCTTCTCGCCGGACACCTCAAGGCACAAGGCGGCGAGCTCATACCACCGAGGGTCGTTTGGACCATCGTGGCCCCGTATACTCGGACGAGCATATTCCTGGCCCAGGAGCTCTCGTTGATGTCGATTCAGACGACGAATATTTTGACGAAGTTTCGGTGCAATCGTCGGACATTGAAGAGCTCACTGAGCAGGTCCTCGAGCATTATCGGGTTGTTAGATCCCCGCGCCTCTCACCACGTGCTCTGGACGGTGATGCATCGACTGACCAAACCGCCTTCCCTCCGCTTGAAGACGAAACTTCGCCGGAATCGCAGGAGCCGCTCCCTACTCAGTTCATGAGGCGAGGCCCGTGGCAAGATCCGGTTCGTGGGCCTGTTATCAGCACAAGAGGGCAACCGAACACGTCCAACGCCGCCGCCTACAAATTCAACGAGGAAGCAGCAAAGTGGGAAACTGCCTCTCGGGCTGCCACGTGGGGAACGGGACGTCGTCTCAGCGAAAGCGAAATCAACTCTATCGTCGAAGGCAGTCAGATTCGGCATCTGTCCCTCTCAAAAAGGGGCCGGGAACGAACGAGCAGCATCTTCAGCAAGGCTCGAGGCATCGTCCTTAGGCGAAGTAGCAGCAATATAAAAGAAGAGCCCTTAGCAGAGGACAACGAGGCAGAACCACGAGGACATGCCCACCGAAGCTCTGTTGGGAGTGTCAGACCCCAGAGGATGCCGAGTTTCGGCAAGCCAAAGTCACCTCCCTTGAATACGGGTAGTGCCTTGCTTGCGATGACTGGCCAGCTTGCAGCTGTTGGCCGTGGGAACTCGGTGGCCCAGGGTCTTGATGCCTCCAAGTCGACACGCCCCTTGCAGACGCTAAGAAAGCAGCGTAGCAAGAGTGACGTGACCAAGAATGCAAAGTCGTCCAACCCGGGCCTGGCTGATTTATTGACCAAGCACGGCGGGCCGCCCATCCCAACTCTTGCGTCTCCAATGCATGAGCGCGAACCCATCCTGGCGGCACAGGTTAGAGACAACGAAGTGGCCCCTGCGGATGACGATGAAGATGAAACAGACGAGGTGGCCCTCAAGATGGATCTTGAGATTCGGGCGGAGGACATCAAGCCGACAATCGAAGGATTTAGGGACCACGCGCGGAAACTCAATCCCAGACTCGAGCCGTATCTGGTTGACCGGGTTGGCCAGGAGCAGATTCGACGCTACAAGAAACTGATCGAAACCAAGATTAAACACACTCGGTCTGTCCAGGTTGCGCGCAAGTGCCCTTCGGGCAAGTTTTGTTTTGAGCTGGGCGGCGAGGCGACCCCACTGGCGCCACGGGCCAGCACCAAGGATCCAGACACGACGCTGACACAATTTCAGATCAGCAATCCTGCTGACGATGAGGTGGACGAGTCTGGGTTCACCGACGGGATTGTCACGCCGGCCCTGTTTCCTCCGGGGATCCCATTACCACCAGTACCACGACTCCCGGCCGAATTTGAGTGTAATCTCTGCTTCAAAGTCAAGAAGTTTCACAAACCGTCCGACTGGACCAAGCACGTACATGAGGACGTTCAGCCCTTCTCCTGCACCTTTCCCAATTGTTCCGAGTCGAAGTCTTTCAAGCGAAAGGCCGACTGGGTCCGTCACGAGAATGAGCGGCACCGACACTTAGAGTGGTGGCAATGTTCGATCCAGGAATGCAACCATATTTGTTACCGTAAAGACAACTTTGTCCAACACCTGGTACGGGAACACAAGATGAGCGAGCCCAAGATCAAGCGGGGTTCGGGTAGCAGCAAGAACAAGGCTGTCAACAGCGGTCCCCAAGAGGACAGTGAAGTGTGGCGTATGGTGGATAAGTGCCGCTTTGAGACGGAAAAGAAGCCCCGAGATGAACCCTGCCGCTTCTGTGGCAACGTTTGTTCGAGCTTCAAGAAGCTGTCGGTCCATATGGGCAAGCATATGGAACAGATCGCGATGCCGGTCCTGCAACTGGTGGATATGGCAGAAGTGTCTCCTGACACCATTGTGAGCCCCATCGATCAACCGCCGATGATGGCGTCGTCGTTTGGTACCATTCCCGGAGCGATGAATAACGTGGATATGAGCAATCTCTCGCCATATCCTGTCAGTGCGACATCGGCCTACCAGACATCATCGGCGGGACAGTCGCCAGCTTCGATGCACGTCCATGCCCAAAACGGAGGGTTTCCCCTCGACCAGGGATACTATAGCCCGCATGCATTGACACCGACAGCCCCAGGGCAAATGATGACGGGCGGCTACGGTGCTACGGCCAGCTACAGTCATCAGTCTCCTGTATTCATGGGTCCGAGTCCAATGGAAGTGCCGCATTCACATAATCTGTCGCCTCAGAACGCGATGGTGACACCCCGATCTCAGCCTATGGGTTCCGGGTATGAGAATGCGTTCTACGACTCAACGGGTGCGATGTATACGCAAGCATCGATGCAACCCATGTACGTGAGCGCGCACTCGCACCCGCAATCGATGCCAGGGTATGCCGTAGCGGGGCAATATGCCTCATCCATGCTACCGAATCAAGCACGAGGGAGCAACACCAACCCAATGGAACTTGAGGGTCGCGCAGGGCTGGGTCTGCAGACGGACTTGCATGTGCACACGGCGCAACAGTATATGTACGGGGGAGCGGGAACGGGAGAGACAAGTGCAGACATGCATTTTGCATGATCAAGTTGGAAGATGTTATCGAATTCACTTTTTCCAAGAGTGAGGCGGCGAGAGAGCCGAGGGATTGATTGTTCGGGAGTCGAGGAGTCCGGGATTTGGGATTGGGTATGGTTCAGACCTTGATGTCGGAGAGGTTACGGTCGTATTTCTAGATACCCCGATGATGTTCTTTTTTGAGTCCCACGATTAGAGTCTGGGTTATGATTGGCATGACAATGATCAATGCAATGATGGGACTATGTGAACAGTTTGAGTTTTGCAACTTGGGATTGAATTCTGGAACTTTTGGGAGTTTTGAAAGTCAAGGACTTTTCGGAAGCAGTAGGGTGCCTGGGTGCATGAGCCAGTCAGAGGATTTGGTACGAGACAGACGATCAAGAGCGCGGGCCGTTGTTGGACTGGGCAAACAGGGTGTTGAACGTTAGTGGGGGCCGTGTATTAATAACACCAGACACCAGGTATTTAGGTACGAGGACCAAGAGAGATAGAAAGAAAGAGGTACCCTTGGCATTTTGACCCATATGCATAGCCACAGCTTGGGTTGCGGGTACAATGACCGCAGAGGGGTATCCGATGTCCAAAATGAGGGTGGGTAGGTGTATACTTACAAGTAGAACTGGTAAGTAGTTTTGTTAGATGTACGGAGGAGTGGTGTATTTGATATGATGCATTGGGTATCTAATATCAATATGTACGTAAATACCTCGGTTCGTACGAACAAGGTACCAACTCACCCGCTCTCCTGCTACGTAAGGATCCTCGTACAACTACTGACATTACAAGTTGCTGTATCCGTACCCAAAAGTCCCTGGCAGCAGCAGGCAGCAACAGGCAACCACTAAACCATAAATAGACTAGATCAAGGCACACTCGCAGCTAGTTGCGATCACTCCGGACTCATGATTGGCTAGTTCTTTTCCGCCGCGACAAATGCCCCGTCTGACCGGTCAGAGTAGTTCCAGTAGTTTTGTTACTTCCGGTCACGAGTCGGACAACTGAGGCAGATTTGAGCCAGTCATGAACGGCCACACACCGTCATCTCTTCTCATCTTTCCACCCAAAAACCACCCCCCCTTCCATACGCTGTTATCCCTCCTTGCCCTCTGCTCTTTCACCCCCACTCTTCCTTGATACCGCAGACGGAACTACAAACTACGACCTCGTACACCTTAACTGACTCTTACGCACACCCGGGCACTCAATTCACACACAACTGTTCAACTACACCACCTTTTCCCCTACTACTCCTACACCGGTTGTTGCATCCCTTGATTCTTCGCATCTTCTGAAATATCGTACTGGTTTCATTCTCATCCAGAAAAGAACCATGACTCCTCAACGACTTCTTCCACCATTCCGTTAATTCCATACGGCTGGATTGATCAGGTTCGTCTAACCAACCCGTGAGTCCCTCTTCCCATCACTTGCACCGCCCCCCCCCCCATGTCTTTCCAAGTGCCCCAAGTCCCAAGTTGGTGCCAAAGTCTCTCTCTCTCTCTCTTCCCCCTTCTCTCCTCTCTGCATGTTCATAAATTAATATCTAGTCTTCCTCTCCCCCCCCAGCAGCATGGAGATTTGGCCTTCTTCAGCCGCCTCATTCTTGTCGAGTCGGGCCAAAAAAAATCCTAGGCTAGGCTGAAACGCACCGCCTTGCTTGTGTTGATTGGCTATCTCGACCTCCACCGTTCTTCACAAACGATGACCTAGGCGTAATTCCTTCGTCGCCGGTCTCAATTCAATCAGGCGGTGTTCTCATACCGTCATTGAGCCTCTCTTGACTGTTGCTGGCTCTATCGTCCCTTGTTCGAGTGGCGTGTCCTCGCCTGCGCAGTCAGACCTTGGCCTCTTGTATACCCCGGAATCTGCGCGGGTCGAATTGAACGACAGGGTAAGCATTCTATTCCCCTCCTCCAGCTGGGCGGGCAAGGAAACGAAACTTTTGCCTCATTTCCTTTCGCATGATCGGGAACTAGTCACCTATCGGGTTCTTTCTGTCTGAGGTCTGGGCTGATTCTTGGGGTGTCAGTTATATTGCGTCCTTCGACCTCCTTCTCTCGTCATGGCAGACAACCACTCTCGACCGCGTCAATCGGTCGTCAAACCTGCCTGGCCGACAAGATCAAATGTATATCCGGCACTGCCTCACCAACCTGTCCCTCCGGTGGTTTCTGACTCATTGCACCAGGCATTTGTCTCAATACCAGACGAGGGCAGTGCATCTGCGTCTGCCCTACACTCAGCCTACCCAACGGATCCTGTCTTGACAGGGTTGCAGACCCCGTTGACGGCCATGGACTCTCCCGATGACCACATTCCTAGAAGTTTCTTTTCGTCCTCTGATGTTCCATTCCCGGATTACTCTGGCTCCTTTGAACCCTACCCGTTCCAACATATGCAAGGCGACTCCCAGTATTCCATTTCGTCTCCTGGTACATCGCTCCCACCTCGCTTTGTGGAATCGTCTTCTGCTGCTGTCGACGGTGTTACCAGTCACCAGCCCGCTGCCGCACCATGGAATCATCTGACTGCCACCGGAGGAGTACTTGCCTTTTTATCTGACACAGGGAGCTCTAATGAACCTGGACTGCCTCCACGACATCTGGAAACTCCTCTTCATGATCGTACATTCTCTTCTGCCAGCGCACAAAAATCCCTAGGAGATTCAGGCTACGAGACTCGATCAAGGAAATCTCAGCATGAAGTAGACTCGGTCATGGACGAGCAGACAGAAATGGATGACCAGGACATGGACACAACTTCCCATTTGCCACCCTATGCTCATTCCACTCGCCCACCCAACACCTCTCGTGCCCCGAATGCAACTCAACGACCGCAGCAAAGACCTGGAGAGTTGGAATGTTCGGAATGTAGGTATACGGGCAAGACAAGGTCCGATCTGAAGTAAGTTGTGTATGAATCCGTCTGAAGATGCAAGGTTGACCGGCGCAATCGCAGAAAACACTGTGCTCGCCACAAGCGCGAGCACAAATGTCCCTTTGCGGAGTGCGCCCGGCACGCCAAAGGGTTTGCAACTGTCAATGACCTTGACAGACATCTAAAGGCGGTGCATAACATCAACAACCGGAAGACCAGATCCTACAAATGTTTCGCCGACGGCTGCAACAAAGCGGGAAAGGAATGGCCTCGGTTGGACAATTTCAAGCAGCACCTCAAAAAGATGCATGGCGAAGAGACCGTGGATGATCTGCTTCAAGCGTACGTGTCCGCCCTCTGCTGCATATTCTTCGCGCTGACTCTTGCAAGGTCCAACAAATGGTATGAGCAGCAACCTCAACATGCACATGCGGATGAGACGGCATCCCTTGCGCCGTCGATCGCCTCGCCCTCGTCGCCCTTGGTTTCCGGTCACGATCGGTTTCCCCTTTCTGACAATAACAACAGCTATTCAAATGCCGCCCACGTTTTCAATTCAAACATGCCCGAGACCGTCCAGATGTCTCGCCAGACAAGTCACAATGGTCAGGTCAATAATCAAGATCTAATCCGGCCCTTGGGCCTAACCCACGCGATGTCGCAACAACATCCGGGCCGACACATATCCACGGCGACCCAGAACCACAGCTTGCGACAAGCGCGAGCCTTTCCTAACCCGGACATCAACGACATGTCACCACCCACAGCCTACATGCCACGGGCTTGGTCACAGGCCGATTTTTCTCGCTATCAAGATCTGGAACAGCTCCCTCCCGACTTTACCAATCAAAGAGTCAACTACCACTTCTTCCCCCGTGTGCCTCGGAGATCCATTGACGCTGCTGCTGCGGCACTGAAAACGAACTTTGCATACGACTATGACCAATCCTGGAGATTTAAAAGACCCAATACAATTGCCGTCCCAGATCTTGACCAGGACCGGATGGCCGACTTCATCTCACCCCAGGAACTACGGCATATCCCCTCAGACCTCAAGTGCTCACAAGAAGAAGCCCTTGGCTTTGTTGGAAGTAGTACCAACCCCGCCATCGCCGATGGCGGCTTGGGGTCCTCGCCACACCAAAGCTACCAAGTCAACATATCCCCACCCGAGAATTCGTCCAAGTCTGAGCTCCAGAAGGCGATGGAAGAGGAAATCCACTCGTTTTTAGAACGTCATCGCTCCAACGGAGGAAATGAATTGCGCTCCGATGAGGAGATTTTGACTCAATTCCGCTTGTCATTACACGGCAGCGATGCCATGACGAGTTACGCTGCCTCATCTGTGGGGCCGCTGTCGAGGACCACCGACGCCGAACTTTCTGGAGGCATCCGATCGCCTGCGACAAGGTCGACGCAGTTTCGGTGCCACTATGAGGGATGCACAAAGGTGATGCAAAGGCAAAGTGAGCTAAACAAGCACATGAAACGGCATCAGAAGCCATATGGTTGTGTCCACGACGGATGCACCAAAACCTTTGGCAGTAAAGATGATTGGAAGAGGCACGAACGGAATCAACACGAACAACAAGAGTGCTGGCATTGTCATCGATGTTTTCGTGTCTTTTTTCATGATTCATCACGCTTCATCAGGCATATGCAGGAAGCCCATTCGATTCCACGACCCGAGGAAGTGGCCCCGGAACGCCGAGTATCACGCAACCATCAGGGTCGATTCTGGTGTGGATTCTGCAAGGATATCATCGTACACGTACAGACTGATACAGATGCCATCACGCACCGCTTCGGTCACATTGCCGATCACTTCATGAAGGAGAACAAGTCAAGCAAGGAGTGGGTGGAACTCACAGGCAATGGAAAGACCAAGGGAGCACTATCTGAGGAGAGGAAGCAGAGCCAAGGTATCACAGCTGAAGAGGATGAAGATATCGCAGATGCCTCACAGACGCCCTCCTGTGGTTCTCAATCTTCGGCTTCCCAGCAGAGCGGCCTGTCGCCAACCTACCAGCCTTCCTCAAAGCATGCCGTGGGTCCCCACAGCACTCAGCAGAAAGCATCAAGTATGGGTCAAACCCCTGGCACGACAGCAGTCTCTCGAACGTCGGATACACTCGACCACAGTCAGACTCGGAACCCGACCTCTGGTCGACGGCACCATCTGCCACGTAAAGCCTTTGCCACGGTCATCACCTGCTGCCAGTGCGACTCATCCAACGCCTATGGCCTGAGCAAATTCTGTATGATTTCAGATTGTCAGCACAAGTTCTGCGACCGCTGTGTCTGTGCTCACCCCAAGGGCGCCATCTAGAGAATCAGACAGACTCTTCTTTCTGATACTGTGTGCGCGCACTTGCTTCCCTGCCGCTCTGATACTCTCTCGACGATTACGACAATTAGATCGCGTCGGTTCTTTTTTCTTTCTCATTTAATTGTTGATCATACCCCTATGTCCCACGCCGATTTGTTATGCCATTGCTGAAGGGTTGCTGTACGTACGACGACAGGTGTTGCTGGTTGGTTGGCGTTTGTCAAGCACGTTTTGTGTTGCAGTTTTGTCTTATGACTTGGATGAGATCATGCATGTGGCGGAGGACTACGACGAACAGACTTTTCTTTTTTTTTTCCCCGGTCAAGCGACGGATGGAATGGGATTAGGCAGCGCAATCCAGTTTGCGGTTCGAGAGACTTATATACACGGAGGCACTTGGATGGGCATTGAATTGCTGGCTGTATTAGTTTGTTATTGTTGTGACGACACCAAACAACCCACTGGGACAATGGGACAATGGGACAGACTCAGGGATGGATTATTGCATTGTCGCATTATAACATTATCGACATTGGCATTGATATTGACATTAGCATCGGGGCGTTTTTGGTATATAGGGCCCAGCTATTCAGTTCTGGGCCGCTCTTTGGAAGGAGGATTTGGCGGAATTTTCAATGTTAGATGTTATATGTCATCGAACTCCTACCTACCTACCTACCTACAGTGAGTGAGTAAGTGAGTAGATATGAATAAGTTCTGCTCCTTCGTACCATGTCATGCCATTCGCTGGGTACTTACATATGCAAAAAACAATTTGCGGTCCTTGTTGGCCGTGAACATCAAAGTCTATAAGCCACCTACATACATTTTATTCATGTATATGGATATTCATGTGTACGGATATATGGATCTATATATATATATATACATATATGGGAGTTCATATCCCACAGCCCTGAAATGGACTGGATAGACTTCGGTACCGGGGTATGAGATGGAGTGTGCGGTGTAGGTGTGTAAGTGTATAAGTGTCTCGGTACCTAATACTACCTACCTACGTAAGGTAGCACAGTCCCCTAAGGGGGGAAGGAGGAGGAGGAGGAGGAGGAGGCCCTTTTTCGAAAGGGGCAAGGGAGAGCCCCCGCTATACCTCCTGGTACAAAGGGAACCCGATTCTGGTGTCAAAGTCCCATCCATGCCGTCTTCGCAATGCATTCTACCCCGGGCTTGCGCTTGCTTTGCCGGATCAGTCCCAGGTACCGCAGGTCGGCTAGGGCGCGGTAGAACAGGGCTAGAGTCCGTCTCTCGTCGTCGCTCTTGTCGTCGCCACCGTCCTCGTTATCGTCATTGTCGTCATTATCATCGTCAAGTCCGTCTGCGTCCTCGTCCCCGTCCCCGTCCGGCGAAGGCGAATCCGTGCCGTGTGAGAGCGTGTCGCGGAACGCGTCCCACAGGTCCCGCACGTTGACCACCGTGCCGGCTTCGTTGAGCATGTTCAGCAACAGGCTCGTGGGCGGGAGGCTGGCCTTGTCTGGCACGTCACCTCGAGTAGCGGCGTGTGCTTTGCCGGAACTCTGAGGCACACAGCATGAGCATCCGAGATAGTCTGCAGGTCGAGTCAGGGCGCGTTCGAGGCAGTACCGCGGCCGCGGATGCATGGTCTGGGCGAGAGGGGATTTTTGCGCCATGGTGTATGCCTCGGCCATGAAGTGGCCGAAGGGACTGAGATGGTGTTCGGGGGAGGAGGAGGATGTGCGGCTCTCGACGTATCGGCGTAGGAGGTGAATGAACTTTTCAGCTTCGGACTGGCTCGCTTCCGCCTCCGCCTGCACCCCCGTCTCTGGTTCCTGTACGCAAGACCGCTGGTAGTCCTGTAGATCCTGCAGTTCTGGGGCGGAGCCTTCAAGCAGTTGCGTGGCTGACACCTCAGACGAAAGATTTTGGAGGTTGTCTTCGATGGCCTCGAAGATCTCCGATTGTGTCAGGTCTGGGAGGGAGTGCAGGAGATTAGTCTCGCTCTCCCAGCGACTGTACGACTCCAATTTGAGCGTGCAGTGGTATAGGTATCTCAGGGTGGAGATGGCAGACAGGCCTGAACGCATGATTCGTTTCCCTGTCTCGATCGCTTCGACAGCCGCCCTCTGAAGTTCATTGTCAGACACAAGCAAGCGGCGGACGGCCTCCCGCTCGGTCTTGTCGCCTTTTGCCAGCGCTTCGCAGTGAGACCTAAAGCTGGCGAGGTTGCGAATGGCCTGGCACAGTACGGGGCTCCATGGCGGTTTCGTAGTGGTCTCGGTGGACAATCTCGAGAGGGGATTCGCGAAGAAATGAGACATGTGAGCATACTTGATGGCACGAGCAAATGTCGCGGGTGTAGTGCCTTGGTCTTCTGCCAACGTGGCCAGCTTGTTGACGACTGATGGACCGAGAAACACTTCTGCAGTCTGATCATGCTGTATGGCCTCGTACAAGTCAAACAGGCGATCCTCCAGATTGAAATCCGGACTCGTCGCAAAGATTTCGGCGTCGAGCATTGAAACCGTCTGTCTGGATAACCGAGACTCGAAGAGTTCCACAGTAGTCGATATCCCAACAAAAAGAATGATTGGAATCCTGTCTGACCACGAGTGAAAGGTCGAGACCAGTTCCGCAAAGATAGACGTGTCGAACCCTTCGACGTCGATGATGGATATCACCACTCGCTCGATGTGATAACGTAGGACGTACCGCTGAAGTAATTCCAGGTCGAAGTTCATCGGGATCAGGAGCTTGTGCTCGTTGAGGAACTCGGTATACTTCTCAGCTCCTTGGTGACCAGAAATCGCGGATCGAACCGCGTTTTTCAATGCCGTCTGAATGTTTGGGCAGTGAGCCGGCTGCAGAGTGACCAGTACTTCCGCTTCACTGGATGTGTCTCCTCGCGTCGTGCTTTTCCACCTCTTATGAAGGTCGTGGTGGTGATTTGTGTTTGGGCCCAAGGCAAGCAACGCCGTTTTGAGTCTCTTGTGTGTGCGAAGGTTGTCTGCATTCTGGGAATGCGCAAATCTCATGACAGGACCAACAAATCCTTCATCTACCACATCCACGATCCCCTGGATCTTTTTCTGTTGTTCGGCCCATACTTTTTCGAACTGGCATTTTCGCAGGCCGGCATCATCCGGAGATTCTTGTCCGCCCAGCACTCGCGGCCATGAGTACTCTTCTTGAGCATCCTTCGCGGGGACTTTACTCAACTTCCTCCTCTTCCGCGGCCTCGGATCGATCTCTTCAGTGTCTTGATTGGTAGGTTTAAAGATGTAGCAGGTCTACCAATCATTAGCATATGGCCGGGGAGGGGTTTATATCCAGCTTACTGTGTGAGTTACGTCGTCCATCTGGGGGTTCTGGACTCAGCAGCACTTCGTTCGGTTCAGATCACTTTATAAAATCGAGCCGAGACGCGCTTCTATCGAGGCGCGTCGCGCAAGGAGATGGTTTAGTCTGACAGAAAACCAAGCGCAATATTGAAACTTTATTGCGGGAAATACTCTGTCAGACAGATATTCTATATATTAGGGGCCAAGAGGCCATGTCCTTCGTCTTCCAGCTTCGACAAGGGTTTGTCATTGGAATGGAAAGGGGTGTATTCCTGGCAAGAGAGTGAGAACTATGAGGGTTGGGAAGTCTACGAATGTTGATCACATAGCATCTAATCCCCTTGGTCCTGGAAGTTAAGCCCATAAGCTGTCTCATGGGAAGACTGAGATAGAGCTTGTTGAGACTGGTCTGTAATCCTCGATATCCACAGCCAAATTCTCTCCTATACAAGAGGCGCATAGATAGAGATCCAAGAAATGTCCTCTGAGATAAGTCAATAGTAGACGAGGCTACGAGGCTCAAGGAGCCGGTTGATCTTCGGCAAAAAGTTGATCGTGTCTGCGAGACTTTTCCTCGTCGCAGTCTATTAAATCCAACTATACCATTACTTCGAGTGTAAGATCATTCTGCCGACAGAGATCCGTCAGATTCTCTATGCGCAGCATCTGCCAGCTGTCTCGAAGATGGCACCAACAATTCTGCCTGTCTCCGAGTTTTGCGGGCCATCAACTCTGCCTGCAATCTCTCCAACCGATCCGACAGTATCGTCAGACCGCTCGCTCACGTCCCCTTCATCCGCGTAAACCACCGGCGACATCCATAGCGCAGACGGATATACATGAATTCGAACAACAGGGCGACGATGCGTCCACCAGACTCCCGGTCCGTGACCTCCTCGACGATGAAACGCATGCCTTGAAGGCCGAGTTGGACAAACTGGATCGCGAACTCGCGGTGATGCGAGAAGGGCCCTTCGGACCCAACAGCGAGTTTATACGATCCTTCCCCGTCAATGAGAGGGAGGAACTGCTGAAGGCTCTCGAAGAAGAGGGTGTCATGCCCTCTGAAGATCTCGATCTGGTGTCCGAGGAAGATTTGGAAGAGCTGGCAAGAGAAGAGGAGGGCAAGAAACAAGCCACGACGCAGAAATCAGCTCTCAAGGTCACCCTCAGCATTCCTATCAGAGACAAGATCTATGTCAGGCGGTTCAACACGGCGTTGGACTCCGCGCAGCAGAAGAAGGACGAGAAGTCTTATTTCACCCTATGGAAATGGTATCTCCGGTGCCAGCAACACGTTCCAAACTTTGCCTTGATCCTCCCCGAAGATGTGTGGCACTTCCTCTGGAAGTCTCAGAGTACGGTCTATTACAGACCCAAACACCTTGAAATGCTGGGCAAGGATATGATGAAGGCAGATGTGCCCCTTGAAGACAAAGAGTGGATTGAATATATCGATGCACTGCAGGCTACTGGAAACATCGCCGCTGCGGCAGAAGCATGGGAGGCACAGAGACCCAAGTTGGGTCAGGGGCTTGCGGAGGATCTCGCTGAATTGTTCTGGATTACCGGTATCCGGCTCTATGTGCAACTTGGAAAGCCACAGAAGGCGCAGCGTTTGGCATTTGAATGCTATGACCACACGACAATGATTGATCCCGAAGCTCTTGTCATGGTTCTCTCTGCCTGGGCCAAAAGTCAAAGCCCCTCGGCTGCTTCCAAGACCTGGTTTTGCTATCTGGAGCTGCGGAAGAGACTCGAGGGCAGAGAAGACCAAAAGACTACAGTGGATATTCTGGGTCGAGTCAGTAGTGCCCTACTTGATGCCGGGCGTACTGATCTCGCCCTGGCGGTCTTCAAAGACATGTTCATGCTTACAGCCAAGTCGCCAACCGATTCACTGAGGGTTTTCAGGGAGCTTAGCAAGGAGTCCAGTCAATCTCAGTCATCGGGTGAAGACCTCGTCAACCAGATCGGGCTCTCTTCCCTGGCCCTTTTCCCCCGCAGCTTCCACAACAAATACTTCTTTGCGGCATGGATCAAATGGCTCCTCGGCGAGGGGAGGACAGACGAGGCGGCTCTGGTTGTCGACCTCATGTATGAGCGCGGGATCAAACCTGATGCTGGGCCCTTGAATGGCCTCATCGCAGCCTGGTTCCGTCAAGGTTCACCAACTTCTCGCCAAAAAGCCGAGGAGACTGCATGGGCCATGATCCAGTGCCGGGTTGAAGTGGTTCAGAAGCGGCTTTCAAAGGCCGGCGATCCCAGTCCTGCAAATTCGACCTCCAAAGTCGAGAGCCGGCGAATTCCTTTCTTCCTCAAACGGGGGGCGCCACCTGCAACCATTGAGACATTTTCCATCTTGCTCCAACACTACACACGCCGTTCAGATCTTGCCAACGCCAGTCATCTCACCGACGTCATGACTGGTTCGGCTCAGATCAAGCCGAATTCATTCATAATGAACCATTGGCTTTATGCTTCACTTCGCTTAGGGCAGATCGCAGATGTCTGGAGCAAATATTTGACCTTGAAGCAATCGATCACCCCCGATCTTGAGACGTTTGCGGCACTCTGGGACACGGCCAAGCATTATTATGCATTTCCTCATCGACATCAAGGAGGGTTTCCTGATGCGCGAACGCTCTTCGCAGAGATGCAAGAATGGTTCGGCAGGCTTGACCTCAAAAAAAGATCTGCCGTCCAGGCAGACTTCTCTGATGAGCTGTACGAACAGGTCATACGCTGCTTCTGCCTCTCGTCCGATCCTCATGGCACCCTCTGCGCGCTGCATGGTCTGCGGGAGTCTTTCAATGTGCTGCCGCACGAGGAAGTCAGCCGGCTGATCATCATGCAGGTGGCTCGCTCGTTCGCGTCCGACTTCGTGCCACTCTCGGCCCGCGCTCGCGGCCTGCGGATGAAGAAGAACCTCCAGTATCAAAGTGCGGTCAAGACTCTGACTGAGATTGTGGTGGCCATCGGCGATAAAATGGTCCAGGAGAAGGACATTGATCCGGAGGCGGTCGAGCAGATTGAAAGTCGGCCCGCAAGAGAGCTCAGGCTCGATGTGCTATCTGCCTTTCTGTGCCTCGTCATTGAGAAGAGAATGAAAGGTGCGGCCGAGGGAGTCCTGGCCCAAGACATTCTAGGGGTCGCCGAGCAGATGAGGACATCCGTCCCTGCTGAGGCGTTGACGCAGCGTGACTGGAGCGACGTTGAAGTTTCCTTGTAACAACAATTTTATGATCCCTTGTGGCCTAGAGGGACAGGGACATGGAATATGTATTGTATAGTCTAGCGGTTAGAAAAGAGCCATCAGTCACCTCCCATTGGATACTAGGTATACTGTCTTTCTCCTTTCCCTTGCTCTGCTGCCTCCATACTGTGTACATACCTACCTAGACCATGACCTGTCCCATACTGCGCGAATATACAGCATGACCCTGGGCCAACGCTGCCTCCACCACCACCGCCAGAGAGTTTTCTTCTGTCACTCAGACTTTTCTCCGAAGGACATTGTTGCGTTGTATTCGTATCAATAACCCTCGTAAGGCAAACGCAAACGAAAGGCGGGAAATGCCGGATGCTGGATGTTCAATCTCTTCATTCATTCTCTCTTGCTCTCTTGCTCTTGTGCTCTTGGTGCTAGAATGGGAAATGTAGACCCGTGCTCCATGCCCTCCATGTGCTCATGTGCTCCATGTGCTCCATCCATGAGCGAAACATAACTCCAACACCTTTTCCCACCCCTTTCTCCACAGGTACCTAAAACCTAGGTAAGAAAGGAAACTCCAGAATTCTCTAGAATAGAGGCATAGAGGCATAGACACCTCAGACCTGACACCCTAGAGAGAGAGAAGAAAAGTGGATGACCAGAGAGGGAAAAAAAAAAAGAATGATGTATGAGGAAGAACCAAATATCAATATCATACAATGGACCCAACCGGGCGCCGATCATCGGGATGCATGGCCTGCCCATAATAAACACGATTCGGATTGTTTCATTTCTTCCCTTTCTTCTTTTTCTGTTTGCCCGTGGTGGTCGGAATTTCGGCGGCGGGTGTCTCGACGATGACGCCGTCCTCGTCGCTGCTTGCTGTGGCGGGTTTGGGGGCCGTCTTTTCTGCAGGGGCTGGTGGAGATGCTGAGGCTGGAGCGGGAGCGGGAGCGGGAACGGGAGTAGGAGAGGTGGTAGAGGTAGTAGAGGTAGTAGAGGTAGTGCTGGGTTTGCCGCCCGCGGTAGTCCCTGACGGGTCGTCGCCGCCCAGTAACTCCCGTCTGGCTGTCTCCCGCTGCTTCTCCCACCTCTCCTTCTCCTCCGGCAGTGTCTTTTTGATGGCGTCCAATTTCTCCCGCAGCATCTGGTTCTGCACCATCTCGTTTGCGCTCTGGAAGATGGTCTGTCCCCACGTGCCCGGCGAGCCGCTCGGCCCACCGCCTGATCCGCTCAACGCGTTGGCCTCGGCGACCACGTCCTTGAGTTCGAGTTCGAGTTCCTGCTCGGCGCGCTGCAGTCGCTGGAAGATCTCGTCGCCGACGACCCCGCGTTGCAGCAGCGCGGCCAGCGCGGGCTTCCGCATGCGGACTTCCATGATGCGTCGGATGTCGTCGCACGCCCGTGCCAGGAGCGCGGCCCGCAGCACCGAGTCGGGCACTTTGGTGTTGCCGTCGTCTTGCAGGTGGAGGAGGGAGAGGTAGATGTTGCGGGTCGTGTGCGGGGGGAAGTAGGGCGCCAGCCGGAGTTTCTTCTTCACTTGTCTCTGTCGGTACAGGTGGGAGAAGGTGGCCATGCTGCCGATCAGGATGGAGAGGTAGGCGATCGGGATGAGGAGGGAGAATGTGAGGAACTTCATCTTGGATCAATGTCGTGCGGTGGGCCGCGGTGGGTGGTGTGTTGTGCTATGTATGGGTGAGGGCCGGCGTGGTGGTTTTCCCCTTGGGATTGGATTGCGCTCATGAATTGGCGGCTTGGTTTGTGCCTTTTGGTGCCAGACACGCCTTGAAAATATGGGGACCAAGGGACGTCAAAGCGGAATGTAGTCGTGAGAGGACCTCAACAAGCGCGAGGAAGAGGGGAGTCGTTGGGTGAGTCGGGGGGTTTAATTATGGCGATATACCAAGTCATTTGCAAAGAGGACACTCGTGCAACTTTGGAAAACTAGTCGAGTGAGGGTCCCTTATCGATAAGGAGCGGAAATCTTGGCACCTCAAAAGTAAAATCTGCCCCGAGCTCACGTGGGACTCACCTCTAAGCGTGCCGCTTTAAAGGCTCGCGCTCGCGACTCACCTCCGCACCCACCCTGCCACCCTGGCTCACCTCTACAACTTACCTTCATATTACATAATCATGTAGCTGGGCAATCAGTCAAGTTCCAATGATAAAGTCTGTTCTCAAACTCGAGCCGCTCTGCTTGACTCTCCAAAGACTCGATGGTTTTCCTTATCGCAATCGTGAGGTCATTGTGTCGCTCCGCGAACTGATCAGCTGGGACCCAACCCTCTTCAGCGACAGGTATGTTGCAGGCCTTGAGGAGGTCTTGAAACTCATTGTAACGTCGTCCATCTCTCTGGTGATTTATTAACTCGTCACCGGCAATCTTGATTGGGCATTGTGGAGAGATCCCTTCCTCAAAAAAGAAGTCAGGCCAATGTCGCTGGATTCGGAGTAATGTCTCCCGTAGGAAAAGGGCATCGGTATCTTGCCCGGGCCGTACTCTCCCAAACAACTCTACCTGCTTTCGAATAGGCGCTAAATGTCTGTCTTCGAGTAAGGCTGCAAGTTCGGGCGCACTTTCTCTTAGATCGGCAAGATAATACTGCTGAAGCATGGACTGGCGATACCTTTCCCAAATTCGAAGCTTTGTCGCTGAGGGCATAATTGAGAAGTCCTCCGGGAGCTCCAGAAGAAGTGCGTCATCTTCCAGTTGGATAAATTGAGGGATTCGTGCCGCTAGAAATAACGGCAGGATGTCCGTACCTTGCCAGTCAACAATGCAAGAGACTTTGCCCAGCGCGGAGACAAACAAGTTCCCAAAGTGTAGATCTTTATGCCACAGCACCGGCTGGTTTTGCTTCACAGTGCGGGGAAGAATATACGGCATCACAGTACAAAGTGTCTGAAGCATATTACACACGGCAGTGGCCGATGTGTCGCTTGCTGTGTTGACTGGGAAGGAGAACGCTCGGCTGGCGGTCGTGTCTTGGTCTTTGGATGTCACAATCTGCGCCATGGAAGAGCGTGCGATGGAAGTGAGATAGTCTTGTGAACTTCGCCCTGACTGATGAGCAATCGAACAATCATGTCTGCACCTCGGAACTTACAAGGACCACAATCCACCCCCGAGGCCATGAGCACCGGTTCAACGAAATGTTGGTTTGCCAGTGGGCCGATGCAATATTTCCGACCTCCAGCTGATGATACTGGCAAGTGGTGCGAGATTCCAAGCTTTGCAACATCGTCGGCAAAATACAGGCTCCCATATCCGTCGAAGACATTGCTGGCTGCGATGAGTCGCTTTTGTATTGACAGCACTTCATCGACAACAGCGAGCTTGTCTGGAATGTCGAGGCTGGGCCATATGGCATTCAAGGGTCGCCCTTGAGCCTCCTCCATGAGAATGTATTCGCAGCCGACTGGGTTGTCGCTGCTATCGCTCCATGCAAACACCTTGGGAACTGGCAAGTCCAGCTCAGACCGCAAGAATTCGAGTGTAGCCGCTTCGCTTGCCGTGACCAAGCGCGGTGGAACGACCGGATCAGGAATTTTGACTATCAATCGCTGTTTGCCAACAACAGCCAAAAAGACTTTGTTGGATGCGCCTTCGGCAAGCTTCTCGAGCCGAACGAATGCGGGATCCAGTGCTGATCCCGCTGCTTTGATAATGACATCTTCTAGAGCCTTCAGGTCGAATGTCTGAGTGTGCTCTTGACGCTGGCGAGGCTCGTTCCAAAGCCAGCGTCCTGCAGTGGGGGAGAAAAGATCTCGGGTGGCAGAACGGCCGAGCCGACTGCGTTGCCACGTTCGAAAGAGGTTTCTCATCGGCTTGACGGCTAACACGCCGCTTCTTCCAAATCCCTTTCGGACAGATTAGTCGGAGGTGAAGTTAGGTCAAGTCCAGAACTCATCTCTCGAACATGATTATTGCTTTCGAACGGCGTGAGACAAGGAGAAGGAAAAATCTGTGTGACTGTTGAAACAGCAAGCCAGAAGATGATCTTGGCAACTGAAGCGAAGTCAAAACTGCTTCGAGGTCATGTACGACTCACCCAGGCAGCTGCCAGGCCCTGCACCTTGCTCACCAGGCTCACCAGGCTCTCCTCCCTCCTTCCCATCGACTCCGAACCTCTTGCAACCTCTATTAATTACAAGTCTACACCTACCATTCTAATGCTTTTGCGCCCCAGGCTTCCATCATGGCGTCCTCGTCCTCGTCCCCGAAAACGTTTGCCTCTCCTCCATCCCAAACCTCTTCGCCGCAAAATGCTATAACACGCGATCGCTCAGTGGGGCGAAATGTCCACATCTACGACTTGAACAACCCTACCACCGTAATTGGCGGCCTACTCCTCCTACCCGGTGTCACAAATGCCAACTTCTATGCAATGATAGAGATTATTGTTATATTCGAGGGCCCTTTCTTTCTACAATATGAGAACGAAACGAAGATTGAGAAAGATGACTATCCACTTCAACCTGGAAAATATTATATTATTGGTTCTTTTCGACTTAACAATGAGCTATGGCTCGTCCGGGCAATTAGCCTAGCTACCGGAAGTCGTATTACCGCCTTCGCCGAGGCTATTCGTTTACGAGATCGTCAATGTGTTATATCTGGACGGCCTGTACCTACATTTAACGGTATCGACTTCTGGAGAGGCTTCGAAGCTGCGCATATTTTCCCACTCGCCTACGAAGGTGACTGGATTAAACAGAATTACGGCCAACTAGTACAAGGGGGATCTATTAACTCAGTTCAGAATGGATTATTACTCGACGCCGGTATTCGTCAACTATTCGATTCATACTCTATCTCGATTAATCCGGATGACAACTATAAGATTATAGCCTTTGAGCCTACGGGGTACGATTTTGAAGGTAATTATCTTAATCGGGAGTTATTCACTCGCCCTAATGCGCCTATTAATCCACTTCTACGATGGCACTTTAGACAGGCTGTCCTAGCGAATATGAGAGGTGCTGGAGAGCCGCGCTTCGAACATGACCTCCCGCCTGGTTCTGATATTGTTGGTGAGATACTTCGGGGTCCGAAGCCAAGAGAAAGAATGGAATTTGAGCTGTTCAGTCGTCTTGGTGCTCAAATGGAGTTGTTTCCGTCGCGAGGGGGGGAGGGGGGAGACTAACTAATGAATACAGGGCGGCATTATCGCCGTCCTAAAGGGGGGAGCTCGCGGTAGTTTTTACTTATCTTGACAAAAAAGGGGTATCAATCATAGTGTGTCGGGCGGACACGGCGGAGAACCGAAGGTAGTACCAAGTATGAGGTACTGGTAGTTCCGTGTACAGCTAATCCTGTTTTAATAATCTTTTTGTTCCTTGTTATTACACATAGCAGATGTGTACTTGTGTGGTCTGATGTTGGGCTGCTAGTACTAGTACGAGGTAGGTATACCGGAAAACCTATACCCTTTCTTCTCTTCAATGCTTCATGGTCTGGTTCGTCTTGTTCATATTCCAGTTCGTCATGTCCTTGTCGCGTTCGGCTTCTTGTTCGGCGGTCGCATCCAGCTTGAGTGGACAGAGTATAGAGAGAGCAGGTGAGCAGAGGGACCAGTTTTGATGGACGGCGAGGACAGGTCCGGGCCCCTGTTGCCGCTCTTGTCTTTTTTATTCTGATCCCCTTGCTGGTCCGTCAACTTAAGCTGGTCTTCGTCTAGTTTAATTCTTCTCGACCATGTCGTCCCGAGCCCTTATCCATTTTCCTGTTCCTTCTCCGCCTGACTCAGGGTCGTCTTCTTCGTCTTGGGTCCATCTTATTCCTAATCCGATCCATCTCCGCGTGATTCAACTTCTTCAACTTCTTGTTCGCTTCGTATCGCATCGTTGCGATCATTTCCGAAGTCTTCGCGAGATTTTGTCTCCATTTCGTTAGAGACCATTTTTCTTCTTTTGGTCTTGCGAGGTTCTGACGGAATACCTCGCTTTGCTTATTATTTTCCATGTTAGTATAGCGTAGGTCTGTCTGAAGCAAGACCCTGCCTACCGCGAACCGGGGAGTGTCCTTTAGCCTAGCCTGACTCTGGAGATTGTCCAGCTCGATGGAGAGGTTGTCTGCGAAATGGTGAAGATTTCTCATGTAGTCCGATCCGGGTTTTCTCAAGCCAGAAAAAGTGGTATTGGGTCCTTGGGCGGCGACACCTCCACCGTCGTCTTCCTTTTCCCTTGAACTCTTTCTTTTCTTTCTTTTTTTCTTCTGCATTTTGTACCTCTCCCGTCGTCGCGCTTCCCGAAAAAGCGACGTTACAGCTCACAACCCACGGCACCGTGGATCGATATTCGAAGGCGAGCCGTGGGGAGCAGTATATAATTCCCTTGGTCGGTGCCGTCAAGCACGCAGTCGCAGAGCGTTTCGAGTTCGTCGATAGACTCAAGCTGAACCTCTTGTATCGATCACGTCAAGCAAAACGTGTGTTTTCGACATCGGCGCCCTGCCTGGACCAAGTCTCTTTCCCTCCATCACCATCCTCCTCGTCACTTCCACTTGTCGAACCAGATGCATCTCTGGTTCCGCATCAGGTTTCATCTGGTTCAAATATTCTGGACCTCTAGATTTTTTTTTTAAAAAAAATCCAAGTAGCGACCATAGATCACCTCGATGACAGGGGATGGAAATGTTATGGGGTGGGACGAAGCGGGAGTGGAGGGAGATGGGCCTTATCAATGCGTTTCGTCTATCGTGGCTTAGGTCCCTTGGTCTATTGCGTCGACTCCTGTAGCGCTCGACCACCTGCTGTCCGAAATGATCCGACATTGTTTCTTTGGAGTCAAGATGATCTGACTCGGGTAGGATCGGTTCGGGAAGTGAGGAATCGAACTCGAGGGGCAATGATGTTGTGAAGGTTGCTGAGGTCCCTTTCTCTGTCATCACCACGCAGCTCAGTCTGGAGCAAACCCTACCTAACTAAATCGACCCTCACAAAGGTACACGCTCTGTTCTTTTGTCTTCTTGTAGCCTACTCGGGCAACGTGAAATAAATCGAGGTCGCCCCGTCCGGCGCGAGGTTAACGTCATCGGCTGAAGGTTCGTCTTTGCAAAAAACAAGCCGAACGGGCTCTGCCCCGAATCGTCCTATAAACTCAGCTTTGACGGGACATCCTTTGGTGTCGGTGTCGTAGGTTTTCTATCGTATGTTGACGGTAGTGTGGAGAGAGTTCTCTTTCGTCACCCCCAGCGGCGAATATTGTGAGGTTGAGATGAGGACTTTTCTTTCTGTGTTATAAGAGTCCGGTCTTTTCAATCGTCGAACTGGATAATTCTTTCGACCGGGTTCTCGCTTGGAGAAGAGATCGGGTGTATTTCTCGAGGGTGTTTTTGCCCCAATAATGGAAGCAGGAGTACTGTAAGTAATAGTATTAGGGACTCTGTATTGATGCTTCTGACCGAATGGATATTTGTAGATATCTGTCTGAAGCACTCCGACGAGCAGTCCGCGGTGAGTGTTCGATGCTTAATGTCTGTTGCTAGTGTTGTTGCTGATATTTTGTTATGGTGTTTCGTATGGTAGCCACGGCATAACGTGGCGTCATTTGTAAGGTAATTTAATCGTGGTTTGATAGGTTGTCCATATTTGTTTCTTTCGAAAATCGATATACCCGACTTTCGAGAGAGCAGAGTGCCCCGCGTTCTAGTGAAGCTTAGTATATGGGACCGCTGAGCTGACGGCCGATAGTCGATGGCAGTCCTGCAGCGTGAGGGGTAACAGTGTCATGTGCCCTGGCCCATGACAGTCCTTTACCCATGGATAGGTGTCTCTGTTGTTTATAGATGCATGTATAGAGCGGTGCCATGGTTGAAACGGTTGGAGCTTCGGGACAGAAACTCGGCCAGGTAAGGATGAGAAGTAGATTTTCGCGGTGATCACCTTAGTGAGCGGTAGACCTTCAAAGCTCTATGAAGCGAATAGATCCTGGTCGCACAACGAGGAGTGACAGCAGTCGGATATCCGAAAGCATGTGTGATATGGTTGCGATAATGAAGTTGATATTCTCCGTGATGAGGCAGACGTTTGATATATTCAGGCTTGAACATCAAGTACGTGTCGTCGGGCATCAACTGAGACGATCCCTGTTCAACCGACTGGCCAATGCACTACCAATGGCAAACGTGCCACGTCATCAAGCTGGACAATGGCCACGGCTGGGCGCGGGCGTTGTAGAGGGGGAGAGCTCTTAGCTTCCTCCTGAGTCACTTCTGGTCCTTGAGGAATACGGGACCTCGGAGACCATTCTCAGGAGTACTAACACCCTGCACCACGAGAAGGTGGCTCTCCCTCGCAGGGTATCATTGATGGCCTTGTGTGTGGTCTTGTACTGAGAAGTCGTGAACGCGATGAATCCTCGTCTGTCCCGGAGACGCGTTGTCAAAAGATGCACCTGAAAGAATTTGTGTAACTCTATACAGTTGGACAAATTGGGTTCCAGTAAAAAGTGGGGGCATATCAAAGGCGAAGGAGGAGCATGAGGTGTTCCTCGTACTCGCGAGTATTGGGGAAATAAGACCATGATTATTGCCCATTGCCTATTACCTGAGTGCATGCATCTCCTTCATCAACGAGATGATCATAGAGTGGCGACAGTCACTGCAAGGAGGAAGTCTAAATAGATTTTTAAGGCCTCCCTGTCCACTTAATGCTCGGTCAAGCTCCGGCATCTCCTTTTGCATGTGTAAACAAACTCCTCTCCTAAATGATTCAGTCAACTTCTGGACATTTACAAAGTACCGACTAAAAAGGTGTCAAGAATGCCTCGTAATGTTCTCATCACAGGCTGTTCTGATGGTGGCCTTGGAGCTGCCCTTGCTGTTGCCTTCCACAAAAATGGCGACCGTGTCATCGCGACGGCCAGGAACACTACTAAAATGGCGTCTCTCACGGCGATCGGCATTGATACCCTTCAGCTTGACGTGCTTTCAGAAGATTCGATCAAAGCAGCAGTCCAGGCCACTTCCAAAATGACGGACAACTCCCTCGACGTACTAGTCAATAATGCGGGACAAGGCTATAGCACACCGCTAATGGACGCCTCGATACCTGCACTCTCGCAGCTGTTCGAATTGAATACTATATCTGTTGTCCGTGTTACGCAACTGTTCTTCCCTCTACTACGGAATGCGAGGGACGGCGCCCTGCTGGTGAACAACACTTCATGTGCAAGTGTCATGCCCGTACCTCTTCAAGGGCCCTACAGCGGCACCAAGGCAGCCCTTGCATCCTTTTCTGGTGTGCTCCGACAGGAGCTGCAACCCTTCAACATCAAAGTCGTCGATCTGAAGACCGGCATGGTGAAGTCGAACTTTTTCGCCAATGCATCGTCGTCAGGGGACTCTGCAGAAGGAATTTTGAGACTCCCCGAGGACTCGCTCTATCTGCCTGGGAGAGAAAAGGTCGAGAAATTCATGCGGTCAGACATCAACGTTCCTCAAATGCCAGCGGATGAGTGGGCCGCGAAAGTCGTTCAAGATTTGTCCAAGAAAAGTCCTCCCGTGCATGTATGGCGCGGAGGAAATGCATTCCAAATGTGGCTGTCGTCCTTCCTGCCGGTGGGGATGCTCGACTCAACGCTCAAGAAGATGACGGGATTAGATATCGTGGAGCAGTCCTATCGTAGTTCGAGGGCGGAGAAGACGAAATAGGCGGAGCACAGACACACAGCGATCTCCATGCCTCCTGCCTATTCGCCGAGTCGTGAGTGGGATTTGCTCAAAGGATCCGTACAAGGCTCTCCACTCTCCTCCTGTTCATGGGCAAAGCATTGGTGAAGAAAGTAGATCCAAGGCTTACACATGGGACTAGCCATCAATCACATAGTAGATGATAGAGGCAACATAGACAAAATGTATGATCTCGGCATAATTCACCTTCCACAAGCACAAGCGAAGAGGGAGGAATGCCCTAAAACGGTATAGTTCAGCCTTGTCTCTCGGCACACTTTCCCCGTTGTGGGGTTGTCGAAACTTTTTTGACTGCGGCGACTTGATGATCTCCAGCACCGCCGTGCAGCAATTTCTCCAGGCAAAGTCGAAAATGCCGCCGTCGCAGCTCAAGCAGCTCAAGGCGTCGCTGCATGAGAGCGGCGTCCTTGGGCCCCAGAAATCCAAGAAACAGCGAAAGCTGACCTCCAAAGATGCGCAGAAGCGGGCGCAGCGCAATGCCGCACTCGAGGGCATTCGCGAACGATTCAACCCTTTCGAGGTCAAGGCGCCTGCTCGAAAGGCCAAGTATGAATTTGTCAATGGCAAGAATACCAAACCCACAGTTGGTCGGCCGGGTGTCACTCGTGGCTTGGGCGAAGAGCGCCGGCGAGAGACGTTACTGAAAGAGATGCAAAGCCGCAATAAGGTGGGCGGTCTGCTCGACCGTCGGTTCGGAGAGAATGACCCCACGATGACGCCAGAGGAACGAGCGGCCGAGCGGTTCGCCCGTCAGAACGAGCGCAAGATGAAGAAGACTTCCATGTTCAACCTTGAGGATGACAGCGAGGAGGAGATGACGCTCACGCATGGTGGAAGATCGCTCGACTTTGAGGGTAATGCCGGAGATGACTTTGATGAAGACGAGGTGGAAGGCTTGGATAACCCAGACAGAGATTTTGACCAGGACGACCGGCCTCGGAAGAAGCTGCGACTAGCCGAAAACGAAGACGTCGATTCCCACGAGGAGGACGATCAAGATCTACCCCAGAGAAAGAAGACGAAGAATGAGGTGATGAAAGAGATTATTGCAAAATCCAAAATGTACAAGGCCGAGCGGCAAGCTGCAAAGGCAGACGACGATGACCTTCGAATGGAGCTGGACAAAGGCATGGCTGAGTTCTACGAGGCGCTTCGAGGCCAGAAGGCGCCTGAAAAGGAAAATCTACCACCACCGGTCCCGAACTCAGAGCCGCACATGGATCCCTCTCGCGCTGCAATGCTTGCAGGGAAGAGCAGGGAAGAGGCAGAAAAGGAGTACGAGTCCAATCTTCGACAATTGAAGCTGGAGGCACGCTCCAAACCGAGTGTACGGACCAAAACCGACGAAGAGAGAGCTGCCGAGGAGGCCGCTCGACTTGAAGAGCTCGAGCGCAAGAGAATTCGCAGAATGAAGGGCGAGGCAGAAAGCTCAGAAGACGAGGAGGAAGAGGAGCCAGGGCCAGATGAAGATGATGAAGTCGACGACGCCGAAGCGTTCGGTCTGGCTGCCCCTGATTTCGATGCTGTCCCTCGGAAGGAACTGGATGTTGAAGACGAGGACGAATTCCTGCTTGATGACGACCTAGTTGCTTCAGACTCGGATCCTGACATGGCAAGCGAACAAGGCTCTGAGGAATCCGAGTCCGAAAGCGATATTGAGGATGATGGTGATGATGATTTCATCAACGGGCTGGTCTTACCGCAGGAAGCCCAGAGCACGTCAAAAACGATCTCCAAAGCCTCAAGCAACACCAATCTAGCCTACACTTTTCCGTGTCCTCAGACGCACGAAGCATTATTGGAAGTGGTCAAGGACTCTGACGTCGCCGACTTGCCCACGATCGTGCAAAGAATACGCGCACTCTACCACAAAGGTCTCGCCGAAGGCAATCAAGAAAAACTCGACACGTTCGCTGGTGTGCTGACCCAGCATGTTGCGTTTCTTGCGGACACAGAACCCGATGTTCCTTTTTCTGTTCTTGAGAGCCTCCTTCGACACTTACACTCGATGGCGAAGTCGTCATCGGAAGCTGTGGCAGCCGCCTTCCGCAGACATCTCCAAGAGATCAATGATGAACGACCGCTCCAGCTGTCTGCTGGCGATCTTGTCATTCTCACAGGTGTCTCGACCATATTCCCAACCTCAGACCATTTCCACTCAGTAGTTACGCCCGCCACTCTCACCATTGGTCGGTATCTTGGACAGAGCTCGATACAATCTCTCCAGGACCTCAGCATTGGGGCTTACTGCTGTTCCCTTGCGCTTCGGTATCAGCAGCTTGCAAAACGATATGTTCCGGAAGTGGTCACTTATGTTACCAATGCTCTGGCCGCTCTTTCACCAACACCGCTACCAGACCACGACCAAGACGGTGTGCCGTTGCACGTTCCTATTAGGTTGCCCACAAGACCATTGCGTGTAAGATCGACATCAGCAACTGTTTCAGAGAAGCTCTCATTCAAGGATTGCATCATGAATCGAAGTGAGGAAGATGGGCCTTCACAAGGCATCACTCTGCTGAATGCCTTTATTCGCCTAACAATGCAAGCTGCCTCCCTTTGGAGTCACAAGTCCGCACTCCCTGAAATTGTTCAGCCTTTCGTCCACGCCCTTACCCACTTATCTCATCAACGCAAAATGCTGCCGCCACAAACTCTCACGCTAGACAACAACACTCTCTCCGCCCTCCTCGCCCTTCAGTCTGCTTCGGTCAAATCACGCCTCCCCCTTCTCTTACATAACCACCGCCCACTCGCTATCAAAACCTCCCTACCTGCCTTCATCGAGAATTACAACCCCGACCGACACTATGATCCAGACCGCCAGCGAGCCGAGCTCTCCAAGTTGAAGGCCGAGCATAAGAAAGAGAGGAAGGGAGCGATGAGAGAATTGCGGAAGGATGCCAACTTTATTGCAAGACAGCAGTTACAGGAGAAGAAGAAGAGAGATGAGGAGTATGAAAAGAAGTACAAGAGGTTGGTAGCAGAGATTCAGGGAGAGGAGGGCCATGAAGCAAAAGCTTATGAGAGGGAGAGGAGGAAGAGAAAGGGGAAATTCTAAGGAAACCGGAGCGGGAAGATCAGGGTCTCGCTATCACATGCCGCCTCACGCTTTGTTTTGAAATGTACGATGGCTTGAGAGGCTTGTTTGCCTTTTGTCGGCGTGTTTGGATGCCGTCCACAACTAGATCGAAGACGACTCCTACAATACTACTGCTTACAACCCCGCTCAGCTTTATATTGGAATTTGGATCGGCTGCTTGGTATCAACCTTGCTGCGGAGTCTACCGGTAGTCATGGAAGTCTTTCCGGCTCCTTCAGCCGTTGGCCTTAGAAAAGAGTTTCACAGTCCCTGGACAAACCAAGCATCCGAATGGCTCCCACTGGATCGTCCAACGTTGTTATGCCGACACGCCGTTTCAGATGCGCATGTCCGGTCTCTCTCCGCAGTTTCCAGACAACGTCTACGCTATCTTCGTGGCTATCAAAACGCAACAATCGATACTTCGTGCTAAACATCCATCGAGAGGTATGGATCGTCATACTAAGCAGCACGCAAGAGGCGGCATCAAGGGAACTTCTAATTAGCATAGCATCAAGACAACGGATTGACGCTCGGACTCGAGAGCCAGACCCTTTTCCTATTTATGGAGTGAAACTTTGCAAGAGAAAGCCATGACAACACCAAGAAAGTCGGGCTACGGACTTTTCTCGACATGAATCAGGGCTGGGGAGAATCAATGAAAGCGCGGACATTCGGCCATCATGGATAGTCGCAGATGGTTCTTTCCTCATATTTCTGGCATATTCCTCCGTTGTGGCCGACAAAATAAACCGATCATCCCCTGATTTCTGAGCCTTTGTTGCAGTGAGGAAGCCATGAGGAGTGCAATGCGGCAAGACGGTGGGCGTCAGGGGAAACAGCCAGAACAACTCACAGAGTCAAGCTCGGGAGACATTGACGATGCCTCTGTGCAGCACCAGGCATACCACGAAACCGCAGACGCCAACAACAGCCTCTGTCCCGATTATGCTCTTCATTGCACCACCGTCCGGAGATTTCCCAGTCTCAACAGGAGCATTGACAGGACGGAGCAGTCTAGCAGCACGCTGGCAGAGAAAGAACAGGGAAATGGCCATGATTCAAAAGATCTAGAGGAGACGTACAGCCTTCACGCTCCCGATGCTGTCGGCTTCTTCAATCCTTCTCTTTCTCAGATTCGAAGTGCTGTGTTCCTGAAGTATTCATGGACCCGTGGGTGTCTCTCCAGCACGTAATTTTCTCCTGGCCCCTTGCTGACTTGAACCAGTCGCCCTACTTTGCGTTTTTGTACTTGGAGTCCTTTCCATATACTGGGGAGTCCTGTTCAGAGTACGCGAGAATCTCCGCTCTGCCACCATCGCCGTGGTTGACTTTGACGCAACTTCACCTCCATACGAGACCGTCGAGCCGATTGTCGGACGTTTTGTTCAAGCTGCCATCATCCACGAGCGTGCCTCTCAGAGATATCCGCTGGGCTACGAGATCCTGGACCCTATCACATTCAGGCACGACCCTGTCGCAGTCCGTTTGGCAGTCCATGAAGAGAAATACTGGGGAGCGATTATCGTTAACAACAATGCTACGGCGCTCTTGCGACTCGCGGTGGAAAATGGAAACGTGTCCTACGACCCGTTTGGTGCAGGACAGATTGTGGTCAACCAAGCTAGAGATATCGAATCCTACAACCAGTACATTACCCCCGTGCTGGTTCGACTTGCATCGGATATCAGCTTTGCTTTTGGTCGCGAGTGGACGCGGTCTGTGCTCACAAACGATACTCTCGCACAGAGCGTCTACAGCAATGCCCCCCAAGCTTTATCTCCTGGAATTGGCTTCAGCATATTCAACTTGCGACCTTTCGGTGAGTACAGAGCCTTGTGGAATCCTCGTCCGTCGTGATCACTGACATTCTATCCAGATCCTCCAACGGCAATCCCCGCTGTCAGCATTGGCCTCATTTACCTCATCATCATAGCCTTCTTCTCGTTCGGCTTCTTCGTGCCCATGCACATGAGATTTGTTCAGCAGGATCCCTCCAATCCCCATCCACCGCTGAAGTTCACTCATTTGATCGTCTGGCGCTACATCTCTACAATCATTGCCTACTTCCTCCTCTCGTTCTGCTATAGTCTTGTGAGCCTGGCATTTCAAATCCCGTTTTCGCGGAGGCCGCCACATGGTCACAGCGACTGGCTCCAGACCGACGTGGCGAACAACGCAGATCATTTCGGGCACGCCACTTTCGTCGTTTATTGGATGTTGAATTGGTTAGGCATGTCTGCTTTGGGTCTGGCTTGCGAGAACGTTGCGATGGTAGTTGGTCAACCGTGGACAGCTCTGTCGCTGATATTCTGGGTCATCACCAACGTATCAACAGGGTTTTACGCATTGGAACTGGCACCGGGGTTCTTCAAATGGGGATATGCATGGCCATTGAGGCAGGTCGTATATGCGAGTCGGACGCTGTTGTTCGACACCCGCGATCGACTTGGGTTGAACTTTGGTATTCTGGCTGCCTGGGTTGGTATTGGGACAGTCCTGTTTCCAATTTGCTGTTGGATTATGAGATGGAAAAGCATGAAGGCCAAAAGGAATCTGGGTTGACTGGGCTTGGAAGGATTGGATCATGGTCGTACGTGGTTAGGATATTAGATCACGATAGAGGTACATACTCTTTTGCAAGTACACGAATACATTTTGGCTTGATTTTACTCCATGATCTATATTTTGAGCACACTGCAAAAACAAAATCGTTCGAGGAACAAAGGTGAAGATGAACAATCGAGCAAAAAGAATTGATCCTGGCGAGACTTGAACTCGCGACTTTCGCATTCCTCGAAAGAAGTCATACCGGATGCCACCAGGGGCATACAATATAAGAACGACACGCTAACCACTGCGTCACAGGCTATGGGGAAAGTCAGCGTTACTGCGCCAACTCTGTGACCGACAGGTGTGGTTGAGAGAACTCACATCATAAATTTTGGCGAAAAGCGTACCCTGAAAGTGAGGTCATTTTCGGGACAATTTCAAGACCATTTTTGCGGGGGTTCAATATATATACTTGCATTTGAAGGCACGTGATTAGATAATTGGTGGGGCATATTCCAGCCACAGGCCAGCCTACCACTACCTCGCCAACTCGCTACGAGCAAAGCACAGCTCTCTCTGTCATATGTACCCGCGACTGTAGCACTGGGTTCCTCAGTTAATGACCGAGACAGGACTGTTTCCATCTCTCTAACGGTAAGGAGCACTAGGGCAAAGTCTTATTTTGTGCCTCTCTGTGTATTTCTCCTCCCGGGAGGGTTCTTGCGCCTCTCTGCCGTGCACAAGTTTCCAGAGACTCGCTGCGACAGATCAACTTTTTTTTTTGGTTCGCGTAGGATCATTGACTTTGCGCAGATCTCGCGACTCCTCTACTACCTACTTCACAAGTCGCGCTACTTTACATATTTCCTCCCTCATCTCTCTATTCTTCGCGAAAAATGGGCTCTCAACCCGACGCTGAGGCCGGCGCGAGTGCCGATGAGGACGACTACATGAACATGACCTTTGAGGACACGGCGTCGTCCGCGACGACGAAGAACGAAACCCTGACGCAGCGCAAGAAGCGGCTCGCGCGAGAGGCCGAGATCAAAGGCCGGCCCAAGTCCAAGGCGGAGCTGGCGCAGGAGGAGCGCAAGAAGCGGGAGGAGGCGCTGAACACGACGACACTCGACACGAGCAACAGGGGGTTCAAGATGATGGCCGCCCTGGGATATAAGCCTGGGACCGCCTTGGGCGCGGCACCGCGGACGACGACTGCGGACGGCAGCGGCGGCGGAAAGGACGATCGTCTTCTCGAGCCGATCGGGCTGGAAATGCGTGAGTCACGTTCCGGAATCGGCGCCGACGCGGAGAAGAAACGCAAGTTTAGAGAGGAGGTCGAGGCGCGGCAGGAGGCAGATAAGAAGAGGAAGGTCGAGGCCGGCGAGTTCCGCGAACGGCAGCAAAAGGAACGCGAGGAGAAGAAGATGGAGGGTCAAGTCTGGGCAGCCATGAAGGTCTGCGAGAGACTGGACGAGGAGGACGATCTAGAACAGTCGGTCGACGGCAAACCTGATCCTGCACAGAAGCCCAGAAGGTCAAAACCGCTGAAGGCCGTCAATGTCTTGTGGCGCGGCCTCGTTAAGCAGAGAGCCATCAACGAGCGTGATCGACGGATGAGGTATGACCTCCACCAGTCACTGTCGAGACGGCCCGACTACATCGACCCCGACGAAGAAAAGGAGGATCAAATGGCAATGGGGAAGAAAACGGAATTGGAAGAGGTCGACGTCGATCTCGACGAGGAAGACGAAGAGCTCAACGAGTTCGAGACCCTCGAAGTATCGGAGAAGGTGTCAAAGCTAGTGGAGTATCTGCGAGAGAGATGGCATTATTGTTTCTGGTGCAAATACAGGTACCCAGACGAGAAGATGGAAGGGTGCCCCGGCACGACGGAGGAGGATCACGACTGAGGTTGGGAGTGTGGTGTTGATCTGCAGTAGAATCTAAAAGGAACCAATCAATCTATTGATCAATCGGGTAAAGACACGAGCTACGCTCCGTTTGTTTGCCGTATCTCTGTATTATCTTGTCATCATACGAGCGTAGACTGTCACGACTTGTCAATCCTTGATAATTCGCCGAACATGAACCGGTCGAGGGACTTCAGCCTTGCCTTGCCTCCTCGAACCCTGTCCAAAAATACTTCTTTTCCTCCCCTCCCATCCTACTCGATGCATCACCAGCCATGTCTTTTTTCAGCTCGAACCGCTTCCTGCTGACTATCCTCGTCATAAGTTTGGGAACGGCGTGCGCGACAGTTCCCGTTCTTCTCCGCAGAGTCAAAGACGCGGCGAGGGCGCCGCCACCAGACCCTCCACCCCCGGCCAAGCGTCTCCAAAAGGACTCTGAGAACTCGCTCAAGCTCGAGACGCTGCGCACCCTGGCAGACGGGTACAGCTACGACCTCCGCACTTCGGCCATCAAGATCGTCGCGAGTCGCACGGTCCGGTCCCGCACGAGGCATCTATTGCTGCGCGACCTGGCCAGCGCGGACGAAACCCGTCGCGAGAACGCCCTCCATGCGTTGCACATGCTGCTCACGCACCCGGCGCTCAGCGACACGATCTGCAGCCACTTCAGGGACCCCAAGACCGTGAGGGCCATCGTTCTGGGCCTGATCAACGTGCTGCCTCAGCATAAAGTCCCTGTCAAAGAGGAGCCCCCCGACTGGCGCACGCAGCACTGGGTGGAGAAGATGCCGCCCCCGTCGCCCATCCGTCCCCTGGACCGCCCGGCGCACGAGGCCCAATTGCTCGAGGTCTTCACCGTTGTGGTCCACAGCCTCTCGCGGCGGGACACCAAGTACACGGCCGTCATGGACGCCGCTTTGGACGCAGGGCTGGTCACCAAATGGCTGGCAAATTATCCCTTCCCGTGCTCTTCACCGGACAACTCCGAACTCAACTTCCGCCGATACGACGTGACCAGGTTATTCGACCGTAATGCTTGGCTGTCCGATGATCTTCTCATGGGGGACGTGATCCTGGTGGTCATGCAGTATCCTCCCGCGAGGAGACAGATGCGCGAGGCTGGGTTGACTGCGAGCAGTTATAGAGAGGACATCTTTACGAGCGGGCCCGACCGGGGCCTGTGGTGGAATCAGGGCGCGGGAGATCGAGATCGCGATCGCGATCGCGACTGGCAAGACGAGGACGAAGATGCCGACGAGGACAACGACGTGAGAATGGTCAATGGCGAGGACACTGCAGGGCTGGCTCCTCCTGGAAACGGCGCCGTGGGCCACCACGACAACATCACCACCCTTTGGGACGAGCCTTCACGCCCGACGACTACGAGGGCTGCCGCGCGACTACGGTCGGCCGAGCGGAGTCAAGAAGAGGAGCACCTGAGAAGGCGGCACAGGGAAGCCATCGTCGTCGCCGAGCGCGGCACCCCACTGAGCAGGGAAAATATCCTGCAAAGAGCCAACAGCGAGATTTTGCAACCCATGAACGGCGTCAGCGAGGTCGAGGGGGAGTTGAACGGGCTGTTGAACCTGTCCGAGACCTCGAGGGATGCTCGGCGGGATGAAGATGCTTCGGAGCTACCTCACGCGGCCGACACGGCCGCTGTTGACGCCACCCCGGCTTCTGATGGCGAGGATCAACTGGTCAAAGAGTCTACGGGAGAGGAGGACGAAGGAGAAGAAGAGGAAGAGGAAGACGAGGACGGGGAGGAGACGAATCGCGCTCAACGGCGGCACCGTGAGATCGAACAATTGATCGAGCATGACCCAGAGATACAGGGCACGAACGAAGTGCAGTCCAAGCAGCAGCTGAGCGAGTCGAGCGAGGAGATCGCGGCTAGTGCTACTTCTACGATGGAAGATGACGACGGTCCGAAAGAGCACGAAGACTCGTCGTGACGACCAGAAGAAGAATTGGGCGTGGGCCACGACAGATTGTACCACTATTGAGATATAATGTATCTGCTTGACATTCACATGGCGATGGCGTTGAGGAGGTTAGCCCATTTTGCCAGAGACACTGCTGAGCGAAAAACATGATGACACTGTGTGTTTGTGAGAGAGGGAGGGGATGGTTTAGATCCTGGTTTCAATACGGTACGGCGTCACTTCTCCTCTTCGGAGGGGTTCATGTCAAGAAGCCGTTCCCTTTTCATTTTGTTGCAGCCCTTTTGACTACTGGGTCATTTCTTGCAAAGAGTTATGTATGTTTTCGAGCCACACTTTCATCCTCGCAATTCTCCCCATCAGCGTCCCTGTCTCCCGTGATCCCATTGCAATTCGGATGAAGACAAATCCATCACGACTCCCCAACATTTCAGGCGTGTGAAGAAAACATGTTCCACGTAGCAACGGCCTCCCGCAGCCATGATTTTCTCCCTCTCTCCCGCGCGTTCAAGCCAACACCGTTTGATTGTCTACTTCAAGGGGATGAACCGTGAAGAGTGCGTGGCACCGATACCGGGTCGACCGTGCTTGACGGGCTTGTAACTGATCGAGAACTCGCCCAGGTAGTGGCCGACCATCTCGGGCTTGATTTCCACCTGGTTGAACTCCTTGCCGCTGTAGATGCCGATGACGCTGCCAATCATCTCGGGCACGATGATCATGTCCCGCAGATGAGTCTTGACCAGGTCGGGCTTCTCGTTGGGTTTGGCGTTCTGCTTGGCTTTGCGCAGTTTCTTGATCAGGCCCATCGGGCGGCGCTTCAGGCCGCGGTTGAATCGGCGGCGGGCGCGGGCATGGAGGATTGTGAGGAGCTCGTTCGAGGGGATGTCAAGCAGTCTGTAAGTGAGAAGAGCGAGTTCGTTAGTCTTCCAGTTCTGTGTCATTGAGTTGTCTTCCCCCTCTCTTGCTCTCGATGAGGGACGCGGAAGGATGTGTCCAAGGAAGAAAAACGTACTGGTCGAGATCGATGCCTCTGTACGAAAACTTTCTGAACGTTCTCTTCTTCTTGAGCTCGGCGGCCTCTTCGGCATTCTATTCCATCAAAAATCAATTAGCAACCCATCAACTACCTGGATCATCGGCGGGCGATGATAGAAAGAAAACGTACGTATTCGGTGTCGGCCATGATTGCGGTCGAAGGGTCACTGCGCGTTCGCTTTTCGATGAGACTGTCGAAAAGCGAGGAGAGATGGTTGCGGTGGGCAGTGATATTACAGAGACAATTGCAGTCAAGGGCTTCGGGGGCTGTGGAGTTGGATGTTTCCGGCGAAAATTTAGGGCAGTGTGCACCACGTGACCAAAACTCTTGGCATAACTTCCGCAGCGTATGCGAGGCTTTCGATTGGCACGGTTTACTTATTCGTTGTAGAGCACTGTCAAAGTACACAATATTGATGTTTTAGTGGACTTTAAGAGCAGGAGATACATGTTTGAATCAATGTTGGATCAATTGATTGCATCGAATCTCGCCTCGTTCTACGTCTGGCGGGGAAACAAGTCAAAGATGTGAGGCAGCGACTGCCCATTTCGCGTTGTTTGCCGATGTGGAATTGCTTGAATTGCCCATGCGCGAATAGACTGTGCGCCCAATGACGGTACAACAGTACCGTCTGTAGGGGCCGTTGCCATCCTCCTCGACCACGCATTCCCCGTAATTTGGTCGTAGATCGTACATAATCAATTCCCATAGTCTTTTTGCGATTTGACGCTTAGTCGAACAGACCGAAGCCCATATCCTCATCAGACTCTTCCTTCTCCTCTTCCTTCTCGGCAGGCTTCTCTTCCTCAGCGGCAGCAGCACCGCCAGCCGCAGCACCACCGGCAGCGGGAGCAGCAGCGCCACCAGCACCCCCAGTTGGCACGGAGGCGAGTTTGGTTGAGCCCTCTGCGATCAACTAAAGTATAGTTAGCGACTCTGCATGTTGCTGGAAAAGTATCCCATGTTACCTCATTGATGTCTTTGCCCTTCAACTCTTCGAGCAACTTGGAGAGGCGTTCCTCATCGGCATCGATACCGACAGAGGAGAGGACGCCCTTGATGTCGTCTTCAGAGGGGTCGGAGTTGCCGGCGAGGCCAAGGAGGAGGTATGCTGCAAGGTGCTTCATTTTGAATTTATTTCTTCCCACCCAATGTTAGTCGTCAGTGGGATCCAAGACCCAGACAAACGTACCGAGAATAGAGGAGTTGGCGAACAGGAGAGACAATCGATTTAACCGCTGAATTGAGCGGAGACTGGCACTTCGAGTTCTGGTGATTGTTCGTTCGTGGAAAAATCGCTGGGAAATCGTCTATTTGCCTGGTGGTGGTTGTGCGACTGGCGAAATTCAAGAGGAAAATTGGATTAGGAAAGTTAGCCGGTGCCCGATGCGGACCAGTCGCGAGTCTCGCCAAGCCATTCAAAGAAATGTTACTGGGAAAGTGAAGTGGCCACCTGGAGGCGGGGACGATCGACTTTCACCTATTTCTACCACATCATTCCTCGATCTTTCCTCTTTCCTTCCTTCGTGTCACTCGTCGACCACACTCTTCCAAGAGCTTGCATCTGGTATTGTTTGTTACATCTATATGAACCACGCTTCACGGTGATTGCGCCAGCTGCCAGCGGGCGGAAACAATAATCATGCACAAGATTCGGGCTTTGAATCTTCTGACTTGACCGCCTTCGAGTTTCTTCTAACTCGTCACTCTTCCCCCTTCACCATGAGCCTCTTTAGCGACATTGTCAACTCGATCGGTAGCGACAAGTCTCCAGCACCACCAAAGCCGCCGTCGGGACCTCTCGGTGCGAATGCGCATCGACCGAGTCTCGACGTCAGCAGGCATGGTTCCCGGCCCGGACTGCCCGTGGCCCCCTCGCCTCTGAATGGTACAAAACGGAAGGCCGACGAGAGCTCTTCGAAACCACCTGAGAAGCTTATCAGGCCGAATCCTACACCTGGCTTGACCAGCACCATTCGGCAACGTCCTGTTGCCCCTCCTCTTAACGCCCCAAGACCATCCAATGGAAACACTGGAAAAACCCTCGCTATGCCCAGACCGAAAGTTGACGCTCAGCTGACCTCACCGAAACCCGGCTCTGCGCCATCCACTCCGACTACTGCAACAACCAAAGGTCCAACGAAGGGCTCGTATGCAGAGTTGATAGCTCGGGCAAAACAAGCGCAGGTGGAGAAATCTCAACAAAGCCAAGTTGGCCTAATAAAGCATCAAGCAACCAACCGGGAAAAGCCATCGAAACTGGCCGAGAGGAGACGGCAAGAAGAGGAAAAGACAAAGGGTGCCAAGGAGAAATCCAGTGGCGGCCGTCTGGCGAATGGTGGTAAACGGCATGATAAATCTCGAAGCGTTAGCCCTGCGAAAAAGACGGATCATCCCAAAGGGCCCAAGGCCCCCCGACCGCCATTACATGCTCCCCCTTCGTCCTCTTACAAAGGCACTATGGGCACTGCTGCAGGTCGCGCCAAACCACCAGCCAAGCGCGGGCACAAATATGATGAATACTTGGGCACCGACGAAGAAGATGTTTCAGATGATATGGGCGGATATGGAGAGGGCGAAGAAGATTATGCATCTGATGTTTCGTCTGATATGGAAGCTGGAGCGTTTGATGTGTACGAAGAGGAGCAGAAGGCGCTCAGGGCCGCAAGGGAGGAAGATGCCCGAGAGTTGGCATTAGAAGCCCAACTGAAGCGAGAGAAAGAGGATCGGCGTAGGAAGCTCATGAGTCTTGCAGGGAAGAGGAAGTGAAGCTGGGACAAGAAACCTATGTGATATCTGACTTGGGACACGACATGGGGACTTCTCTAGCTATATTGATATCTTAGCATGGGCGTTGGGGAGTTTTTGCATTCCAGGAAGACACATGGTGTGGTCCATTGCATTCTGTACTCGATGGATATTGTTATTATGCAAGTGTCGACTGCGAGTATTCGCATCAACCAGCCTTTCTTTCGGGAATGTTTGTCTGTGTTTCGTCTCTAAAGTGACGCAGAGCCGATACAAGACCTTGGCTCCAGCAATGCCTTTAATGACCATCGCTCGTGATCAGTGAGCCATTAGATACAAACAGTCCAGTTATACTGTAGCGTAATGCACAACCAACATTGTTAAGTCTCGTCATCATCTGACATATCCAAGGGCAGCCGCACCTTTAATCAGACACCAAACTCTCACTATCGACCCCTTCCACACGATAGAACCCCAGTGACTTCAACATGGGCTTATCGTGAAACCTGTATAAATACACTGGCTCTGACCCTTCGGCAGCGGTGTGCTGATACTTGTTCCAGGCGGGTACGCAGAAAGTGTCGCCCTGCTTCCAGTGGAACTTCTGTCCGTCGATCTCGCTGTATCCCTTGCCCTGGACGACGTGGTAGACGGACGATGCAGTCTCTCTCACGGCAGGGGACGTGCACCCGGCATTCAAACGTTCGGCGGCACCACCGAGGATTTTGGAAACTGTTTGTCACCCCATCGATGTTAGTCGCTGGACAGTCTGCGGTCTCGGGTAATGGAAAACAGAGGGACAACAAGCTCTCCCTTACCTGGTCTTCCGTCGTCCTTCAGATAATCCTCTTCAGCCCAGTCGCCTTTCTTCTCGTCGAGCTTCTTCTGCATCGTCTTCCACGGATACACAATCGGACTCGTGTTTGAGTCCACATCCTCGGCCGGATATCTCGGCTGGTTAAAGTGCTCGACGAAATGTACGGGGAAATGCACGAAATTTGGCAGATCCAGGCCGTCAAGCCAGATCATAGGGCCCGACCCGTCCTTACCGTGGTCGTGCCAGTTCCAGGTCGGCGTGAGAATAACGTCGCCACGCTGCATGGTGATGCGTTTACCGTGTACCGCAGTGAAGCCACCCTGGCCCTCGATGATGAAGCGCATAGCGAACGCTGTGTGTCGGTGTGCGCGGGCGGTTTCGTTGGGCATTACCAGCTGCAGACCAGCGTAGAGTGTGTCTGTGGTGAAAGGTGCGTCTGTAAGAGGCCAGGCAAGTCAGTATACGCATTTCATCTTTTCCTCTTTTCTGTCGACCAACAAGTCCCCGTTGTAATAGGAGAACAGAACGCCATACCTCTGGCGGGATTAACCAACATCAGCACCCGTCTCTCAGCTTGCTGTTCTGTAACTATTTCCCCGGCCCTGAGGAGACTTGGTCGGACCTCGTCGTATCGCCAGATGAACGGGACACACTTTGGGTTGGGCTCTGGAGGGTTCAACCGCGCCATCTGTGTCCAGAGCGGCTTGGTATTGACCTTGAGAGCATTTTCAACCAACTCTTCGTTGGGGTCTGCCTTTTGGCCCCATATCGGAGGAAGAGACTCTGTGACCGTTCCAGTTGCAGTGGCCATGTCACCTTCAGACGGGTAGTTGAATGGTTATATCGGGGTATAAATGGTACACGGGTGACCTGCTGAAGGACAGATGGACGTTTGCTGGCAATGGTTTTGATGTCGAGATCTACTGACGACGATGGTCGTTCAAGATATACACGGGCTAACTGGCTATTTAGGAAAAGGTCAGCATCCAAAAATGCCGAGATCAAATCACTATGCGTTCCCTCGTTCACCGATCAAACAAACTCGTTAGCGAGAACTTTGGTGAGGAGGAGGAGGACCTTGTCGTACAAGGGGCCATTCCGGCAGTGGCTTCCCGATATACACCCGACCACACTCCCACCACCATCTCCTTCCCACACCCACTGTGGGATACTGTGGCCATAGTGGCTATTCCCACGGGGTACATACAATACAGACGTTGACTTAACCTTGCCGCGCGCGGCGGTACGAAAGGACGGTGGGTTAACATCGGTAGTGGCTCAGGTGCTGCCTCCAGTCGAGTCCCATCGGCTCGAACGCGAATTCAGAGTGGGACGCCATTTGTACAAAGTCCCAAGTGTTTTTGGACAATTTCTTTCCGTTCACTAAAGCACTTGGTCTGGGTCTCCGGGGATCAGATCAACAAAGACAACTTCCTTTAACCCCCCAGATTCTCCTTCTCGCGCCACCCGGACCAACTCTTGTCAAAATGGTTGGGATACCTTCCGGTGTTATGGTCAATGGCGAGACCAGACCAGTCAATGGGGTCACACCAGTAAAAGAAGACTTTATCAAAATCCCAGACGTGAGTACTTCCTGAAGGCTGGATGATGTGTAATGAGGTCTGATACGTTAAAATAGGTGGCCTCATACCCAACGGGAAGTCTCGACTTTCTCGTCAAGCTGCAAAAGGAAGAGCAAAAGCGGACCAAGGCAATGAGGACTTCCAACTTACTCAATCACGATGACTTTTCCCGAGTGCGGCTGAACATCATCATCGTTGGGGCCGGACTCGGTGGACTGGCCGCTGCCATCAGTCTTGCTAGAAAGGGCCACAAGGTCACGGTCTTTGAACAGGCTCCGGAACTTGGTGAGGTATGATTGTATTCTTGAATGTCAACTTGTTGTGGTGTGAGGTTGAACGAGTGCTCTAGGTCGGTGCTGGCATCCAGATACCATCCAACTCAAGTCGATTGCTTATCAAATGGGGGCTTCAACCGTTTTTGGCGTCCAAGATCGTGGAGCCAGAGGATATCAAGTTCCGGCGGTGGGAAAACGGCGCCGTCATTGGTCTCACCAAGCTGGTCCCTGAATTCCAGGACAACTTTGATGCTCCCTACTACGTGGTGCATCGTGCACACTTCCACGATGCCATGTATCAGTTGGCGTTGCAACTGGGTGTCGAGGTCCGAATCAATTCCAAGGTCATCGATTATGACGAAGATGCACCTTCAATAACCACAGAGCATGGGGAGTCGTTCTCAGCCGATCTTGTCATCTCTTCAGACGGCGTCAAGTCAATTGGACGAATGAAAGTGCTGGGTGGTGACGACCAGGCGCCCTTGAGGACCGGGTTCGCGGCTTACCGAGCGACGGTGGATGTGGAGGAGATGAAAGTGCACCCCGAGCTTGTCGAGCTGCTGGCAAAACCAGGGCTGAACTTGTGGATCGGCCATATGAGACACGTCATGACCTACACCATCGCTGGAGGCAAGTCCTTCAACATGGTCCTGTCGCACCCTGACCGCACAGACCCGGCGGATTGGAACCAGCAAAGTGCTGACAAGATTCTGTCCGACATGCGAGGGCACTTTGACGGCTGGGACCCTCGACTGACCAAGATCATCAACATGATCCGGACCACCCTCAAGTGGCCACTCGTCAGCGGGTCAGCGCTCAGCCGATGGGTTGCACCCTCCAACAAACTCACAATCATGGGAGATGCGGCGCATGCCATGGTTCCTTACATGTCAGAAGGGGCTGCCATGGCGGTTGAAGATGCGGCAGCCCTTGCAGAGGCGATCGACCTGGTCAGCAGCACCAAGGAACTGCCTGAAGCTCTGCAGGTGTGGCAATCTGTGCGTATTAAACGGACAAGCCAAATGCAGGAGGCCAGTCTAATCAACGGCAAGCTATGGCACTTTGCCGATGGTCCCCTGCAGAGGGCGCGAGACGAGGCCATGCGACCCGAAGTCGAAGGAAAACAGTTCGTATCAAGCCCGAACCAATGGAGCGATCCAACCACACAGCGATGGTGCTATGGCTACGATGCGGAATGGGAAGTCCGAAAAGCTTGGGAAAACAGGAGTACCTCAACGACGAAGCTGGTGAATGGCGACACAAGGGGAGTTTAGGATGCGAGCAGTAAACAGGGATTGGAATGTCTCTTGGGTCGACGACGGAGTTCAGGGGTGTCCATGCTATCATTTCTCTCATCCTAGCATCCTATCCTATCATTAGGGGCAGCGTGCTTCCTCTTTCTATGCTTCTCCTCCTAGACCTTGGCGACGACATTGGTACATGGTCCTTGGTCCTTGGTCCTTGTTTGCCCATGGTGGTGTCAGCGGTGCCAGTTCAACGGAGTTGTGAATGCCACGATGCATTACCAGGTACCTTGAATATAAACAAACAAACAAACAAACAAACAAACAAGCACAAGGCGGACCAAAAACAGGAACAATGCATTATTTCATTGGCCATTTCATTCATCACTGCAGGGCGGTTGACGAGAAAAGTTCAGCCTCATTATCGATACATCCATCCATGCTCTCGAGTGTCTCGATTAACCTCTGAGATTGGGATTGCCAGGAATGGGAAAAGCAAATCGAGGAAAGGAGGGAAGAAGTCACCTCGACATTATCGCTCTATTCTCTGCGTCCTTTCTCTTCACGATCGTGAGTGCTATTGCCTGCTGCACCTTGTAACAGACATCTCGTTTCCTCTTTCGAGAGAAGATAAATTTTGACGGAGAAGAAACTCCTACTTCGAAACACTCGAGGCCGAAAGGTCCAAGACCAATTTCCCGCCTCCCCCACGCTCGTATTCCTCGACAAGCTCGTCCAGCCTGTCAAACTCGTAGACCTTTTTCAGCGTCTTGACGCCGTGCTCGACCACGAAATCCAGCATCTCCTTGACTCGCCTGCTCGTCCCCAGCTGGGTGCCGATGATGCGAATGTCCCTGAAGATGACATCGCTCGCGGCGAAGTGGAAGCCCTTCTCGGGGAACGATACCACGAGGCAGGTCCCGTGGTTGCGCAGCAGGTCGACCCCGTATTGGAAAGCTCTCTGGTTCTCCGGCAGGATGATGGCCGCGTCGACGCCCATCTCACCGCGGTACTTCTTACCGTCTTCCTGGCCGAGGCGCTTGACGATATCCATGGCTGGTGTGACCCGCGCGTCCACAATCTCTGCTCCCGTGTCCAGACTCGACGCAATGGCCAGGGGCCCGTCGGAGGCGTCCACGCCAATCACTTTCAAACCCATTTTGGTAGCAAACTGTAGCCCGAGATGGCCCAGGCCACCTCCACATCCCATGATGGCCACCCGCTGCCCCGGTTGGAGCCGGCACTTCTTCAGCGCCTCGTAGATGGTGATGCCTGCACACATCAAGGGCGCTACCTCTACTGCGGTCAGCTGTTCGGGAAACTTGGCGACCTGTCTCGCGTCCACGACCAGGTATTCTTGAAACCCCCCATCCCGTGCGATGCCGTTACTTTTACCCACGGGACAGTAGTTGGAATAACCTACGGGGTCGCCGGTGCCATCGGGTCCTGGCCCCTTTCGACACTCGTCGCACTCTCCGCAGGGGTGAAAGTTGCGACCAGGTGAGCCGACGCGATCGCCTGGCTTCAGACCTGTTGACGGGTCCGCCTCGACCACGGTCCCAGCGATTTCATGGCTGCCCACCATGGGGAGTTTTGGCGGAAGGGGAAACTGGCCGGCTGCGAGAACGGCGTCCGTGTGGCAGTAGCCTGCGGCGTCGACTTTGATCAGGACATCGTATGGACCATCAGGCTTCGGCACAGGGACATCGCTGCGCAGTTTATATGGTGTGTTGAAGGACTCGAGAACCCAAGCCTTCATGGTGGTGGACCGTGTTTTTTCTTTCTTTCCAAGATATTCTTGTCTGCGACCGCGTCACTTTCGGTCGAGTGTGGACACAAATACACCGCAAGAGGTGTCTAGTCGACCCAACAGAATACGAGACTGAGGTTTCGAATGCACTTGAAAGCTAAAGCACGTCAGACCTTCGTGCCTCTCGAAATGACGAGACGGAAACGATGATGCGCGAAGTGATCGTGAAAAAGCCCCCCAAAACACCATTGAGTACATCGATGGATTCTAAAAATGCTTGACTGGATCAATCCCCAACCATCTCAGGTAGCTACCTACCCAGTGCCACCCACCTAGGCATGCCATTACTTCGGCATGAGTTTCTGGTTCATGAGAATGGATGATTCGGCACGTATGAGGTTTTCTCGGGGAAACACAATCGTTAGGCTCCGTGGGCTCAAGGGCTAGGTAAGAACTGAAAGGAGTTAGCAAGGCTAGGTACCTCACGTAGGACAGTGATTGAGCCGCCACGCTCGGCAGGGGCACAGTTTTTGCTTCCCATGGATGGGAGATGGGCGGGGGAGGGTGCCGAGGTGGTTCGGATGGTTGTGCCTCTGTGGAAGGAGGGGAAGGTGGGAACGGGGGCCTCTCAGCCACACACACACATTCAGATCTTAGGCGGTGAACCTTCAGCAAAGGCTCTCCTCCTCTCCCTTATCCAACCCATACCTCTCGAGACAGCAGGTGGCCCAGACACGGAGCACCGAACATCTCGTACCTCATAGACAACAATCACAACTCAACCGCCAAGAGCCAATCTCGTGCCCAGGATCTCATTCCGGCTTCTCTCTCAGCAACACGATCGTCTCCGAAGCATTTGTTACGCTCGCACAAACAACCCACCCTCCCCTCCGTACCTCCTTATCGGCCTAGCTCCTTCTCGGAATCCCTCGATCGGACGGGCATGAAGTCATCCACGGACTTGCGAGACAACGAGGCGCTCCCACGGACCCAATAGAGCCAGGGATAAAATACGAGGCCCAGGGAAAAAACGGCCGGAGTGGCCACTTTACCATCGACCCGCCTCGGTAAAATGGCAAATGATGTACTTCGTAGTTTACGGGTCATGCCGACTATAAGACTTGTTAGCAAAGACACTGACGGCCGAGGATGTACTGCCACATTGCTCCTTGCGACACTTTTTCTCTCCTGAATCAACAAACCACCTTGGAAAGCCCAGACAGCCCCAGAAGGTGAACGCGTACGTGTACCATGGCCGCACAACGTCTCTCGGCGGTTCTACCGCACCTGAGCTCTGCTCCCACTGGCGTGGATGCAATGTATGTCATCCCCAATCTTGCGCAGTTTTGGATGGAAGGAAACAGGATGCTAATGTCGAGATGGGAGGAATAAAGCACCCAGCAGAATCCAGATGATATAGTCATCACGCTCGCGATCAGAACAGCCATGTGCAGGTCCGGGAAAGGTGCCTTCAAGGATGTTGGGCTCGATGGCTTGTGTTTCAAGCTCCTGGAACAAGTCCGATTGAGAAGTCACCTCGATCCGAGTTTGGTCAATGACATTATTCTTGGAAACGTAAGGACAAGATTCGTCGACGGGTTGGGGAATTCTACAACTGACCTATATCGATCATTTTTAGGTCCGCGATGGTAAAGCTGCGTATTACATTCGAGCTGCTGCGCTCGGGGCAGGCTTTCCCAATACCACGACGGCTACGAGTACCAATCGCTTCTGTTCATCCGGGTTGACGGCGCTGCAACACGTCGCCAACGAGATCAAGAACGGCATCATCGAGATCGGAATTGCCATCGGAGCGGAGACTCTGAGTGAAGGGAACGAACGACTGAGTAGGCCCTTTGATGCTGAGATCTTGGCTGCCAGTCGCGAAGCAGCAGATTGCATGATACCAATGGGTAAGGAGACAACATCTCAGGCCATCTGACAATGTTTAGTCTGACTCTCTGGTATAGGTGGTACCTCCGAGTTTGTGGCTCAAGACTTCAACATCACCCGCGAACAACAAGACAGGTACGCTGCGGAGACATACAGGCGAGCTTACCTCGCACAAGAGAATGGCTGGACCAAGGACGAGATCGTTCCCATCACAGTACGGAAGGATGGTCATCAGGTCACCGCCACCGAAGACGAAGTCCGGCCCGGCACCACTTATGAAGGCATTAGCAAGATCAGGCCGGCGTTCCCAGAGTATGGCAATACCACCCACGCAGGGAATGCTAGCCAAATTATGGACGGCGCGGCTGCGGTCCTCCTCATGAAGCGCTCGAAAGCGCTCGAGCTCAAACAACCTATTCTTGGGAAGTACGTGGGAACAGCACTGGCGGGCGTCCCACCGAGAATCATGGGTATCGGACCTGTCTATGCAATCCCCAAATTGCTGGCCCGGTATAATCTCTCGCTGGACAAGGACATTGACGTTATCGAGATTAATGAGGCCTTCGCCTCGATGGCAGTCTACTGCCGCGACCAACTCAAACTTGACTGGACCAAGATGAATCCTCGAGGAGGTGCCATCGCCATCGGTCATCCCTTTGGCTGTACCGGCGTGCGACAGGTTGTGACGGGCTTGAGTGAGTGCAAAAGGCAGAAGAAAAAGATCTTGTTGACGAGTATGTGTCTGGGGAGTGGGATGGGCATGGCAGGCTTGTTTGTGAACGAGCAACTCTGACAACACTAGCGGGACATTATATATGATTTTATTGTGATCTTGCAGCCAAAACCCAGTCGATCAATTTAGGGACATGGTATTGTAGTGAGACTCGTCTCGCACTTGTTGTCTTGGGTGCTGCTGGAGTATCTCGTTCTGTCGCAGGTCAGCAATGACCTCCATATTCTACCGAGTACAGCAATCTGAAGATCCGGACAAACCCACCTTCACCTGAGTCTGGCCAGTGATAGACCACACGCCCTTTGGTGGCTTGCTCCGGCCGCGGGCGGCGATTCTCGGAACCAGACCGAAGACTCCGGTACTGGCTGCTGTGGCCATCCACCATCGCGCTTTGGGTTGACCACCGGCAAAACGCCTTGTGGCAACCAGCAGACGAGGCATGTTTGTGGAGACGGTCGAGCCCGAGGCTAACATCCCAGCGACTTGTACTTGTACAGACAGGACTGAACTGGTGGTGGAGAAGTGGACGACGCTCGCTTTTGTTTCTTCTCCAACTCGCACTTTATATGCGCCAAGGATCCAGTTTTCGAGACGCGAAGAAAGAGTCTCCGAGGTTCTTCGATCCTGGTTTGCGGCGTTGAAGATCTGGCTGTGTACCACCGACTTCGAGGAATCTCCCTGCTCGGACGCACAGTGCCATACCTCCACAGAAACCATCCAGTCCAGGATTTGCCTCTCACCAACATGACGTCCCCCAGCGAGCCCGAGATCCTGTGGCGCCCTGCGAATGGCGACGCTACGCCCATGGGAGTTTACCGCCGGCATGTCAATGAGAAGTTTGGCCTCAATCTGCGAGACACCAAGGAGCTGCATAAATGGTCCGTGACGCAGCCTCACGACTTCTGGATCGATCTGTATGGGCATCTGGGTATTGTGCCCCCGTTACCCAAGACCACGAAGAAGGCCTACGACGACAGACTACCCATGAGCAAGATCCCTCCGTTCTTCCCTGGGCTAGAGTTGAACTACGCCGAAAATGTGCTCTTCGCCAACTCCAATCCGGCAGCACCGGCGGTGATTGAAATTCGGGAGGACCAGGATATTTACAATGGCCAGCCGATTGTTCTCACCTGGGAGGGATTCCGAGAACAGGTCCGTCAGGTTGCGAGCGCGCTGAGAGCTAGCGGGATCAAAAAGGGAGATGTGGTCGCCGCTCTCGTGGCGTCGTCCAACTGGGTCATTGTACTGTTCCACGCCGTGGCTTCGATCGGAGCCATCTTCACCTGCATTTCCCCAGAGCTCGGAGTCAATGGGTGCGTGTCGCGACTCCAGCAGGTCAGCCCTCGCATCCTTTTCGCAGACAGCCACGTTCTGTACAAGGGCAAGGTCGACCCGACCGCGGCGAAACTGGGCGAGATTCTCCAGAAATTGCGACAAAAACCGCAGGTTTATGTGATCCCCGTCTCACACACCACCCAGTCCAAATTCCCCTTCATCAAGGACTTTGTCCAGAAATCAAACCCCAGAGACCCTCTGACCTTTACGCGAGTCCCTTTCAACCACCCTCTCATGATATGTTACTCCTCGGGGACGACCGGTGCGCCCAAATGTATTGTGCACTCACACGGATTCATCCTGAACGCGAAAAAGATCTCGGCTATCCACAACGGTCTCCACGAAGGGGACGTCATCACGCAATTCTCCAATACTTCGTGGGTGGTGTTTTATGTCATGACAGGCCACTTGACGACTGGTGTCACCTTGGTGATATATAATGGCAGTCCCTTATTCCCTGATTCAAAGCAGCTGCTTCGTATCTGTGATAGGTTTAAAGTGACGTACTTGGGCGTTTCTCCGCGCCTGCTCCTGGAGATCCAGATGCTGGGGACGATCCCGAAGAAGGAATTCGACCTCTCACCTCTGCGGTTGGTCTACACCACCGGCGCCCCTCTAGCAATCGAACAGTATCGATGGTTCTATCGATCTTTTCCACCCTCGGTACAGATTTGTAACGCCGCCGGTGGGACAGACACGGCCACGTCGATTGTCACCATAGACACTTGCGGGCCCCTTTATGCGGGCGAGATGCAAGTGGCGGCATTGGGGATGGATCTCGACATTCTCGATCCCGACACGGGGGATTCGATCGCTCATACTGGCGAGGCCGGCGAGCTGGTCATCCGGAAACCCTTCCCCACCATGCCGTGTTTCTTCTGGGGCGACCGAGACGGTTCCATATATCACTCTGCCTACTTTGAAAGCTTTGACCATCTCGACGTCTGGTCGCAACATGACTGGCTGAGTAAAAATCCCAAGACGGGTGGATACACGATGCACGGGAGGAGCGATAGCGTCCTGAGTAAGTCAAGCATATAGCACACTTGTAAGTGTTTTACTGACAAAAACCCTTACTTAGATCCATCGGGAGTCCGCTTCGGGAGCGGCGAGGTGTACGGGATCGTCGAGACGCAGCAGTTCACCGAGTACATCAGCAACAGCCTCTGCGTGGGCCGTCGGAGGCCGCAGGACAAGGACGAGCAAGTGTTTTTGTTCCTGGTCATGAACCCGGGCGTCACCCTGACCGAGGAGCTGCGCAACAAAGTCCGCACGGCGATCCGCAACGGCCTGTCGCCGCGCCACGTGCCCAAGTTTATCATCCAAGTCCCTGCCATTCCGACGACGATCAATGGCAAGAAAGTCGAGATTGCCGTGAAACAGGTGATCAGCGGCAAGGACGTCAAGCCCAGTGCCACGGTGCAAAACCCCGAGGCTATTGAGTGGTTCAAGCGGTACCGAACCCTGGAGGTGCCGCCGAGGGAGAGCAAGTTGTAGAGCTTCGCCGGCGATGGTTTGGAGAGGTGGTGGTGGTGGCCTGGAGTGCAGGCTTGTGCCATACTTGCTTGGGACTTGTGACGAGGATTTTTGGTCAAATCTTTGGATCCTTAGACGCGTCCAGCCAATTGCGTGGAGATATACTATTTGATAGAGAGAGCATTGGCCGATCTATTACCCAAAATTGAACCATATACTTGCGCGACGACATTCGATCTCAACGTCACTTTTAAGGGCGTTCAGTAAGATATATTATACCAGATCCTACGTATGTTCATATATTGGTAAGTAGGTAGGTGGGTAGGTGGTAGGTACAGAGGTAGATTCCCTTGGAGCTTTTGTGTGTTTTCTCTGTAAATCCCCCGCGCGGGGATTGGATGTTATGTGGTCATGTATCGTATTTGTGTCAAATGACGGGTGTATCGGTCTGCGTATTACCACTCGTCACGATACTTGCATACTCATTCCTGTCACCGTCCTCCACTGCATAAGTACCTACCAAGCCCGTGCGAGCATACCTATCTGGACCCCCGTACCCCGGACAAGTACATAGGTAATGGGTACTTTCAGGTCACGCATGGGTCGTTCGGGACCAAACCTCGGCTTCCCAAGGTTGGGGAGTCTTACATACGTACATCCATACATACGAACATCCATACATACGAACATCCATACATACGAACATACATACATACATATATCCTCGCCCTGGTACCTAACCACAATCAGACGTATACTGTCGACGAATATTATCCACAGTCGACCCTCGACAGTCTCGTGAGCAAACTACACAGACAAGCCAACTTAGTCACAAACCCTTCTTCCAGCAGGAGCACCGGCCCCGAGTAGTCACAGCTCCTACAGTATGAAGGCGGCACGGCTGTATGGCGCCAAAGACGTTCGCGTCGAAGAGGTCCGCGATCTGCCACTCTCCGGGCCTGACGCCGTGGTGGAGGTCGAATGGTGTGGCATCTGTGGCAGTGACTTGCATTTCTATCTGGGAGGTGAGTGACGAATACAGAACGATATACATACACCACGCTATATCTCGTATCAATGTGTCCTCTGACTCTAGACAGGCGGCGTGAGCGGCGTCGAACTCCAAGACAAATGCATCATGGGACACGAGATATGCGGACGCGTGGTGTATGCGCCCCCAGGATCGCCCGTCAAACAGGGCCAGGCCGTCATGGTCGACCCCCGGATCTACTGCACCAGCTGCTCGAACTGCACCAAGTCGCGCACAAACGGCTGCAACGTCCTCCGTGGTCTGGGCGTCATCGGCTCCTCTGGCGGACTGTCAGAGAGAGTCTCGGTGCGACCAAGCATGCTCTACGCGTTGCCCGACTCGGTGGACCTGAGCACGGCCGCCCTGATCGAGCCGTTGGCCGTGGCGATGCACGGGGTCAAGCTGTCCGGCATCCTCCAGAGCGACAAGGACGCCGCCACGGCCCTGATCCTCGGTGGAGGTCCCGTCGGCATTGGCGTCGTGCAGGTCTTGCGGGCCTTTGGCGTGACCAGGATCATGGTCTCGGAGCCGTCGACGGCACGTAGGGAATATGTCCAGCGGTTCGGCGCCACGGCCTTCAACCCGCTCGCCGTCGACGTCGTCTTTGACTGTGCCGGCGCGGCTGCGGCCCTGAAAGACGGACTCGGCAGTCTCTGCTTCGGCGGGCGCTACGTCAATCTTGCGCTGTGGGAGACGGAGGTATAAGAAGGAACCATGACCCCGAGAGGAGTTGTGTTGACGGTGAGATAGATTCCTCTCTCCCTCACGGAATTCACGCGCCGCGAGATCCACCTCGTCGGATCGTGTGCCTACGACGACTCGGATTTCAAGGAGGCGGTCGATGCTTTCATTCAAGGTAAACTCCCAGGCAAGCATATCTTTGGAATTGGGTCTCTAATCAGGCGAGCGACACACAGGTAGATTCACCGACTTGTCCAGTATGGTCACCGCGCGGATTCCCCTCAACGACATTGTCACAAAGGGACTCAATGCCTTGCTCGAGGAAGGGGAGAAGCATGTCAAGATCATGGTCAATCCCAAGTTGTAGTCCTTTTCTACGTGGAGATTAATGAAATGTATCACTCTGATGTTTCTCTACTCTACTTCTAATCAGAATGGAAACGTTTTGCTCGACAAGGACGAGGAGTAAAGCAGTCCTTCTGTGGTGATTCCCAGCAGAATGATATGTATTGGCACTGTAATCTGGCTCTTCACAGTAAAAGCTCCGGCGCAGGTGATTCACGAGTCTCTCCTCTGCGGCTCTGCCCATGTATGACGTTATTCTCTCTTGATATGCCCCGGCTTCCATATTCGTTCGACTGTATCGCGCCTGCCAACCTGGTCGGTGTCAGGGAAAGTGAGAGACTCTTGTCTTGGCGACTTCCTCTGTGCCCAGATTTTAGCTTAGAACTGGTCTTCAGAGGTTCGTTCGTGTACGGATTCCCTCCACCAGCGACAAATTCTCGTTGCCTCCCCGAGAACCACGACTGTTACTCTGTCTCCTCCTTCCCCGGATGACTTGAGCCTCCTTCCGTGCATAACTCGTGTGCAGGATATCAATTGTCATCCACACACCAAGAACCATGTGAACAAGAGTAACGTAACGAGGTATGGCCGAGGGGTTCGGAAAGTTTGTTGGTCGTTCGACGAGTAAATACTGTGGGGCAAAACGACTCGTTAAAAACCTGCCCTTGGGACGAGAGTCAAAAAGCCTAGAAAACCCAAGAGGCACACAAAACCACGTGAGGACGTTATTACCGGAAGAAGTCTAAGCCTGGAGAGATTGAAAAGACCGAGTTGGTCTCTCTGGTCTGATGATACCAAGAGAGTCGAGTGACTTTTGAGAGAGAATTGTTTTCTTACAGGAGACAAAACAAGGACAAGGACAGAACAAGACAATTCGATCTCGGCTAAAGGCGAAAAAAGTATCAAATCATCATCATCGTCATGGCCGGAAACGTCGCCTTGATCACTGGTGGGGGTATGTCACGTGTCGACAAGTGTCCATTTCGCTCTCCCTGTTCTCCGGATGACATCTTCGCTGACGGTCATGGGGTGTCGTAGCTTCTGGTATGGGCCTGGCGGTCACAGAGAAACTGCTCTCAAAAGGCTGGAAGGTCACCATCTTCGACTTCAACGCAAAGACCGGCGCAGAGCTGGCCGAGAAGCTGGGCTCCAATGTCCTCTTCGTCCAGGGCAATGCGGCAGTCTACAGTGACCAGGCCAAAGCGTTCTTGAAGACCTGGGAAAAGTGGCAGAGATTAGATTTTGGTGAGTTTTGTGCCTCGTGCCCTGTTTTCAATCTCACAGCGCTCTCTCAACTAACTAAATGCTTCCAGTCTTTGCGAATGCGGTACGGTGGCTCTTTTACTCGCAATTCCAAAGGACAGCTTCTAAACGGGCACATTAGGGCGTTGGTGACCGCGTCGACTTATTCGCTGATGCGCCAGAGGCCGAGAATGGCGCTCCTCCTCAGCCAGATATCCTTCCCATCGATGTCTGTCTGAACGGCGTCATCTGGTCCGCATACCTCGCATTCCATTATTTCAAGAAGAACGCTGGCCGGAAAGGCAAGTTGGCCATAACGGCCAGCTTTGCGGGTATCTACGCTGGGCCAGAGGTGCCCTTGTATGCGGCAGCCAAGCACGGAGTAAGGCTGACTCTGGCGACGGGAGGGGAACAAAAGCTAACCTCCATGCTCGAACAGGACGTCGCACTCGCCCGCAGCTTGGGCAAGTTGATGAAGAGCCGCGGCGAGAACATCACCGTCAACTGCATCTGCCCGACCGTTGTAGCCACCAACCTGATCTCGGCCGAGTTCGCCCAGGCGATCCCCCCTAACATGATCACGCCCATGACCACCATCGTCCGCGCCATCGAGAAGATCATTGAGGACGACTCGGTGAACGCCTGCGTCTTTGAGACCTGTGGCGAGGATATCATCCCGAGGTCGGAACCGGCCCCAGCCAACAAGGTCGCTGCGTTTTACTTGGGCGCGGATTTCTCGGAAGTTAATGCAAACGAGTTGGAACTGATCAAGGAGAGAGGCAAGGCCCTGGACCAGATGGCAACTAGATAAAACAGTATCTGGGGGAATCCCTCGACCTTGTGAAGTATGAAGTAGGTAGGGAGCAGCAATGATTTCTCTACCATTAGCTAGCATAGTGATCTTGTCGAGATGATATACATCCGAACCTCTTCTGAACGTGTTGAATGTCTGAGAATCTTATCTCATGTTGTTAAAGACCTACCCTGTAGATGTCCACATGCCTGGCAGGACTAGTACAAGTATACCTCGTGCTTGGACGGCGGTGGAGGCCCCCACCCATGATGGCCAATCACATAGCATAATCTGCCTTCAGAAGGACTCTTTGTAGTTAGCTCCATGAACGTGGGGCGGAGAATTAGAAATACAACAATTAAGGAGCGATGACTTGTATTCTCTTGGAAATATCTTGTAATCTCTCCGGGCCCTCAAAACTACAAGGAAAGGTCGTCGCTGTGAGCATGTTTCCATGTGAAGGAGCATTCCTTGCGGAAAAATATTGCTGGTGGTGAGTTGGTACAGAGGAGTCTTTGCGGGGAATAAGGATCTTACCGGGGCTGGCAATGCTTCATTCCCCGGACTTTGTTCAAATATTCGCCACCACCACTAGTGCCCTTTTACACTCTGTCATAATGTGGCCTGTGGATGCAGTTCTTAATTATCATCGTACGGAGACAAAACAAATCAAATTCTCGTGACGACCTCACGATAATGTCGCTGCCGGCTATCCAGATTGACCACAAGCACAAGGGACAAGCTATGTCCCGTCTTGGTAGAAGCTTGTTCAGTTCCCCCTTTCAGGCTCAAGCTCGGACCATGCCGAGGTTCGTTCCCCGTCGTCACGGGACCTGTACCACATGTCTCTCACTCCGACACCGCGTATACCGCGACCGATACTGATTTTCGAAAACGAAACGGGTTGACCGGTGGTTGTATGCATTTGTGCTCGGCAATGGGGGGTAGGTACCAGCATTTTTGTAGAGTACAAGTACGATGGGTACTTGAAGCCACCCTGGACGGAACGGACTTTGGTCTATATCGTGCCAAAACTGGCTGTTTGGTTGCCCTGGCTCTGTCGGAGACTTGGAAGAAATTTTGATTGGAGCAGAGAATCAGAGAGAAGTATAAGACAATGACGTCCAAACCAAGCACCAGATGGTCCCAGAAGGGGACACGCCCCGTGCGTGTGGCCAACTGCTCAGGCGCTCGAGGTGACCCCGGATACCAGATGCGGCGGCAGGCGACGTTGGGGGATGTCGACTTCATCACCGGCGATTACCTCGCTGAAGTCAATCTGGCGGACAAGGCCGAGCTTTTCGTCGCCGGGCAGGCCGACGGGTGCGAACCGACCGCGTACAACGGCATTGCCGAGACGCTCGACGTCCTGGAAGAGAAGCGCATCAAGGTCATCGTCAACGGCGGCTCTCTCAACCCGGCAGGACTGGCGGCCAAAGTCCAGCGTCTGGTCACGGAGCGCGGCTACAATCTCAAGGTAGCGTACGTCGCGGGCGACGACCTGCGAGAGGTGGTCAAGCAGGAACTGGAACAGAAGAAACGCCTCCCGAGTCACCTGGACGCGGAGAACAACAAGGTCTCGTTGGCCGAGAACGTCTATTCCCTCATGGACCCGTGTAAAGGCCGACTCGAATCTGTAGTTGATGATTATGTATGTACCAACAAAGAATCGGTAGGGAGCCATGTATGCGTATGTGTATGTGTATGTATATTCATGTATATACCTAGGTATGTATACAAGCTGCAGCGTGTGGCTCACGTTCCTCACCTGACGAGAGGATTGATCCCACAAGTAGGGTCACGTAGGGAATGCTTTCTCAGTAGACACACAAGAGACACGACGCGCCTCTCAGGAGCGCGGACCTGTCAAGGTATTCAGTATCGTCCCCAGTCTACTAGTGTCTAACATTCCACCACTGGGGGCAGAATATCAAGGAGATCCCCTCTTTTTGCTCAAGGGTGACAAGAGCAAGGAATGGATTGAGGAAGATGATCCTGACGGCATCGAACTCGGGTTACACGGTACAGAATTCACAGCGAGTCACGCCGAGATCAGGGAATCGTTTTATAGGGAGCCTTGTTCAAAGACATGACCATGGATGAACTCATGAACTAGATGATATTTAAAACGGGATGTATATATATATATATGTTATATATGTCATATGTGGTTGAAACCAAGGCAGACGTGTTACTCATGTGTAAATATTTCCACCATCCTCCCTTTTCCGCGCGTCACACATTCACACATGACAGAGCAGCACCAGTGCAGCGTTTCTTTCGTTCTTTTGCTCATTTCAGGTACTTGTCGCCCAACTCATCAATCACGACGTCAAACATGGGTTTGCCGCAGAACCAGCCGGCCACGGGGGAGCCGGTGAGGCGGTAGGTGAACTCGACGTCCTCCTCGTCGATCTTCTTGGTCTGGCCCGCGGCGTCGGCGAGCAGCTGGGTGTGGCAGCACCGGTCGAGCGAGACGAACCAGAAGATGGCGGCCTCGATGGTCGACGCGGCCGTCAGGAGGCCGTGGTTCTGCAGGATGCAGGCCTTTTTGTTGCCGATGGCCTTGACGATGCGCTGTCCTTCCTCCTTGGCCAGCACGACGCCCTTGAACGACTCGTACAGCCCGACGTCGTTGTAGAACATGCAGCTGTCCTGGGTGATCATGTCGAGTTTCTTGCCCAGCGCGGCGAACGTGCGCCCGTACAGGCTGTGGCAGTGGGCCGCGCAGTTGACGTCCGGGCGCGCCTGGTGGATGGCCGAGTGGATGGTGTAGGCGGCCTGGTTGAGGATGCGGACGGGGCCGCCGTCGACGACGTTACCCTCCTCGTCCACCAGGAGCAGGTCCGACGCCTTGATCAGGCTGAACGGCACGCCCATGGGGTTCACCCAGAACATGTGCGGGTTGATCGGGTCGCGCACCGTGATGTGGCCCGCCACGCCCTCCTCGAAGCCATTCTTGCCAAAGATGCGGAACGCCAGCGCCAGCCGGCCCTTGAGGTATTCTCGCTCCTGCAACTTGTCGGCGAACTTGGGGGGCCCGACCCAGCCCTCGACCTGGATGTCGTCTGGGTTCTCGGCCCACTCGTGGCCCTTGGGAACGTTGCGGTTGTGTCCTCCTTCGTCCTTCTTGGCTTTTGTGGCGGTGAAGACGTCTTCCACGTCGACCGTCTCGGTGTATGTCGCGGTTGGGGGAGCCATGTTGTTTTTTTCTTTTTGGATATTTGTTTGCTAGTTCGGAGAAAGTAATGAGTGAATTGTAATGGTAGGAGTAGTGATGGTGATGACAGCGATGATGAGGTTTGCTTTTTTTTGTCCAACCTTCTGGCCTCAAGATATGGGTGTGAAGAAAGGGGAAATGGGAAAGAAACCGCGGGGGATCTCGCTTGCGGGGTCCTTGAAAATATAGACGACGTTGCCGCTCAACCTCGGAGACGTCTCACTCAGTTTCGGACCCGTCGATGGACGTCTACAGCCCCGAAAATGGATGGGAGAGTCACGATACGTAAGGACCCGCGAGTGAACCAACTGGCCAGAACGAACGGAAATGGGCCCAATAGACCCAATCGATCTACGTTGCCACTCCAGTGATCGGTGGACATGGCAGTTGAGGGAATCTGGATCGCAGCGCTTCGAGGCGGGAATCCGGTAATCCCATACCTCGGGAAACTCCTACTCGTCATGGTCCTTGTACAATTAGATCGAGGTCAGCCAGTCAGGAGAGGCCAGGCTAGACAAATGGTAGACCGGTAAAACGACGTCCTATCTCACAAATACAAGTATGCGCACAAGCACCATGAGGGGCAGAAGAGACCAGAATTGTGAAGATTCATCCCCGGCAACATCATGATTCAATGGTAGGCTCGACCATGAGTGCTTGTTCATACATGGCATAAAATGGGAACCCACAGACATACCATCTGGTTTGCCATGGGTGCGTTGGACCTTTGCTCTCTCGATGGTCTCAATCCAAAAAGGGGAAAGAGGAAAATGGGAACAGAACAAGTGGACCGGGGGAGCCTTGCTCGGCAACTAACTTGGGGCTAACGACTCGTAACCGACGGGGCCGGTCAAACTCTGATCGCACGGGACCCTGGGGGCCAAGATGGGAGGAAGAAGATGGGACGTTGACGCTAGTGAGTGACGTGCGGAATTGTGGCGATGAATGTTCACGGAGGAAGAAGAGAAGAGGATAGAATTCTAATTGTCATCATCCTCGTCATGATCATGTGTTGAACAAGGAAGAGGAGAGAATGAAAATGGTGGCCAATGCGTAGTCTTAGAGTTCACACCCTCTGTCTTTGCAGGTTCTTGCTGCTCCGGGTGCTGGTGTCTTGCCGAGCTGTGACAGTAATGGCCATCTATCTACACAGCTGGCGAGGCATTGTGTCTTTTGGGGGTTTGATACAGGCAGCCTCGTCAACTCTGTCAAACTTCTCCTGGACATATGTTCTAGGTTTTCGTCATGGATGACTGCGAATAAGAAGGAATATGTACCCTGCGATTTGCCCATTGAGTAAATGCATGGTATAATTACAATTGAGGCCGTATTATTGGTTATGCCAGGTGCAGGAGACAAGGCTGGTTACTATCACCATACTATAACCATACCGCGTCTTTCTTCAAGCCAGAAATAGGTTCAGATTTCATGTTGCAAGACTCAAACAAGACGTAGTGGGCGAGGTGAACAAAGTATCTCAATATTTGTACGAATTCATCCCCCCCCCTCGAGCTTGGGCTGTCAGCAATGGACACACAATCTAGAGCACCCTGGCTATATCGAATCAATGCCCAATGGACAACCGCCCAGAACCAAACACTTTTAGAGAGCCTATCTGAAACCACGGAGCCTAGTGCTCTCTAATAAGCAACAGTATCTACTCGGTACTATACACCATCTCCTAGTTTGTTGGCTCTTCCGCACTCAAGTCTTTCCTTTTCTAGATTCCCAGTGAAAGTACATGGAGAGGGGGGGTCGAAGGATATCCTCGCTAGGCTTGTAATTTAGGAGATGGGTCCCATAATATGTGAACCTTCGCTCAGACCGAGTGTTGGTCAGCATGGAGGACCTTGGCTTCACCTTCACCGTGGGCGATGAGATGGGGTTTATCGAGCATGACTGCTTTTTGGCTGTAGAGGGGGGAAATGATAGTTAGTGGACACGTTCCATTACCGAGAGAGGCATGTCAGTAGCTTACTGGGTCAATTTATGGTCGACATTCTTGACAAACGCCGCTGCGATAATGGCGATACCTATCACAAACACACACGAGACCAGATCAGTATTCTTGATTCCTCGTCCAAGAGTGCTAGGGAGATTGAGGATGAGGGTCAAACCTACCGCCAAAGGCTATGCTGACGAGGTAAACCAGCCTGAAGGCGTCCGAGTGTACCGACTTGATGGCCTCTGCGCCTGTGTTGATGATTGCCGGGGTAATGTTCGGGATGGCCCCCAGTGCCGCGGTAGAGCCTGTCGTCAATGCAACTGCAAGACCAGGCACATGTTAGCGGGGGGAATAAACCAAGGCTGGGGAAGCCGGGGGAAAGGTGAGTCCCAGAGGACAGATTGATAGATAGATAGATACGTAGATCACCAAACGTACCGATAAAGGATTCGAGGTTATCGGGGTTCAAGCCCGCCCCGACCGCTGCCTCAGCTACGCGCGGCGCAAGCTCGTCCGCGACCTTGTTGTTCATGATGCTGCTGTAGATGCCGACGGCGATGGCGCCGCCAAAGGCCAGCGTGGAGCCTCGAATACTATTCAAATGGTCAGTCGGACAATGCGAAGAGACACGGGACAAACTCACCCTGTGGCAGCACCGATATCCTTGTCCTCAACACCAAACTGGACGAGGAGCACACCGATGACCTGCGCGGCCGAAACCCAAAAGGACGCAAATGCCACCAGCACAATGGCTTGCGCGGGCGTGTTCTGGTTCACAGACGCCATGGCGCCGATGAATGCTGTCTGCAATAATGTGGTGACAAAGAATTGCCAGTTGGTCCGTTTGACCACGCCGAACATGGTTCCGGATACGACGATTCCAACTGTTCTCTATATCAGTCTCGGGACTTTCAGGACACCCCACCCCAACCAGTGGTGCGAGGGAGAGAATGTGTTGCTTACTGGTTGCCGCGAGATTGAAACCCAGACTGTACCATCCAATGGTTCTGGGCACCTGGGTAAACAAGTACTGCACCTCTATTCACACAAGTCAGCGGTTGCCATCCCGGAGTCGTTTCCTGGATGCGACTTACGCTGGGGCCACAAGATTTGAAGAGATTGCAACTATGCGATGAAAACACACCACGGTTAGCGGACACAATCGGTGGGAGTGGCAAGACTGTTCCAGCACGTACCGACATTCCTGAAATCAGGATCGCAACCAACGGCAGAGTGAATCCTCTGACGTTCTTCATGACGCCCGGAGGGAACAGCTTGGCCAGGTTGTCGGGGCTGTAGATTTCCCAGAGCGGGAATGCCACGATGAGGGTGAGAGCTGATGATCAAACGTGTCAGTGTCGCATCTCTCACCGGAGAACTAGCGTCTGAAGAGGGACATCGCATACCTCCGAGAATCAACGGTGCCAGCACCTGTGCGCTGGTCCAGGGATATGGGTTGCCGCCCCAGGAGATACCGAGCAGGAAACAGGTCAGGCCACCGCCAAACAAGACCAGCCCGAGAAAGTCCAGCTCTTTGAATTGCTGGAACCTGGTCTTTCCGGGGTGAAGGCCAACAAAGCCCGGGGGCCAGTAGAAGATGGTGATCAACAAGAACGCCCAGCCGTTGGCAATGGCCCCGATATAGAATGTCCAGCGCCAATTCAAATCCGCAACGATCGCATATGCTATGGACAAACCCACGGTCAGCAGATGCGCACGACGATATCAGGCTTCGTTCGACTCACCAATGACGGAGCCAAATGCGGACCCGGGGAGCGCAAACACGTTCATAAAGGCGATGGCGCTGCCTCGATGTTTTCGGGGGACGATTTCGTTGGCGGCCGCATACGCGATTTGCTGAATACCACCAGCAACACCCTGGAAAAGGTAAGCAAAGGTCGGGTTCGACATTGGGTCAGATGTTAAGCTCACCATCAAGGCTGTGCCAGCAATGACTTGGTTGACCTTGTCGGCTCTGAAAAAGAACCCAGTCAGCACCATCTTCCTCCTCCAGATCATCCCCATCACACGAGGAAAAAGACTAACCGGCTTGCCACAATAGTTCCTGTATTGTCATCTTAGTCCAAACAACTCTCAAGTGACAGTGTCGCAGGGGAAACTCACCAACTAAACCAAGAAGATTGCCTGCGATGAAGAAGTTCCGGCGACCAAAGATGTCGCTGCAACGACCGGCCACGGTCTGAGTGACTGCGCCGCCCACCGTCCAGGCTTGGGCGACCCATGCAATTTGAGTCGAAGGCCCAATGTCGGCGTTGATGGTCAACAGAATGACGGCGGGAACGATGAATGACAGGATGCAGGCTTCATAGGTAAAGGCCAACGCCTGCGATATGTGTGTTTAGCATCAGGTCAATCCGACCAGGGGGAAACCAACGTACCACAATACCCAGGATGCTTCGCAAGTCCAAGGCCCGATTCTCATAGGCCTCGATTTCATTCTCCGGCGAGATGATGGCCGCGTCGTGCTTCTCACTCTCCCTCTCCTTCTCCTCCTCGTGGATAACCTCAGCTTGGGTCGTCATCTTTGTGGGGTCCATGCTCAGAGAGTTTGCGGCTTTGAAGAAAGCAACAGGAGCAGGTTGGGGGGCCTGGGGCAAACGAGACGTGTGAGATGAAGATAGATGGGTTTATGAGGTTCGGCGTTGGTGAGCTCTCCCACACCCCCCCCCCCCCCCTTTTTTTTATGCGTAATCTCTCGGATGTCAACAATGGAGAGGGTCGATACATGCACGGGGAACCTGAGGGGGTGTGATTCCGGGGTGAGACGCCACAGTGCGAACCTTTTGGACCTTGGCAATTGGGTATTCCTCGTATAGGGTTCCTCGACTTGGCCCGATGGTCCAGCCAGCCAGCCTAGACCATCCGCCATTATCAGACACTAATGCAGACATGGTGTAGGCGTGTCTTTTCATCCCATTCCCCCCCTGTATTTGTCATCCGTGCTATCCTGCGCATCCTACTCTCTACAAGGATACTGGGAACATAGTATGTGATCAATCCCAGCTGAACGAGTTCTGTATCTGGACGAGTCTTCACGTGTGATTTGGGCGTATGTAGATTATTGTGAATAAAAACAGTCACAGGCTTAGTTTGTCGCGTATTGACCAAGTATGTACCTTGAACCACGTCCGTCGCAAGCGATATACAAGCTAGCCACGTGGAGCTTGGCTGGTCTGCTTCTCCTCGTTGGTGAAAGACACGGCGGCTAATAGAGTGTCTCGCACGAGAGATCGCCTTTTCTGACCGATTCTCGGTGCAGCCGCAGATCACACTGAATGCTTAATTGATACTCTATCGAAGCTGAGCTTGGAGACCAAAGATATATTGACTTGAGGCCCTCTTTCTGGTCGATGATTCTGCAAAAACGTGTTTGTTTTCCCCATGGGGTTCGCCCACATGCGCGAGGGTCTCTGGGAAAGAATCCTCTATTGACTTGGGGTCCCCGAACAACCATAAATGCCGGTTCGACTTCGAGTCATTACAATCGAGTGGGGTCAATAATACCCTGACTAGGTTTTCTTGTGGATTTCCCTTTTACAAAGTCCAACGAGTCAGGCAGGCAGGGACGAGGGACTCTTACTCGGTACAGGTCATGACCAAAACTGGTGGAAAATCGCACCCTCCCATAGGCCAATGCCGCTGTTTGTACCGAAATTGCCGCCCTGAATACCTGGAAGGGGAGCCCCCCATGAGGGTGAACCCCATTATCGTCTACCTTGAGGACTGGAGTTGTGGGGATCATTCCAGCGCTTCCATCGGAGCCGTTTGGACTCTGATTCGCCCCGCGTCCCTCAAATTCAACCCAACAGACGAGGCAGACGAGGCAAAGACGAGGCTTCGGATCCCCGCAGACTTGGCCTCGTTTCCGACTCGTATTACGCAGCCAGTTCTATTGGCCAGCCTCGGCGACCTCGGAACGAAGCCGGGAATCCCAAGTCCGTCCCGGGAGACTCGATGAGACGCCAGGAAAACATGCCGGGCTGTTTTTGTGCATTGCCGCGGCTCACAGATCAGATCAACTGACTGGAAAGGCATGGTGGTATGACGCCAACCACAAGAATCGACTGTTCTGCTGGTCGACGAGTCTACCAAGTGCGAAGTGGCAGCTCTGGACCACCTGATAGGGTTTACCTAGGTAGTTTTTTTTCCCCCCCACTGGTGGTGGCATGTTCCTAGGAAGTTGTTGACCCTCCATAGTGCACTGTTTCCTCTTATATGCGGCGAAGCCATTAGATCAAAGGAAATCAAAAAAACATCTTGTCCTCATCCCAGACGTCTTTCTTAGTTTCCAGCCTGCTGCTCTCGAGAACAATCCTCAACCATGTCGGACGTCTACCTCCCAGAATTCAATGCCGACAAGCAGCCGACCGTTCTTGACAAGGTGGTCGGTCTCCCAGATGCCCCCATCCACGCAGAGAGACATATCAAGGTCATTTGCATTGGGGCCGGAGCCTCTGGCTTGCTCTTTGCCTACAAGTTGCAGCGAAGCTTCTATAACTTCGACTTGACCGTTTATGAGAAGAACGAGGATATTGCCGGGACATGGTATGAAAATCGATAGTGAGTCCCCCCAATCCATCTCTCTTCGGTAGTAGCAATGTGAACCATATACTGACTTTTTATGCCAGCCCTGGGTATGTCTATCAAACGATAAAAACCAACTTTTTGAACGAAACATGATCGATGGCAGAGGGACTAATTACTGTGAATCTGTAGATGTGCATGCGATATCCCCGCCCACACCTATGTCTGGTCTTTCGAGCCCAAGACCGACTGGTCGTCAGTCTACGCCGGCAGCTCGGAGATTTACCAGTATTTTGACAACTTCTCACGCAAGTATGACCTACGCAAATACTGCAAGATGCAGCACCAGGTCATCGGAGCCACCTGGGACGACGACCGAGGAGTTTATATCGTCAAGGTCAAGGATTTGGCCACCGGCAAGGAGACGATTGACTACTGCAACATTCTTATCAACGCCGGCGGCATCTTGAACGCCTGGAGATACCCGGCCATCCCGGGCCTTAACAAGTACAAGGGCACCTTGTTGCACACGGCCGCCTGGGACAACTCTGTCGACCTGAGCGGCAAAGTCGTCGGCCTCATCGGTAACGGGTGAGCACATATACATCTCTTTCGCATGGGAAGCCCAAAAGGCTAACGAGTGATTGCCCATCAGGTCGTCTGGGATCCAGGTTCTCCCCACCATCCAGCCTCATGTCGACAAGGTCATTACTTTTATCAGAGAGCCCACTTATGTCTCCCCCGTTCAAGGATTGAGCCAGCACGTCTACACCGCCGACGAGAAGAAGAAGTTTTCCGAGCAGGAAGGGTCGCTCACCTCGTACAGAAAGCAGATTGAACGTGATACCAACAAGCTCTTCAACCTGTTCATCAAGGATACGCCCTCTCAGAACGAAAACCGAGCTTACATCACCGGCCTTATGAAGGAGAAGATCGCCAATCCTTACCTCGAGGAGAGGTTGATCCCGGAATGGTCGCTCGGATGTAAGGACTCCCCCTGACTGTCTCAGTCGTGGCGATACTGACAAGAAGCTACTACAGGCCGAAGATTAACACCCGGTATTGGCTACTTGGAAAGCCTTTCCAAGCCCAACGTTGAAGTGGTCTACGGCGAGATCACCGAGATCACCGAAAAGGGCTGCATCTGCGACAACGGCCAGGAATATCCCGTCGACGTCCTCATCTGTGCCACCGGATTCGACACGTCGTTCCGCCCCCGATTCCCGGTCATTGGCCCCAACAAGAAGAACCTCCAAGATGTCTGGGGCAAGCAGCCGCACTCATACCTGGGTCTTGCTGCCGCCGAATTCCCCAACTACTTGGTTTTCTTGGGACCCAACTGCCCGATTGGCAACGGACCCGTGTTGATCGCCATCGAAGCCCAGGCGGACTGGATGATGAGCGTGATCGACCGCTACCAGACCACCAACATCCACTCCTTTTCGCCCAAGCAGGAGGCCATTGACGACTTTATCGAGTACAAGGACAAGTTCATGCAAAAGACCATCTGGTCCGAGCCCTGCCGCAGCTGGTACAAGGGCGCCGAGATTGACGCTCCCATCACGGCTCTCTGGCCCGGCTCGACTCTGCACTACCTGGAGGCCCTCAACCAGGTCCGATGGGAAGACTTCAACGTCCGGTTCAACGGCAACCGCTTCGCCTGGCTCGGCAACGGCTACAGCCAGACGGAATTGGACCCCTTGGCCGACACAGCCTACTATATCCGCGAGAAGGACGACAGCCCCCCGGCATCGACGCGCGCCAAACGGGAGGCTCTGACGAGAACGGGCGAGGTCGGATCGACGGCCGGTCCAAGAGTCGGTCCACCTCAACAGCAGGCTCATCTGTAAACGGTTTGAGAAGGAAAAAGATTTATGAAGGGGAAAGGAGGGGGGAGGGAGGGAGGGAGGTGATGACTTTGGGAGTCAAATCGTGAGTCAGTCTTTGGGAACATTTCCAGACATTTGTTTTGTTCTTGAGACGGGTCTACAAAGTATAGTACAAGTACAGTATATAGTTGAAGCGAGGCTTATGAGTATACCGACGAGACGAGAATCCTAGATTCGACATATTAGAACGAAGGTCAATCGTTGAACTGTGTTTATCTTCGTCCATCAAAACGTATGCATCACAATGCTGCAGAACCTTGCGCACCAGCATCGCCAATCATCAGACGTTCTTGACCCTCTTCGAGCGAGAGAACACGCTGACTCGCTCCTTCTACCGAGTTACTCTTTTCGGCCTCTTGCGTTCTACAAGGATGACTTGCACCTGCCGAGTAATGAACAGTCGGCCCGGTCTGGTGAATGCAACTGCCCACTTTCCTCCTCCGGCGGACCAGGTCTCTGACTCGTCGCCCTTGCCAGAACAAGGACAAAACACTCACGGATATACAAGGATAGACGGGGATCCATGCTTGTCAATTTATCCATGATTGTGCCATATTATCCATCATTCGTTTTTCCTCTGCCGAGGCACCCAAACCCTCCCCTGTGCCCACCCATCCACCGTCCCATGCCGAGGCTTGCTGAAGCCTCGTGGGAAGCAGTGCTCGAATAGTGTGTGTGTGTAATGCGGTCGGTGTCTTGTCCACGGCGCGCGGTGCGTTACACGTTTATTTCTTTCCCCGATGGGAGGCCTGCCACTAGTTCCATACGAGTAGTTACACGTACCTAGCAGAGAGAAGAAAAAAAAAGGCTCCCCTCCAATCCTGATCTGCGTGATTAGGTGTTCGGTTAGAACGTGCATTTTTGTCGGAGTGTCTGTGCCTTTGCTTGTTTTTGACTTTCGATCGCTGTGGGATTTCGTTACTTGGGACACGGAAAGAGCTGCAGTGTACTCGGTAGGCCTGTCAGTCTGTCGATCAGGAGTCAAAATGACTATTTTCCAATCATCACAGCCTCCCGTCAAAGGTGCGTTCAGAGAAGTGAATTCGGGTTCACCTCTTACCAAAGGTATCGCACAGAGCTAAATGCCTCAACTAACCATCTGAACCTTCTCTAGTTCCCAATGATACACCGGTGTGGACTTGGTTATTCGAGGGCGAGGAGAGTCCACTGCGCAGATTCCCCCCGGAAGCTGTGAATGGCTTCTCGGACGCCGCGACGGGAGAGGTACGTGATCACCTCAGAAGACAGAACCAGTGACGGTGTTTTGCTCGTGGAGATGGGACTGACGCCCAAGTGATGAACAGCACATCAGTTTCAAAGACCTCAAAGAGCTGAGCACCTACGTATCGACCGCCCTGGTGCAGAAATATGGCCCTCGACAGGGCGAATGTGTGTGCCTCTTCAGCCCCAACACCATCTGGTATCCCTGTGCCCTCTTTAGTGTTCTGCGGTCCGGCGGCATCGTGGCCGGCCCATCCCCCGCGTACAATGTCGAAGAGATGGCATATGCGCTTCGACTCTCAAAGGCGAAGCTCATATTCACGGTGCCTGGCTCTCTGAAAGTTGCTGCGGCAGCCGCCAAAACGGTCGGAATCACCCCGGATCGGATCCTGATGCTCCACGGCGAGGTGGACGGTCATGTATCGCTCTCCCAGCTCATCGACATCGGCCGGTCGCAAGGGCCGCAGCGACAGACGGCACCCTTCACGATCCCCCGCGGCCGGCAGAACAAGGACGTCTGCGCGTTCCTCTCCTTCAGCAGTGGTACGACGGGCCTCCCCAAGGCGGTTGTGATCTCGCACAGCAACATCATCGCCCAGTGTCTGCAGATGAAACAGGCGGGAGCCAAAATCGACCGCATGATTGCGGTCCTCCCCTTGTTCCACATCACTGGGCTGGTTCACCAGATGCACCTCCCCATCGTGCTGAACGCCAACGTCCACATGCTTCCGAGCTTCTCGATGGACCTGATGCTGAAGGTCGTGCAGGAGTACCGACTACAGGAGCTAATGCTGGTGCCACCGATCCTGGTGCGCCTGGTCCACGACAAGTCGATCGAGAACTACGACCTCAGCTCGATCCGGTATTTCACGTCCGGGGCCGCGCCTTTGTCGGCTGAGATCATCGCGCGTCTCCAGAGACTGTTCCCCAACGCCGGACTCAAACACGGATACGGCATGACCGAGTCGGGCGGCTGCATCACCGTCACCACGCCGGACAAGTACGACTTCAAGAACGCGACCAAAGCCGGCACTCTCCTCGCCTCGACCGAGATCAAGGTGGTCGATCCCGAGAGCGGTGCAGAGCTGGGACCAAGCACACCCGGCGAGATCTGGGCCCGAGGGCCGCAAATCACCACGGGCTACCTGGACAACCAGAAGGCGACCGCCGAGACGTTTGACAAGGACGGCTTCCTCCACACGGGTGACATCGGGTACATTGACGACGAAGGATTTTTGACCATCACGGACCGGCTCAAGGAGCTGATCAAGGTCAACGGCATTGGCGTCGCCCCTGCCGAGCTGGAAGATTTACTTCTCGGCCACGCCGACGTGGTCGATGCCGCCGTGATTGGCATCCCTGACGCGACGTCCGGGGAGAAACCCAAGGCCTACGTCGTCCTGCGCAGTGGGCTGACCCGTTCGCCGGAGAGCGTGGCCAGGGACCTGATCAAGCTGGCGCAGGAAAAGAAGGTGCGCCACAAATGGATCAGCGAGGTCGAGGTCATCGAGGCCATCCCCAAGGCTCCGTCGGGCAAGATCCTGCGCCGGGTGCTCCGGGCCCAGCACAAGGCCGGGAAGAGGGGACTGGTGGTGCTGCGCGAAGCCGGTCCCCGGGCCAAGATTTGAGTCTTTTTTTTTTCTATTGTTTCTGCGACTTATAGAGAGAGCATTCATGGGGATAAACGGGTGGGAAGAGGGAAAGAGGGGCGTCTCGCTTGTCTCACTGTCTCACAGCTAGTGATTATACATATACAAGAAAATAAGTATCGATCGTATCATCATGTGCCGTATACTTGCCCCTGTATCCCGCACGGACGTTTGGTGTCCCCTACTAACTTGAAGACCGAGATGCATGGAAACCTGTGAGTATAATTTTTTCCCGCCCCCTGGCAGAAGAAGGGGATGGATTTCGAGGTCGGAATCTCTCGCCACGAGGACTTGCCTTTCCAATCTCCGGACCTGAGCGTGGCATTGAGCCTCGCTGCTTCAAACCTGAGATGCTCCTGCACGTGACTGAGCATTGAAAATACACTACAACCCGACGCAGGTTGCAGGGAAATTTCCCACCGAAGTTGGCGGCCAGCGCCCGCCGCTTTTGAAGGTTTTGCTTTCCTCGATGCCAAGATCAGCCCCCCCCCCCCCCCCCCGCCCCCGGGATGCTCCCTACGGTGGATAGCGACCAGCGAGTAAAGGTGGGCCTGGAAAATAATTACACGTCGTTTTGCAGAGTGAGGATGCAACAAAATGGCTTCGTGACCGTTTTATTACTAAACTATGAGGACTTGGACTTTCCTGCAACATTTCATTTTCTTCTCCATATTTTTTTGAGTTGATCACCTAGGTTTCATGCTGGAATTACTTTTCGATAATCCCGAGCATGTCGTAGGAAAGCTGCTTCAGTGTCCCTCCACCTGTCCCCGCGGAAGAGGGACGGTTCTAACTAGATATGGTTTAATCTACTCTGACGTCACACCCAATGATCAATGGCGCCTGGTAAGGCAGATTGTATTGACTTGATGCAATAAAGCGAATTAGTCGACAATGCCGAAAGGTTGATTGTAGCGCCATACCGGTACCGTAAGTGGGAAGCCTCAAAGTGCTCGTTCTACTCGTAGATGTCAATATCGGGGGATAGTGGTCATGTCGGTGCCACCGCTATAGCATCCACACTGCAACTCCGAGATAGTCCTCTTGAGACAGTGGAATACATTGGCTAATCAACGACATCCACAGTATATGCGGCAGAGCCGCTGGGGCCGGTGCTGCTCCACACGATGCGCCGGATGATGAATTCCAGTCAGGGAGCTTGGGCTCCAGCCAGGGATCGGCAGGGTGTACGTAGCCTGCCACAAGAACGGCCGTCATTCACCACGACTACAGGCCTGCACAACCAGGAACCCAGCACCAAGGTCCTTGTCCCTAGCAGCCTTCATCAAGTTCATGGCCGTCGTCCCCAACACGTGAGACTCATCACATCGCGAGCTTTCTGCTATTTCCTCTGAGCGGGATGGAGCAGCTTCGACGGCTAGGTCTCCGGTGCGGCGGCCGACGATCATGATCGTTTCAGCAGCACTGGGGTCCGCAACAGCCGTTGAGACAGCTTCGAGACTTGGGAGAGGGAGATCGTCGAACGAGACCCTTTTCGCGATGGCCTCGTCGACAGAGTTGCGAAGGAGGAGGAAATCATGGTCGGCTAGTGACGAGCCGCCAATGTCTTTGAGATCCTCCTCTTCGTCATCTTCAAACGCCCGCGCAACGAGGACTCGTAGGTCCACCTTTTGATTCTTTGCGAGCTGCAGTCCCAGCCGTACGGCGAACAGATCATCATCATGGCCAGTGTATAAACAAAAAAGCCTACATCTTCTACCGGTTGCGGGTTTTGGTCGCGCACCGTGATTGGTAGGTTCGGTCATGCTCCTTTCCGTCAGCATGCGGCTCGACTGCCGGGGCTGCTTGTCCGAAAGAGTCTCAAGAGACGGAATGTTGGATCTGCGGAAAATGCTTGGCTCAATAAAAACAGCCACATGGCAAGTCGAATTCGCCTGTTTAAAGAGCTCGCCCATGAAGGCCGTAAACTCCTTGTTTGCGAGTGGATCGGCTGGCTTCTCATCGAAAGGGCTTGGATAGTCTGACATGTTTCCCGACTCGGACCATGGAACGAGGACCAATTGCGACCCGAGTTCGCGTGCACGCGATAGAATGCTGCTCGAGAATGACGGTCCTGGGACCACGGCAATCTGCCCATTGGCGGAGATACCGCATGACTGCGTAAATGCACCAAAGGTTTTGATGACAGGGTCTCGGGGCGCGAACTCTTCAACCTGAGAAACTCTCATCACACTACTTTCTCGGTCGGTGAGCTCCATAAGACGCAAGCCGTGCATACTTAGGGGCCGGCGAAGGGCGACAGCTGATCCCATAGTATGCAAATTCTGCGCCACAGGATCGTCTCGGCCCACCAGACCATCGGTAGGCGGCGGCGCTGTAGAGGCGATGCTCTCTGGATCATGAGCGAAGAGTGACACCAGGGTAAATATGCTTGCGAGGCCGTCGAGTCGAAGGTAAACCAGAACTCGTTGAGCGACATTTGCCTTTACCCGGGCGCCGTCGTCGGAGTCATCGTGGTGAATTGGATTGCCATTCCAGTCGATCTTCCCTTGCTTCCACATTTCCAGTTTCTTCTGGTACCAAGGGGGATATAACCACATCGTCAGTGGCGTTGTGGCAAAGGTAGTAACGAGTGTCATGACGACAAACATAGTGAAAGTCCGGGTGCTGAGGATTTTAGCCTGCAAACCAATATTCAGCACAACCAACTCGACGACGCCTTTACATGACATCAAACAGCCAATGGCGAAAGATTCTCGCCAAACGAGGCCGTTTAAACGTGATGCCAACGTTCCACCCGTCACCTTGGTAATGAAGGCAATTGCGCAGATGCCCACCACGTAGGCCCAAGTAATGCCGCTGTCGAGGAGGCCTAAATTGGTACTTAAACCAGACGTCGCAAAATACAAGGGCAGAAAAAGAACGCTGATAAGGTCCTCGATCTTTTCTGTCAGCTTAATGGCGAAACCTCCATCGTGAGGTAACATCAGGCCGATCGCAAAGGCCCCAAAAATAGGATGAATCCCAATAATGCCGGTGAAGAAAGCCGAGGCGAGAGTAAGTAAAATCGTCAGGGCGACCATGGTTTGGCTGGGGCCATTAGCCAGACTTCCGGTTCGTCGAAGAAGATACATGAAACACGGTCGCACGAGGAAGGTCAAAAAAAGGACGTATCCAAGTGAGACAAGAAGGATCCACACTGCAGTAACTCCAGTGCTGGAATTCACGAGGACCACACAAAGAGCAAGCAAAATCCAGCCCGTAACATCATTTCCGATTCCAGCGGAGAGGACAATGACACCGACAGGTGTCCCGACCAAGTCCAGGGACGTTAAGATCCGACAGAGGACCGGGAATGCCTAAACTAGTTAGAACAAGAGAGATTTGGAGAGGCATGGTTCTTACAGTGATTGCCATGGCCACGCCGATAAAGAGCATATATACTCCAAAGCTAATAGCAGCTGTGCCAGGCTCATCCCGGAACTCATGGTACAACCCCCAGGCGATAGCGGCTCCAAAACCAAAGGGAAGCGCCATTCCAGCAACCCCAACACTCACTGCGACCCGCCAATTACGCAGGAGGAACCGTAAATCGACCTCTAGGCCGACCAGGAATAGGAACAAAACCAGTCCGATATTGGCAACAAGGAGGAAACCCGGCATTGAGGCTGGGGGGAAGATATGTGACGTGAAGCCTGGAATCCTACCAAAGACTGATGGCCCTAATAGGATACCAGTGACAACTTCGGCGATAACTCGAGGTTGCCTCAAATACGCGAGTGGTATGTGAATGAGCCGGCACAGGACGATGACAATACTAGCCTGGATGATGAACAGGATGAGAGGATTCTTGGGATCAAAGCGAGACGGGTTGACATGCTCGAAGACACCGCCTTGCGGAGCTGCTCTGAGTGTGCTGGTGCTGGACGCCGCCGTGCCGTTGACAGTTTTGGTGATCAACTCGGTGACCGTTGCTGTCGCCATGGCACCAACTGATTCAGAAACGATAGCGAGGGCAACTTCGCTGACAGAGCTGGCTGGAGGAGTCATCGATAGGTGGTTGTTGAGATGCGAATAGAGAGTTGAAGAACGGTTGGTGGTAATGGTTATTAAAAGTCGAACATCAGTGGCTTGGGGAGCTTTTCTTAACCAATGCTGGGGACATTAGCCAAAACTGGTGCTCAGGAGATAGGCAACCTCAGGGAATCAGCGAAGAGAATAGTTTTTCAAAGATATGAGGTGACGACGCGAAAGCTGTTCTCAAGGCGGTAGAACAGGGCCGTTTGGCTTGCAATCCTCCTGTGAGAATGACGGGTGCCTAGAGACTCCCCTTTTAAGTAGCCCGACTCCGTATTGGACATGACCCCTCACTTAAGCTATTCACCGCCGAAACGCGCGACTCGGATCTCGTCACCTGGCCTTGGTGGTGGTAATTGCCAGTGACGCTCCGCGGAGTTAGGTGCGAGAACTTGAGGTGATAAAGTCGTTCTCGAAACCGCCCGTCCCCAGCTCCTCCCCCACACACGCAACTAGTACGAAGCCAAGCACTAGGCTCGGGTCTTCCTCGGCTTAGTCTGTCAATCAATTGCCTTGTTCCATGATGAGGGTGGATCAGCCAGCAATAGTTCTACGACTGGGGTGAGCGTAGGCGGTACGGTAGTCTTTCACTAATTACACTACCAAATTTGTCCTGATTGGTGTAGTCGCTGCATGGAGAGAGAGAGAGATTGGGATAGGAGACGAGGTTCTTATAGCCGTCAAAAGCGGCGGCGCGCCCAGACCGCGACCATACCCGAAGCAGCCGGGCCACCTAAACCGCAGGCGGATTTCCGAGCAACGACTTTACCGAAGAAGCAGCAATGGGTAATTATATCTCCGGTACCGAAAGTTGCTATTTTCGGCGGCGGACAGAAGAAGCCCCACCACCACGTACCGTATTCTCCGTGATCGTTTTCCCTTCCTTGGGCTACGAATTCATAGCATTAAGAAATATATTTCAACTCTGGAACAATGGCAAGGATACTTGTCACGGATGCGGAAGGCCTGGTAGGGAAATACGTGGTGTCGGAACTTGTTTCCAAGCGGCGCGCTCAAGATACCGCAACCCCAACATTGCCAGGGTTGGTTGGCATGATTGTCCGTGCTGGATATCACAGCCAAGAGGCGCTCGAAGCAGCAATCGCGAGTAATACCCATCCGGAAATGGTGGAGCCGGTGATGGTCGACTGGAAAGACGAAACCACCTTTCTCGATGCGCTGACGGGTGTGCACAGCTTGTTTCTGCTGACACCGTTTACGTCAGCAAAGCTTTCTCAGTGCCGCTCGTGGATCGATGCAGCAGCCAAGGCCAAGGCCGTGACTCACGAGGCTGAGAATAAACTGCACGTCGTCTATGCCGGCGTGCATTGCAACGACCGAGACGAAGCTGACCGGGTACCACATGAGACGTGGCATCTGCAGGCCGAAAATGCAATCTCTGAAGCCACGCACGTCTTCGCGTCCTCGACGTTCCTCCGCATCAACTTTGATGGCTACAACGGTACGCTACGGCCAGGGGAAATCGCATACTTCCTCCCGGCAGACAAGAAGTATGGGTGGATTGCCCGCGAAGACATAGCTGCCGTGGCCGCCGTCTCGCTGCTTGAGCCGTCAAGACACGCGGGTAGGACTTATCCGCTCGCGACGGAGAAGCTGAGTCTGGTAGACATGGCAGATATCGCAAAAGACATATGTGGCTTCGACGTGGGGCCACGTCGTTTATCGAGCGACGAGTTTGCGCGCATGGCTCTCAGTCCGCTGGCGAACCCGGACGACGACCCAGGCTATGTAGAGTACATAGAGTCGGTTGCACAGATGTTCCAAGGACTAGAGAAGGGCCAATATCCGAGTCATACTGAGGTCTTCCCTGAGGTGGTTCGGGAGATTTGTGGACGAGAGCCCATCTCGTTCAGGGTATGGTTGACTCAGTCTCCATTCCGTGTGAAGTTGGAGCCTTCTTGAGTCAAAAAAAGCGACAACACCTCATATTACGCCTAGAAAGGTATTTTCCAAATGTAGGTAGCAGGAGAACCACCGGTGTCCCTATCATCCCTTGCCGAGATGGCGCCAGTCGACGGGATTCGAAGACAGTAGCGGTATAGCTTGGGGCGTTATCCGGTAGGAGGCTCTGTCCCTGTGAGAGGAGGACGTTGAGAGAGAGATCCAGAGAGAGGCACGCACGCACGCACGTAATAACAAAAAAAAAACCATATGAAATGGCGATACGGATGCTGGAGGCGTATTCAATATATATATATCAGGCATGCAAGTAGCCATATATGTACACATGTACCTACGTTGTACGCAGTACGCAGTACGTAGCATAAAGTATAGGTATGGAGTATTAAGTACATAGTATGACATATAACACATGACACAACCCCGGCGATCATCACCGCTAAGAATCACCAGGATGAAATCACCGGCAGAAAGTCATTGCGTTTCACTGCGCAAACATGCCCAACCGCCTCGTGGCGGCCTCGAGGAAGGAGATGGCGCTCTGCGCGCCCGCGTTGTTCTCGCGCAGGCTCTCGAGCAGCTTCAGGCACTGGCGCAGCTGGTACAGGCACGGGGCGCGCACCTCGTAGTTGGGCGACTGCAGGCCCGAGACGTGCGTGAAGCCCGCGACCACGATGTACGAGACGCTGGTCGACGGGAGGAGCGGGATCAGGCCGCGCACCACGAGCCGTTGCGCCACCGTCGTGATGGCGGACGCGGCCTGCGCGGATATGGCGCGGAAGTTGAGTATCTTGTCCCCCGGGGAGGAGGTTGAGCCGGGGGCGAGGGGTGTTGTTGTTGTCGTGGGTTTGGTAGAGGCAGAGGTAGATGATGAGGAGGAAGAGAGGTTGGTGGTGGTGGTAGTGGAGGAAGAAGAAGAAGAAGAAGAAGAAGAAGAAGAAGAAGAAGAAGAAGAAGAAGAAGAAGAAGACGAGGACGATGCGGCTGCGCCCCCAGGGTTGCGCGGGAACATCTGCGGCGCGTACAGGATCGACAGCACGGTGCAGAAGAACATGTGGAACAGGCTGATGTGGACGTCGACGGCGTCGTCGCCGGCCGAGCGCGGCGGGCTCTGCGCCTCGAGCGGCAGCTGGGTCAGCATCGCCTCCAGCTCGTCCTCCTGCCACTTCATCTTGTGCTGGTCGACGTCCTCGCCGCGCGGGATCAGGTAGCTGCGCTTGTTGGGGTCGTCGGCGTCCCACCCGTGGCTCGACGTCTGGTACTGCAGCCCCAGGATGTTCTCGAAGCACGCCGACAGCTTGCACATGTTGACGCACATGACCGCCAGAAGGCGCTGCTTGTTGGTGTCGCGCAGCAGACTGCGCTCGTCGCCCGGCCACCGCACCGTGGGCAGCAGCATCGCGATCTCAAAATCGTCCTCGCTCAGCACCGGCACCGTCGCCCCGTCGTTGGGCGCCTTGCACGGGATGTGCACCGACAGCGTCACCTGCTGGGCCAGCATGAACACGCACCACCACAGCCGCTTGTGCAGCCGCTTCGACGCCGCCGAGTCCGAGCCGGGCCCCGTGTCGATGGTCATCGGGTCATAGTGCAGGTTGATCGAGTAGGCCGTCGAGATGGCCATGTCGATCCACCGCCAGTTGTCCTTGTACATGGCCCCCGACGTGCAATAGGCCATCAGGAGCAAGGACTGGATGGTGACGATCTTGTCGCTGTCAAAGTCGTACTTGCAGAGTAACTAGACATGAAACGTCAGGATCCGGTATGACCATTTTTACGAGCATCCTCCCCATGCTTTCTCTTCCGATTTTTCAGGAATATTTGTTCAAAACTCACCTTGACTTTCTCGACAAATTCCTTGGTGGCTTCCGACCTTGACGGGTATCCCGCATTGAGCAAATACTCTACGTCCACAAACGCCGTGCCCGCGAGCATCAGCGCTTGGAAAAGCGTCAGGCTCAGTTGACCCGTCGATGCATCGCCCGAGGCCACGGTGCTTGCCAGCTCATGCACATTGATGAGCGGGAGGAAGGGATAGACATGCTCGATAAAGGCGTTGAGGAGTTCTTCTCGGAGTTGCGTCGACGGGATCTGCAGCGCCCCTTGCGAGGTCAGATAGGCCAGGTCCGTGGCAGAGATGCAGTGGGGAGGAGGCTTGATGAAGCCCGGCACGGCGGCCAAGTCGGCGATCGACTCTCCCAGCGACGGTCTCGAGGGGCGGGAGCTCTGCGAGGGAGACTTGTACCAGTCGCCCATGGGCGGCTGTCGAGGTTCCTGTGCTGTGGTTCCCGCTACAATCATACCAGCGTTTGTTAGCTCATTTGCCTGTTACGGCAAGGTGATTCACGACGTACCAGCTAGCCCGCAGGCATATTGGTACAGGCGACTGCGAGCATTGCGAGGCTGGCCCGTGAGCCCGTCGATGTCGCCCCTTCCATTGTTGTGCTCTCCGCTTGGCTCCGCTGCCTCTAGAGGTTTCGGCTTGGTAATGCCATTCCCACTGGCGGAAGTCAGTTGAACCTAGACACAGAGAGAAACCTTTCTGGGGAACACAAGGAAGGTCACCTCACGCTTTGTTCCCGATTCTATCCGGGATAATACAATCCACCCGATCCAATTTACAATTTGTGCATGGTGCCCCCGTGTATACAAAGTCGCACCGGACCTTGCGTGCTCTGCACGACCGACAGGCCTTGGACGCGCGCTTTGCTGTCTTGTTCCGGGGCTGGCGTGGTTTGGGGGTCTCCTCGGCACAGGGCACGGGTTGCGGGACTGACGAAGTCTCGGCAAATTCAAAGAAATCTAGCAAGTTGTCCACGGACATGTTTTGTCATACGATAAGAGAGAGGGGGGCGGCCCTTGCTTCGGAAATGGAGGGGGGGCGCGAGTTGTCTTTCTCTTGCTAGCCTGCTTTGTGAGGTTCTGGGGGAGAGTAGGAAAGGGTCGAAATTAATAGAGGGACCGTGGGCCGAGTCTGTTTCTGTTACGACTCGTTACCGGTTCTCCCCCACATTTGGCAAAGTTGAAGGTGGTTGTGGAGTACTGATTTCTGAGCTGGGGAGCACGGGAGGCAGGATTTGTACCAATCTGGTTAGTCCCTGTTGGATTAGGTAATTTTTAGTGGAGCGACAACCAGCTGATATAGAAATGGCTATAATACAGGAGAAAGAGACTGTGTCTCCCTCGCACGCCAATCACTACACGCCCCCTCTCGACGACTTGTGAGCCGTTGCAAAATACTCTATCTGCCATGGCCATCATCTCGCATCCCAACCATGTCGCGATCTCGGTACCGGATGCCGCCAAAGCGGCCGAGTTCTACACGCAAGTCTTGGGCCTCAAGGTCCTGGTGCCAGATAACACTATGAATGCCGAAGATGCTGGTGGCGTGCCTCGGAAAAGTGTGTGACGCTCGTGATCGGTATGTTGAAGTTGTCTGGACCCTGGAACTAACACACACCCCAGTTTATGGCAAGGAGCTGCAGCGAGTTCGGTCAATTATCCTTACTGCTTCGAACGGGATCGGCTTCGAAATCTTCGAATTCGTTGCACCAAAATATAACGGGCCACACCAAAGACCCGAATGGGGCCCAGACAGTTACACGCGAGGCGGCTTCTTCCATGTCGGGTTTGTCGTTGCAGACATTGACGAGACGGTGGCGGCGTGCGAGAGGTTGGGAGGCAAGCTGGTAGGCGAAAAGGTCCATCCGGTGCCTGGGGAGGCTGCTCTCTACATGCAGGACCCATGGGGAAACATTATTGAGCTCATGACTTGTGGATTTGATCAGATGTTCTCCCAGGTGATTAGCGCCGGTAGATTTAACAACTCGCGGACATAAAGTGTACCGTCACCACTATACGTCAAGTATAGATGACCAGTTCAGCGCTGAGGCCCTGTCCACTGTGATCCCATGCCAGTAGTCCCCGTAAAATTCCCGATCCCTTGCACCATTGTTCGCTTGAATTGAATTTACAATTTTGATACAACAAATGTTGGCTAAGCAACAGCCATGTGTGGAAGGCATATAATCATGGTCTCAGCGTCGGATCGGTCAACGATGTTGCACAATCAAAGTCGAACATATCGTCTAGGAAATTGAGATCGCGGAATCCACCCATTGTACCTCCAGGGGACATGGGCATTCGATGATCATCGGCCATGGACGCGAGCTCTTGTGAGAAAAAATCAAAAAATGGATCTGTGGATCCGAGATCGGGTAGTTGCGCTGCGGCGGGATGGTCGTTTTCGGGCATGAATTGAGTCTTTGGCTGCGGTGCATTGTTCATGACCGGAGACACCTGGTGAAATAGCACGTAAGCTTCCACGGTCATCCCTGTGGTTGTGATGAGGACTTACCTGCGGATAAAGCGGACCCGAGTTGCAAGGCTGCTCTTGTGGAAAATCATGCGGTTGATGACCGGGGGTTGAATCGGCATCACTTCCGACGTACGGAGCAAAACATTGCTCCTCGGCGGTGGAGATGGCTAGGTCTGCGAACTCGGGACACGAGCGCCGGAAGGCAGGTAATACCGTGAAGCTAGACGGATCACAGACGATGGACCTCAGGGAAGGTTCCATTTCAAAATCCGACACATCCGGCTTAAGCGTCAACAGCTGGTGTGGGCGGAGGCCGTGAGCGTTGATTCTCATGTTCCGGGTCAGAGCCCAGATGAGCCTCTCTTCGTCGTATTTCGGGAACCCGACAATTAGCCGGTCGCGCAGTTCAGGCCTGTTCAGTATCAGTAATCAGGTCACTATCCCGTCACGCATAGCCGCAATGACACCCGCCCATCGACCGGTATCTGCAACTCACCATACGATTCCATCCACGAAGCAGGAGTGCTGGAGGAGAAGCTGGGATTTGGTCGGACGCTGCCATCGAGGGAACTGCGACCAGTTTTCGACTGTTGGAAAGATGAGAAACTGTAAAGGCTGGTTAGTCACGAATCTTGCACGGTCCATCTGAAGTCATGACCTACCAGGTAGTATCTGTAAGTGGTCCAAAAAATTGCCACAAACTCTATTTCGGAAAAGAATCTGTCCCTCCATCGATACAGTCCCCGGAATGCACACAGAGCGGCAGCACGGTGATGACGGCTTCGTTCGCTGAGATTGGGGAGAAGATCTTCCTCCAATGTTGCTCGGGATGATGGGGAAGGCCACGGATGCCCGTAGACGAGTGCGGCGTAAATATCCTGCATCAATGTTTTGGACCTCACGGTTCGATCTACTTCTTCTGCAGGGTAAACCGTCAGCGAGCTCGTACCAGACAAAAAGCAGGTGGCGGGTGGCTGTACTCACCAACTGTGGTCTGGAACGCGTAGTTGGAGTAGTCGATGAGGAGTTGTATGTTGTTGTTGCCGTAGCCGTGCTGGATTTTCCAAGCCATGAAAGATTCGAGGAAGTCATTCACGGATATATCGTCTCCGATGTCTTTGGTCTGAAACCCTGTATCCTTGGCCACCTGGAAAAACATGGAGGTCCTCGTCATGAACCAGGGTACATCTTCGTGCAGGACTTTGGAGGTGGTCACTGAGGTGGCCGAGGGAGAGGAATAGTCCGATGGCGGGGGAAAGTTGTCTGTGCCGCGCATCGGACTGCCCCCCAGCACCGATGAAGGAGGGGTTCTGGCAGAGATGGACATGGTGGCTTGATCCGATCGATCGTGGGCACCGTGCATCAGCACGATGGCATCGAGCCTGGACTGTTGCCATGCAATCTGGGTTTTGTAACGGTTGTTCTCCTCCATCAGCTTTTTCAAGACTTCGAGCTGGTCACTTCTTGCGAGGAGGCGCAAGTAGCCCAGTTCGGCCTCGCTCTCCTTGAACTGACTCCGATAATTTCGCTGGTTGATTCTATCCAGCCTCCTCTTCCTTTCCAGCTGCTTCTCCGTGAGCCTCTCCTTCCACTTTGAGTTCATGTTGGCCATGGTTGGTGATGAGCTGAGGGACAATTGAGAGGGGTGGGTTGTTGAAGGGAAATTGATCTCGAGAGTATGTGTGTGAGAGAGAGAGAGAGAGAGTGTGTGTGTGTGTGTCTTGCAGGCGTGGGTGGGATGGTTCTTGGTGTTGACGGGAGAGAGCTGTGGGAACTTTCTGAAAAATATGCTAAGCGACATGTGAGGATATTGATTTCATGCTCCGGACCACGCACGGGACAGATGATCCTGGTGACGCCCCGCGTTCCCCGGGCATGGCGATGCGGGACTGGGGCTGCGCAAGCGTGAAGGATTTGATTTGTCTCACGGGGGACGGATGAAGGGGAGTGGAAGCGGCACTTGACCCGAAGTGAGAAGGAGAGTAGAGGTAGCGGCCTGAGCAGGGAACGAGCAGCACCATCAGGTTCCCTGCGACCCAGCAGTCTGGGCCCTGGGCCCTGCGTCCAAGTGGTTTGCCACCTGCCGACCGCCACCAGAGGGTTCCTCTGAAAGGGTGGACCAGTACCTACAAGTACAAGTAGAGGTATAATTTCAGGCACAGGCCCCCCCTCTCTTTCCTCCTTCAGCTTCTTCTAGAGGTCAGTGGTCACTCTTCAAGGGTAAGTTACCTAGTCACACTAGCCAAGGGTTCCACGAGCGACAAGGATCGTACAAAGAACGGACCAGACACCACCCATTATCGAGGACAATCGAGGACCATTGAGCAACCTTTGAGTCTAACCCAAGTCGTGATGGCTCCTCTCCATTTTTGTCTAGCTGAGGTTGTTCCGTGTTTGGTCCGGGCAGAGCAGGTTACAAGTACACAGCAGTGTGGAAGGCTCTGACCATGCACAAGGGTCACTCCACTCTAACCTTGGGAGCAAAGTTCAAAACTTCTAACTCCAGCAAAACCCCAGCAAACATCTGGGTGGGTGTCTTGAGGCTACTGATGTCACCTAGAGCGGAGACACCGGTTGAGAAGGTCCAAGGTCCAAGGCCCAAGGCCTATTGAGGAGAAAGATGACCATGCAGTTGCTCCCTGACCTTCCCAGTCCAAATTATCCTCCAGCCCGTCCTCAGTCTGTGAGGGGTAAGGGGACGGGGAGCAACAGGCACCTGACTCCCTTTTTTGTTAGGTGTCATGGGGGACTAGGTAGGCTGCGGCCTAGTGTTTGTGCTTGTCTTTGGGGCTAGTGACACTGCACTTACTGGTACCTGTACCCCCCAGCTGCCCCCCAGTCTGGCTCTCTGGCTCCCAGGGCTTTGGCTCTGGTGCTGCCCAACCGTCGCCCTTGCGCCCTCCCCCTTCGTACATAGTTGTATTTGTACTTGTGCCCAACTGTGAACAAGTCACAGGTTCCACGTCCCGCCGAGGCAGAAAGTCGCTGGCTTGGCACCAATTCGCCCACTTGAATCGTCGCCACTTCAATCTTCCCACTCTTTTGTACCTCAGGTGTCGTTTGTCCTTTGTCTTTTACAAATCCTCGCTGTTCTCCCCCTCCCCCCTCCACCTCCTCCCCCTCAGAAAAATATTGTATAGCCATGTCTGAACAAACTGAGACGGCCGACGCTCAGGCTCGTGGCATCAAACGGGTCCGGCAAGCGTGTTCAACCTGCAGGTACCACGCTCGCCTTCTCGAGTGATGATGCCTTTTGGCTAAGTTTGTCCGCAGGCGCAAAAAAGTTCGCTGTTCCGGAGAGAGACCGAGTTGCTCGTTCTGCGAGCGCTTGAACCAGGAATGCCACTATCTGGGTGACACCAATTGGGGTGATATGGATCCTACGCCATATCGAAACAACTCAACATACTCGAAAGAGGTATTGGACATTCAGATTCCCTTCTCGAGACATGTCATAACTCGCGCGTCGTCTAGGATGATGTTTTGGCCCGACTGGGTTCCTTGGAAGCCAAGGTATCTCAACTTACCAGCCTAAATTCGTATGTGGCTCCCTCCCCCCCGAGCTCCCCAAACCCCCAAACCCCCCAAAAGTGTGTGTGTGTTTGTGTAGCTCTATCACATGGCTGAACTCGACCTTGCAGCTGTATACCCATGCTTGTGAATGCTCTGGCACAACAGCAGGGCCTCTCCACTGGTTCTGGCAAGAATCTACGCCCTCGCAGCGTATGCAGCGAGAAGCCGCGTTCTCCTGAAGGCACCAACCCACGAAGTCCTGGTCAACCGTAAGTCTACCAGTCTTCACCCAAATGGAATCTCCTCTTTGTTCTGACGGCACAGAAATTACAAGCATCTACCCCCAAAGCCGGTATTATTGAGGGCTTGCGACACTTTCTTCTTGCGTTGTCATAATCAGCCATATGCATTTTTTCATGAAGCCAAATTTCGTCAGAAGCTTGAGGATGACACTTGGCCGGACTTCCTGCTTTTTGCCTTTTTGGCCGCTGCCATGCGATACTCTAGTGACCCTTACTTTCACGGCAAGCATGCTGAGGCACGAGATGGATACGCTATGAGGTCGTGGGAACTGATCGTCACGGCTGGTTATGCTCTAGACGAAGCGGCGGACACAGCGATTGTTCAAGCGCTCGCCCTGGTGTCGGTGATTGATTCAGCTGGTAAGAGCCCCTACCCTTTGCCTTGCCAACCGTTTCTAAACTGGAACAGCTGGACGCAGACGTGCCGCATGGGTCAAGACTGGCCTTGCCGTACGGATCAGTCAAGATCTTCATCTCATGCGAGAACCCGACCCTGCACTTCCCATCGTGGACCAAGAGGAACGGCGCCGATTGTTCTGGTCCGTCTATCTGCTCGACCGCTTTGTTGCTTGCTCCAGACAGCGACCTTCAGTTATACTTGACGCCGACTGCCAGGTACAATTACCGTGTGATGAAACCCACTTTCGTCAGATGATTCCACAGAAGACGGATTTTCTCAACAATGTGGGCGCTCTCAATGAGCAATCAACCTACCGACCCGGGCAATTCGCCCTCGTGGTCCTCATGGCACGTACGTTAGGTCGTTGTGCTCGGTATATGCTCGATACGCCAGAGACGAGTCACGAGGCCCCGCCTTGGAATCCCCAGTCCGAGCATGTGGCCATAAGCTCTAGCTTACTGTTCTTCGAGTCTTGTCTGGATACTGGCGCCCCATTTAACGGGCTAATTCGCCAGCACAGCCTCAAGGACGATGGGAGCACCGATCCTCAAGTGGCAGGGCACATGATCTTCTCCCGCATGATCTTTCATCTCTGCCACTGCCTCCTCGCTCATCCCTTCACCCTTCGCATGCGCAGTGATGCCACTGCAGCCAAAACACCGACGACATGGTTTGCGCGGACGTTGAAGCTAGGCCTCGAACACGCCGGTCATCTGACAATGGTATTTGGAGCGGCAAAAGACGTCGGATTTCAAGCTTCAACTTCCTTTTACGGCTACTGTCTTCTAGTGGCGGGCAGCATTCATGCCCTGTACACCAACGCCGACAATGTCGAGCTTTCACAGAACTCGATGAACTTTCTCAATTCCACTCTCGCCTATCTGGATGATATCGGCAAATACTGGAACAACACGAGACTCATGGTTAGTATATCTTTTGGATCATCCCGCACTCGCGCTGAACCCTTTGAAACAGGCATCGGGTCTCCGGACTTTCTGGTCCATCAGTTCCAGATACGCAAGGTTACTCGCACCAGAACCCCTGTCTACACCACTCGATACTTCGGATCTACGAAATTTATGGTCCGTGTTGGACTATGGAGTCATGTCCGACCCAGAGAAGACCCTTTCGAGAGCTATCAATGATCCTTCAGCGCGCTCGCACTGGGAAACTTCCCCAGCGGGGGCAGCGTCTCAAGCCGATTCCACCGTGACCAGAGGCACTTCACGTGGACCCCAAGCATCCATCGACCACATCTCTCCGGCCAGAGATACGGTCTTGTCTTCGGATATGCACCTGCCACTGCCTCCGTTCTTCTCCTTCTTTAATGAGACGCAACATGGTGGAGATTTCATGGCTGAAGAGGATAACACTTTTATGACGCTGGGCAATGGTGCATTTACGGGACCCCAGCCGTCTTTGTCAACTATTCATTGATATATATATCACTTGGTCACCCGTCACAAGCAGCCTTGTGGCTGGGTGGTTCCGGCATAAATGGGAAAGACGCGGCGTCAACCCGGCCTCGCAGCAACGTGAAAATGTTATTCACAAAATCCATGGGACGCCCAATGTCGAAACGTCAATTCCTCACTTCTTTCCACCTATCCCTTCCTGGACCAAGCGCCGATGTATGCCGGCCTTGCCCTGAGTGTGGGCTCATGGACCCTTACGGGAGATTCATACTGTGTTCTTTAGTTAGTCACACAGTAGTTTTGACGACACCAAAAATCATCAGACATACTTAATAATGATGGTCTTCGGTTCGGTATAAGCTCGAAGCACCTATTCTCGTCAGCAGGCCAGCATTTGACTGATTGGGGAAGCACCTTACGTAGGAACCAAACTCTCTGCCAATGCCAGAAGCCTTCTTGCCGCCAAAGGGGACTTGTAAATTCATCTGACGCAGTGAGCCAAACCGTGGGCAGAACTCGAGTTTGTGGAAGAAGGGGACGAAACACATACCACACTGACGCAGTTGATGCCGACGACGCCCGAATCGATTTTGGCCGACACCCGAAGTGCCCGGTTAATATCTGTGGTGAAGACGCCTGCCATCAAGCCATACTCGGTGTCGTTGGCCAGGTTGACGACCTCGTCTTCGGTCTCAAATGTCTGGACCACGGCGACGGGGCCAAAGACTTCCTCGCGTAGGACCTGCGCGTCGGGTTTGGGGTCGACAAAGACGGTCGGCTCGATGAAACAACCCGTGTTTGACAGCGTGTTTCCACCCACGACCAGGCGTGCCTCATCCTTGCCCCGCTCAATCATCTTCTTGACGCGTGTAAAGGCAATGTCATCAACCAGTGGTCCGTATGAGACATCCGGGTCCTGAGGATCGCCAAAGTCCTTGACCGCGTCCTTCAGCCTCTGCACGTATTTCTGGGTGAACTCTTCGGCCACGGACTTTTGCACGTACACCCTCGACGCCGCGACGCACATTTGGCCCGTGCGGGTAAGGATACCGTTGCTGGTCCACGTGACAGCATTGTCGATGTTGGCGTCTCCAAAGACCACGGCGGGGCTTTTGCCTCCTGCAATCGTAACAAACAGGGTCAACCGTGTGATTTCGAAGAGAGAAAGGGGCAAGAACACTAGGCTTACCCAACTCCAAAGTCACTCTTTTCAGATTACTCTCAGCAGCCAAGATCTGGATCTTTTTCCCCGTGGGGACCGACCCCGTGAACGAGACCTTGCGGACACGCATGTGGGCGGCCAAGAGGGCGCCGGTGCTGCCAGGACCGGTGAGGACCTGGACGACGCCATCGGGGATGCCGGCGAGTTTGAACAGGGGCGCTATGGCGAGCGGGCCGAGGGGTGTCTTCTCGGACGGTTTTATGATGATGACGTTGCCGGTCGCGAGGGCTGGGCCGACCTTGAGGATCATGGTCGAGACGGGGCCGTTGAACGGGCAGATGCCCACGCAGACACTGTGGGCGAGTTGTTATCAGCCATTGTCTTTTTTTTTTTTTTTTCTCGTTTCAAGTGACGCCAGTCAAGGTCGCATGCGGCATACGTACCCCAGAGGTTCATGGCGGACCAGTTTAACGAAGCCGTCGTCGGCAGGGAAATAGTCGCCGTTCTGTTTATCGCACCAGCCGGCTATAGAGACAACATGATGAGAAACGAATCAAAATTTTCTTGGACAGCTCCCTTTCCTGACAGGTATCAAAGCCGCGCACCGCAGCCGCAAGGACATCATTGTTATATGAGGTAGGAAACGTACCAAAATACCGCAACGTGTTCACAATGTAATTCTTTTCACGCTTCGGGATCAACGAGATGGGCACGCCCGACGACAGCGAGTCCAGCCGCAGGATGTCCTCGAGATGCTCCTCCACCAGGTCGGCCAGCCGGTTGATGAGCTGGCTACGCTGCAGCGACGTGATGCGGCTCCATTCGCCGTTGAAGGCGGCCTCGGCGTGCTTGACGGCGCGGTCGACGTCGTCGCGCCCGGCGACGGGGATGTGCTCGGTCACGACGGACCCGTCGGTAGGGTTGAGGAGGGTGAGTGTCGCGGGCTCGCTCGACGGCACGTACTCGCCGTTGATGTAGTGGTGCCTCAGGTCCACGACCGCCGGGACTTTGTAACTGGTCGCCATGGCTTGTAATGATTAAAATTTCTTTATCGCGATCAGGTTTTGGGAAACGGGGGGGCTGGTGTGTTTGCTTCAGGGGTTTCTTGGTACTGCTATACCGTAGGTAGGGACTGGTATAGGTACAGCTATAGGTATAGGTATAGGTAAGAGGTGACTGGTTACAAAGGCCCCTAAGCAACGCGCCCGCATTCGCTTGAAGATGTGCGGACCGCAAGCCCTGAGAGACAATACACACAAAACCAAGCCAAATACTTCCCCCGCTTTCTTACCACCCATCCACCCCCTTGGCAAAAACTCCCAGATTCCCAGGTGCGGTAGGTACGGTACCTACGAGATGTCTCGAAAGAAAAAAACCCAACTCCCCTCCCCCCCGGTGCCCGCGCCTCAACGTCCGGAAAAAAGGCATGACTAGCCCGTCTCTGGGGTAAAGCTCGGGGGAACCAGGGACACCGGTGGCGATAAAAGTCCATCCACGAGGCTTGTGGAGACGATCGCGGGGCACAGCCTCGGAAGGTTCGGCTCCTTGCAGAATTACGAGTCGTAAGCGCGGGATCTGGGATGCGAGGGATCGCGGGGTCCCACCTCGGTTGACCCGAGGGTCTCCATCCATCTGGCCCATACCCTTGTAAGTAAAGAGTAAAGTATGTACGGAGCAGGAAGAGGGTTTGACGCTAGTGGGCACACTATTCGTACCTCGTAGTAGTATGTGTACCTACTCGTATACCGAGTAACTCGTCGACACACGAGCGAGGTATCTGTGTTTCCAAACCTGAGTGTGCATTACCCCCCCGGTGGTGACCACCAGCGAGCACGCAACGCTTCTAGATTCGAAAAGAAAACCCCGGAAGCCACGTATTCCCGCGTCCCGTGCATTACCACTTCCTCGGGTCATTATCCATGGTCTCAACGTCTCCAACGAGGTATTTTGCACAGTCTTTGGAGATGCATATGCCCGGAACGGCGTGTTCTGTTCCCGAGAACAAAATTTCCAGAGTCGAGAAAAAGTTATCAACGCGTGTGATCACCGCCAGACCATCTTCTACGAACGAGTAGGGACGACCTATCGTGCTCGATCACGTGACTGTGACGAGGGATTTGAGCTCGCTACAAACCATGTACCCCGGTATTGTTATTACCTGCGTGAGACCTCGTCATCTACTCTCGAATGAAGTGCCTCGTAGCGTCGTGGGAGCCGGGGCTCTTTGGGGATGACCTGAACCACTACGAGTAGTTTCTCACCTCCATCCATGGCATATACTCGGTAGTGACCAAGTAAATTACCGAAACTGGGGCTATTTACAATAATAAGTTGATTTGCCAGCCATTCGTCTGACGGTCATTACAATCATCTTGGCAATACTACCCGCCAAGGGGGTCACAGCCTTGTTTGCCGGCGCGACGAGGGAGACGTGTAGACAGGGTCATTCAGTCCTGAGAAAGACGGGTCGTAGTATGAGCAATGTCTTGAGAATTCCCCAGAAAGATATTCTACAGCAATCACCAAGAGATGATGATATGGACGACAAAAGGTCCAAGCAAGGCAACCAACCAACCAACCAATTTGCAAACTCGGTCACGGGGAGGGGGAAGGTCCCGTATCACCCGTGCAAGAGCCGATGCCGGTCTAGCCAGCCACCTCAGTCAAGGGGAACATTGCTCCGTGGTATGCCGAGACTCGCAGCTTCTATTGACAGTACCTAGGTAGCAATGTGACTTGGAAATTTTTCTGAGAGAAAAGTGATAATCCGGCGGGGTGCACCAATAGAAGAGAAGTAATCCAATTTCCCGCATAATAGTCAACAGGCAAGGACGGACAGCGAGCGACAGCGAGCGACAGCGAGAGATCTGGTATAGAGAGATAGAGAGAGTGTGTGTGTGAGTGTGTGTAAGGGAGGAAAACAAAGAGAGCAAAGTCACTCAAGTCACCCATCACCCATCCAATATGGCGTCAAAATCAGTCGGCAACCTTCTCACGCACATCTCGAGGCGGAAAACGGGCACCGTGGCGACTCTCACCATCTCCCGCCCGGACAAGCTCAACGCCCTGTCCTCGCACATCATGAGGGAGATCCCCAAGACCTTGTCCGAGGTGGTGCAGCAAAACAAGGACCTCCTCGCCATCGTGCTGACCGGACACGGCACCAAGGCGTTCGTCGGCGGCGCCGACATCAACGAGATGGCCACGCTGACCACGCCCGAGGTCGGCCGGGCCTTCATCACCACCATGCACCACGCCTGCAAGTCGCTGCGCGAGTGCCCCGTTCCCGTCATCGGGCGTCTCAACGGGTACACGCTGGGCGGCGGGCTCGAGCTGGCCGTGTCGTGCGACTTCCGCGTCGCGAGCCGGAACGCCGTCTTCGGCATGCCCGAGGTCAAAGTGGGCGTGCCCAGCGTCGTCGAGGCGGCGCTCATCACCAGCCTGATCGGCTGGGGGCGGACCCGGCGGCTGTTCTACCTGGGCGACAAGATCGGCGCCGACGAGGCCGAGCGCTGGGGCCTCGTCGAGAAGGTGGTCGAGGACCAGGAGAAGCTGGACGAGGCCGTCGAGCAGTGGCTGGTCGAGCTGGAGGAGTGCGGCCCGCGCTCCATCAAGATCCAGAAGGAGATGATGCGGCGGTGGGAGAACGTCACCATGGAAGAAGCCATCAGGAACTCGATCGACTTTTTCGGCCGCTCGTTCGAGACCGAGGAAGGCAGCGGCGGCGTCTCGGAACCGCAGAGGATGACTCGTGAAGTCCTGGCGAAGCTGGCCGCGAGGAAGTCAAAGTTGTAGATCAAAATGGGGGAGATTCGATGAAGGGCAGGAGGGCAGGGCAGGGCAGGGCCGCCCGTTGGTTGGTTTTTCGAGGGAATTCAACCTATAGCACATGGCTTTGTTCGTATGGAAAGTGAAGAACCGACCACTACATCTCTTGCTATTAGGCAAGGAAGATCCAAATATACCTACATCTACCCTATGTAGGTATGAATCTAGGCTGGGAAGACGCCCACGCTCTACTGTAGCATATACCATCTCTGGAGATGGGATGCAGTCCCCCGGTCTCATTCACTCGGGTTGTGTATACGAGATAGAAAGTACGACAAGGCGAAATCCCACTTTCGATTCAGAGGTGGTGGATAGCAATAGATACCCAGATCTCCAGCTCCAGCTCCAGCTCTCCATCCTCTCCAGTCTCCCCCCGACTCGCCAAGTTCCTTTCATTCATTTCGCTACGAGGTGTTTCAATCAATGTCTAGAGGTGAGTATCTAGAGTTGTCTAGGTCGGTCTAACCAAGGGCGGGGAAAGCCACCGGTTGCATTCCGCCGCCCTCGGGGTCTTTGGGATCCACCAGCATTTGTTTCCGAAACCCGTCGTTACCATGGGTAAAGAATGGCAAGTGAAATTGTCAGAAACGTGGGACTCGAACAAAAAAAACAGGCGGTGCGTTTTTGTCTCCCGATCACCCTCCACGCCCCTCCCAATACCTGGGCCATGTATTGCTGGCAGACCAGTAATACTCTGGTAGTTTTGTCTCCTTCTCTTCTCTCTCTCTCCCAGTTTCTCACCGCTGACAATCACCTGGGCGTGTATGGGCGCCGATGAGTTCTCTCTATGTCGGCTGACATCCATTTGCAACCTGTCGGCGTTTTGACTTGAGAGTGTTTCACTAGACGCAGACGCGATTCCCCGGGTTTGTGGTTGGGCGGGGTTTTTCTTCTATCAATCATCCTTGGCTCACTCATTTGGAGGTAGAGAAAGGGAGAAGGAAAGAAAGACTCGTCCGTACTTGGAAGACGGCCAAATCATTCTAAATCGTTTACAAAACTTGCCTCCTTGTCACTCGAAATGTCGGCGGTCAAGTTGACTCCAGTGCCCGTCGTGGACGGCGAGGCTACAACCGCCGCGGCACCTGTATCTGTACCTGCACCTCAAATCAAAGAGAAACAGGCCACGGTGCCGTTTCGGTATCAGTTCCTGGCAGGTGCTGTCGCTGGTGTTAGTGAGGTATGTTTGCTTTGGTTCTGCCTTTCACTTTTTTGGTCTGTCCTTCTAAAGCTCCATTTGCAGGTTCTTGTCATGTAAGCAAAAGAAATGACTTTCCCCCCTTCTGGGAGGTATGAGAAAGGTATTGACCAGAGGGACGATCCCCACGCAGGTATCCTCTGGATGTTATCAAAACGAGATTGTAAGTTCATCTTCTGGGAAGGAGAACAGGGGGGACAAAACCCTTTGGAGACCTTTGGCAGAAGGCACAAGGCTATCGTCAAGTCAGTCTGCTGACGATCCCCCTTTTTATTCCTTGGCTAGACAATTGCAGAATTCAACCTCTAGACAGTACACCGGGATGATTGACTGCGGGAGGAAGATCCTGTACCAGGAAGGGTGAGTCTCTCATCTAATGGATGGTGGCCAACTTGAATTCCCTGATCTCTGACACCCCCGAGTGACTTTTAGGATCCGGGTCTTTTACAGAGCCATTGGAGCTCCTATACTCATGGAAGCACCAAAAAGGTAAGAAGCACAACCATGTGGCTTTCGTTGCTACCTACCCCCCAAAGGGGGCCAGGCCACTCGATCCTCACGTTGTTTTCTTTATGGCTTAACGATATCTTTTTTGCAGAGCAACCAAGTTCGCCTCCAACGCCGCCTTCGGCAACTTCTACCAGAAACTCTTCGGGCAGGAGAAGATGACGCAGCCGCTGTCGATCGTGACGGGGGCCAGCGCGGGTGTCGCCGAGAGCTTTGTCATTTGCCCCTTCGAGGTGGTCAAGCTGCGGATGCAGAACCCGGCCAACGCGAGCCAGTACAAGAACGTGGTCGACTGCGTGGGCAAGCTGGCGCGGAACGAGGGACTGTCGGTGTTTTTCCAGGGGTTCGAGTGCACCATGTGGCGGTCCGTGGTGTGGAACGCCGCCTACTTTGGGTGCATCTTCCAGATCCGCGCGTTGCTGCCCAAGGCCGACACAAAGGCCGGGCAGATGACCAACGACCTGATCGCCGGCAGCCTGGGCGGTACGGCCGGCATCTTCGTCAACACCCCCTTCGACGTGGTCAAGTCGCGCATCCAGAGCGTCGCCACCTCCCCGCACCAGGTCCGCAAGTACAACTGGGCCTTTCCGGCATTAGCCACCGTCATCCGCGAGGAGGGCGTCAGCGCCCTGTACAAGGGACTCGTGCCCAAGTTGGCCCGCTTCTGTCCCGGCGGAGGGATCTTGTTGGTCACGTACACGACCGTGATTGACTTTTTGACGACCATGAACAACAAAGCGAGGTCTTGATAGCGAGCGGAGGGAGAATGGGTAGATAGAACATATTTATATCGGGTTTCACCAAATGTTGGCACTTTACAGATTATTCATTGATGCCATGCTTCATGGATATACATACCAAGTATCTCCCAGCCTCGTGCCCGTTAGTCAGCAACCCAGCAAGCCAGCCGGCCAGCCAGCCAGTCATCAGCCCCTTCGGCTTCAACCCCCGCTCAAAACCACACTTCTTGCAATGTGCGTGTCAACAGTGTCGTACACGGCATGGGACGGGTATCGTGCAATGAGTGACGGGTGACAGGCCGGAGGCATCCTGGGTCTAGAGACACCGACCAAGCATACCATGACAATCAGCAGGATTTCGCAGCGCATACTTTGTACTTTGTAAGATTCTCAACTACTTATGCTGTGCTGGGATGGTCTACGTTGGGAGTCGAGTCGGAGAATCGCTATTGCTTTTGCACACACATACAATTCAAGCCACCGTCCATCGCCAATCATGAGTTCGGTCCGGAAGTTGTATCCGCCATGACCACAGTGCTGTCTGCTCGCAGCTCACATGACAGAATTTACGTACAGACACATCGCCAGCTGTTTTATCCGCGTAGTCTGTCTACCCTGCTACTCCGACTTCTCCACCTCTGCCTCTGCCTCTTCGACATCCCGCTTCGCCACCCCCGAAGGAGACTTCTGATCGACGTGAATCACCGTCTCCTCGTCGACAAAGCCCCGCGGACCCCTCTTGGACAACTGCTTCGCGACCTTGACACAGTCGAAGATGTTGTTGGAGCGGGTGAAAATCTCGTCGATTTCTTCCAGAGAGCGCCCGTTCGTCTCGGGGAGGAGGTAGTAGACGATGGGGACCCACGAGAGGTTGAGGACCGCGTAGGGGATGAAGTAGCGCCAGTGGACATGGGTGAAGCCGATCGGGGTGACCTCGACGACGAGGAAATTGAAGAGCCACGACACGGCGGTCGAGACGCCGCAGATGGCCGCCCTCAGGTGCACGGGGGCGATCTCGCTGGCGTACAGGAAGGGGATGCCCAGGAACCCGATCGTGTAGGTGAAGTAGTAGAAGAAGAGGAAGAAGACGGCCGCGTTGATGGCGGCCTTCTCGGTCCGCGACGTCAGCCCGGCCAGGCACGACATGCACACGGTCATGCCGCAGGCACTGGTCAGCATGAGCGCGCGGCGCCCGAACCGGTCCACCGTGTAGGAGCAGACGATGCTGCCGAGGACGATGACGAACATGCTCGAGGCGGCCAGGATCTGGGCGACGGTCGCGCTGAAGCCGAGGTTCACCTCGTAGATCAGCGCGGCGTAGTACGAGACGATGTTGACCCCGGACATTTGGAGCATCATCTGCGTGAGCGCCGCGAGCACCAGGCGGTGAAAGATTCGCTCGGGCCCCATGGTGAACATGGCCGTGAGGGAAACCGACTTGGCGCGCTCGAACGAGGCCAGAATGCCCTGGATCTCGGCTTCAACCACCTCGTTGTGGTCGTCGGTGTCGTAGCGGAGATGCATGACCTCGCGGGCTTCGTCGATCCGGCCGACCTTGATCAGCCATCGCGGCGACTCTGGCAGGGTGAAGATGAACACCATGACCACGGCCGACAGGACGATCGAGGCCATAAAGGGGAACCGCCACGCGAAAGACGACGATCGCGCGTAGGACGCGCCGAAATCGACCCAGCATGCGAGCGCGAGGCCGAGGCCGCCAAAGATGCCAAACGCCGACACATGTTCCCCGCGGCTCTCTGCTTTTGCCAGTTCAGCCTGCCACACCGAGACGGTGGCGAGGATGCCCCCGGTGCCGAGTCCGACGACGATCCGCGACACGATGAACTGCGCAAACGAAAACGACGTGCCCATCAGGATCTCCCCCACGATCTGGACGCCACTCGCCAGGAAGATCGTTCGTCGACGCCCGATGACATCGCCGAAGACGGTGCAGGCCAAGGCGCCAAAAGTCCCCGTCAGGGTGTAGAGGGCCACAACGGTGCCTAAAGACTCATTTGATTTTGGTGTTTAGCATTAAAAACTAAATTTCCCCAGGTTTTCTTTTGGAGGGGAAATCTGTAACAAAGCAATCGAACGCACCCTGGATGGTGGAGTTGTGCTCCTGTTTGCCGCCTGTGGTATGCAGCGTATCCATCTGCGGGAACTGCCTATTGAACGAGTCGTTGCCCAGCACACCGCCAGCCACGGCCTGATTGTAGCCGAAGCTCATGAGCGCAAACATGGCCAGCGTCCAGACCGCAGTCCCAAGCCGCCGCCCACGAAGGCCCCAAAATCGAGCCATGGCTTTCTTGCCAGAAAAGGAAGATGATTGGTGCGCGCTTGCAAGAGGATGAGGTTACCAAGGAGACTTCTGTCCTGGCAGTGTCTGGGCGTGCTGGGTCAGCCGGGGGAAGGCGTGGTAGAGAAATGCTTAAACACCAGAAACAAGGCGCCAAGTACCGGCTCCTTGGGGCCTTTTAAATACGAAGTTTCAATTCCTCACTGCTCGGGGAATGAGTTATTGCCACGCGCTTGATTCTCCGCCAGAACCCCCGGATGGGGGAAACAACTCCCCGACGTTCACGATCTCTGAGCGCGTTGGAATTCCTGGGTGAAGATCACAAGACCTCAAAGGGTTTATGGGCCCCGGTGCCCGGCATCTCACTTGGAGGGTTGATCATGGCCCATTGACGGGGGCAAAGCGATAGCCGGAGAAGACTGAGTTGGTTCGGTGTTAAAAGGCCGATCTGGATAATATTATTAGGCGACCTGGAGACGAACCTACCTACCTAGTGATGACCTTGTCGCCAAGCGCACCCCCCATGTCCATGTACCTCGTATTACTTGTATCGTCACGATTCACCTGCCGGCCGGGGCCTCGGATGTTTGCCGGGTCGATCCCGGAGCCTGGCAGTGTAGTCAGCTGAAATCAGGCTAGCTGTTTTCGGCGTTGCGCTTGTTCCTGAATAGGAAATATGTGGGGTCCCGTATTTCTCTGTACAAGGGGGGTTTAGGTCAAGACACCTGCCCGTCAACCAGTATGGGATGGGATGTTCTCGGACGCTGCTGTCAACAGTTCTTGATTTGGCCATTTGTTCAAAAGTAAGAAAAAGTGCAAGTTGTGTTAGGCTTGAAAAAAACAAAAACACCGGGGACTCTCAAGTTTTGACGAAGAGGGCGGCTGCGGCTTAAGAAACCATGGGAATGGGACCACCGATGCCCGGTCTACGACAGGCTTTTACCCGCCACGCCTCAACGCGACTTCGTCGCCAGACAGCCAGACCATGCCTCAGCCTCAGTCGGTCGTCGTCACGTTACCTATCAAGTCAAAGTCAAGGTCAAGGGAAGGCAGGCCTGATCAATAACATCAAAGTACTTGACCTCTCGCGAGTCATTGCTGTAAGTTGGAATCCCTCTAGGCCAGGCCAGACCCTACCGATATCGAAACGTACGGCTCAAAGAAATTCCTCTAGGGTCCCTTTTGCGCGCAGATCCTGGCAGACTATGGCGCCACGGTCATCAAAGTCGAGCAGCCTCAGAAAGGAGTACGTTTCTCTCACTGTGTTTCTCTTCGACTCCGCCCGTTCCTCAGGGCGTGCGAGTGTCATCTCTACTTCACAAATCTAACCAACCTCCCCGTCTGTACAGGATGATCTCAGACACTACAAGCCCCCGGTAGAAAAGGACAACTGGGACCCCAAGTTGGGGCCAATGTCCAACTTCTTCGCGGCGTGTAACCGCAACAAACGCTCGATATGTCTCGACCTGAAAAGCCCCAAGGCGCACAAAATCCTGTTCGAACTGGCAAAGGACGCCGACGTCATGTATGAAATCCCGACGTTCACCATTCCTGTCCAATTACACCGCGAGTCTACCATGGGGTTGCTTTGACTAACAGTGATTTACAGAATCGAGAATTTCGTTCCCGGCAAGATTGACGAGCTTGGTCTGGGATATGACAAGTTGAAACAAGTCAATCCCCGGATCATCTATGCTAGTATCTCAGGTATGGCTATATCCTTGACCTCACCAACATTCTTCCCCAAGTCACTAAGCGGAGCTGTATAGGATACGGATCAAAAGGACCCTGGGCCAAACGAGCCGGCTACGACATGATTGTAGGCGCGGAGGCTGGACTCATGCACATTACAGGACCACGCGGCGGACCGCCCACCAAGCCCGGCGTCTCGATCATCGACTTGTGCACGGGGCTGTATCTGCACGGGGCCATCCTGGGAGCGTTGCTGGCGCGCCAGGAGACGGGTCTGGGCCAACGCGTGACGGTGTCGCTGTTCGAGTCGATGGTATCCCTCCTGATCAACGTGGGCATGGACTGGGTCAACTCGGGACAGGAGGCGCAGCGGTGGGGGACGGCGCACCCGAGCGTGGTGCCCTACGACGCGTGGAAGACCAAGGACTCGCACATCGTGACGGGCGCGTCGACGGAGCGCCAGTGGCGCCGGCTGTGCGACATTCTAGGTCGGCCGGATCTGGTCGACGACGAGCGGTTCAAGAACAACTCGGTCAGGGTCAAGAACAGGGAGGTCATCACGCCCATCCTGCGCGAGTGCTTCGAGAGCAGGACCACCGACGAGTGGCTCGAGCGGTTCGAGGGGAGCGGCATGCCGTACGGGGCCATCAACAACATGGAACGCGTCTTCAAGCACCCGCAGATCGAGGCTGGCGAGATGCTTCAGCCGGTCGAGTATGAAGGGTTGAAGTCGGGTGTGCTCAGACTACTCGGTCAGTTGTGTTTCCCTGGTCTCTTTCTTTACTGGGTCCTTTCCCCCTCTCGCTTCTATTCACTTCCTTCCTCCCTTTCTCTCTCCTTCCTTCTCCCCCTTTCCCTCCTCCTCCTTCTTTTCCCGACGGAGCTCTCATTCTAACCACACCTCCCCCACGAAACAGGCGCGCCCGTGAAATTCTCCGAGGCCGCCACACCCGTCAAACTCCGCCCACCGCTCCTAGGCGAACACACCTCGGAAGTCCTGAGGGAAATTGGACTTTCGGACGCGGCCATAGAAGATCTCCAGAAGACGGGTGTCACGCAATAAATAAATAAATATAGTGGCGACATCACCCCCTAGCCAGCAGGATCTACGATGCGGTAGGTTCAGCCGCATGAAGAATTCGATAGGGAAGCAGGGTTATATACAGGTACACTACACGACGGGCATATCTCGATGGATGGCTGAATGGGTGATAGTAACATGCAGCCATCATCACAAGCATTAGCAGCATTAGACGTGATCTCGGAACAGAGGGCCAGAGTACATATAGCCGAGTCTTTTGTTTTTAACTGCTCTTGGGCTAAAGCAAAGAATGGTTCATGCTATATATGGTATATGCGTATGGGAGAAGCAAAAGCTAAAAGAGCCAATAAAAACAACCGTCGCCACATGTCATGGTAACAGTTTTCTCTTTCTTTTTTTTGGTACATGATTCGAGCCCTGTTTCTCTTCACTCCCAATTCCAAGCCCCTTCCTCCCGTCAAACAACGATCCCAACGACACCAAAACTGATTGGCGCTAAAAAGTGCCAAAGTAGTCATTGATAGCAAGCAAAGAACTTTTCCAACAGAAACCCTTGTGTTGTTGTTGGCTCTTTCTACTGTGGCACGGAACCCTCGAGCGTGATGCGGTGCAGAGACCTCTTGTACCCGTGGTAATCGTTGATGGGGTTATGCTGGACGCAGCGGTTGTCCCAAAAGGCCAGCGATCCCACCTCCCACCGGAAGCGGCAGGTGAACTCGAGCCGGACCTGGTGCTGGAAGAGGTACTCGAGCAAGGGCTTGCTCTCCTCTTCGGTCCAGCCGTCAAACCGGAGCGTGTGGGCGACGTTAACGTAGAGGGCCTTGCGGCCGGTTTCCGGGTGCGTCTGGACGACCGGGTGCGAGGCCTCGAGGTCGGCGGGCTTGACGCCCGGGTTCGCCCCGTCTTCCTTGACCCGGTCCTCGCGCGTCTTGCTCACCTCGGCTTTGGCCGAGCTGCTGATGGCGCGGAGGCCATCGAGCTGTTTCTTCAGGCCGTCGCTCAGCGCCTCGTACGCGAGGTACTGGTTGGCGAAGCAGGTGTCGCCGCCGTGGGGAGGGAGCACGCGAGACACGAGCATGGTGCCCATAGGCGGGCTTTTGAGATAGGTCGTGTCAGCGTGCCACACGCCGCCAAAGTTTGTCTTTTCGTGCTCGCGCTTCAGCACCTCAGTAATCAGTGGGTAGCCAGGCAGGCCGCTGATCATGGGGTACTGCATGGGCTTGCCAAAGTAGCGGGCAAAAGCCAGGAAGGTGTCTGGCGTCAAATGTCCCTGGTCGCGGAAGAAGATGACCAAATTGTCAAGCAGGGCCTGGTGCACCGTGTCTCGGACCTTGGGATCTTCGAGGTCCTTTGCGAGGTCGACGCCTGAAATCTCTGCGCCACAGGCTCCCGCGATCTTCTTCACCTTGATTGTCGTGTCGTTGACTGTCGCCATGGTTCTTGACTGCGGACGAAGCCCGTGAGATGCTCGACGAAGCGAAGGCGTGAGGGTCAGGCAGCGAAGGAAACTCGACCCCGACGCCATGGGGATCGCGGCTGAGCTGACATGGCGACACAGCGTCGACATGGAGCTGTGTGTAAGGGTCGAATAGCAATTCATGATCGGGACGAGCTTCACAACTTCTGCGGTGCCTCAGCCCTGCAGCCTCGCGATACAGGATATGACGGTGGGGGTGGTTGTAAGATCTAATCTGATAAGGAATGAAATGTGTCTAAGGGTGTGGAACTAAAGAACGAGCCACACGGGTTGAGTAGAGTTGGGTTGGGTTGTGGTTGGTGGTTGATAGAACGGACCTTCACCAAAGGACCAGCTCAACGGACGTCCCTCTCTTTCTTTCCTTCGCTTGTATAAATCTTTGAAGCATTAATGAAATACTCCAAATACCCCAACAACCATAAAAAAAATCCCTCGCCATAAACATGAGACAAAACTCCGACCAAAAATGGCGGGATAGTCCGGACCGTCTGTATGACCTCGAGCCCCGAATCCGGGATCCACAAAAGACTGAAACTCCATGAGGCAAAGAATCCATGAGACTAGATCCCAGCTGTCACCGGGTCTCTGTCCGGAGGGGGAGAGGAAAATGCACAAACCTCAGGCGATCGAGTCAGGCAACGTCTGGTTACCTTGAATGCTCCATCACCCCATATTAATGCATTGTGGGCACAAAGCAGCACATTCTTGTTCGTTCCAAGTTCCAAAGTATGCTTTTGAACCTTGGAGCGAGGCTCGATTGATAATTCCTGGGGATGGAGGGAACCTCGGCTTCGCTCTGTGTGTCATTGGCCATGTGTATCCCTCGGCATCGTCTGATAACGTTTGGTCGTTATAAGGCAAAGGCTGTGAGACGCTGAATTGCGAGTCCGAGATCTGTCAGGTTCGAGATACGCTTACTGTCTGTTCTTTTTAAACTTTTTCGCTTCCAGGGCCACTGGGTAAAGAAGCTGGTGCTTTTTATCCCCTCCTGTTCTTCTTCCTCCAGCCCTTCCCCATACTCCCGCACTCCCATATTTCCCCCATCCCCCACCCCCGTATCCCAGATTTTTTGGTGTCCAGTTTGCAAAGATGATCGCCAAAGACGTCGACGTCGACGTCGAGGTCATCGAGGCCAAGTACGCAGAGGAAAGACAAAAGCGTCTGCGTCCTGACGGCACGGCCCAATATGTCGACGTGCTCGAGTCTGATAAGTTCAAGAACTTTGGTGTCGATCCCTGGGCCTGGGAGGGCCACGCGGCACCCACGCATCCCTTGGAAGACGGGGATCATTTTAAAGTCGTCATCCTGGGTACCGGGTTCGCCGGCATCCTTTATGGCATCCACTTCCTCCGCGCGGGCTTCAAGCTGAGCGACCTGTTGTTTGTCGACCGCGCCGGTGGCTTCGGCGGCACTTGGTACTGGAACCGATACCCAGGCATCATGTGCGATGTCGAGAGTTATATCTATCTCCCTCTGCTCGAGGAGACCGGTTATATGCCAAAACACAAGTACTCGTATGGGTACGAGATCCGAAATTACGCCAACCAGCTAGCCTCAAAGTACAACCTGGGCGAGAGCGCCTCGTTCAACACCGAGATGGACTCGGCCAGCTGGGACGAGCATGAAAAGAGCTGGAGCTTTGAGCTCCGTCAGAAAACCCCCGACGGCAACGCGCGCAGAGTCCATGTTCGTTCCGATTTCTTTGTGTTGGCCCCGGGCCTTTTCACCCATCCTAAACTGCCAGGTATCCCCGGCATTGAGGATTTCAAGGGTCATTGCTTCCACACCTCTCGATGGGACTATGCCTACACGGGCGGCTCCCCGACCGACTGGACTCTCGATAAGTTGCAAGATAAGCGAGTGGCCATCATTGGGACCGGCGCAACGGCCATCCAGGCCATCCCCCAGCTTTCCAACTGGGCTAAGCAGCTTTACGTCGTTCAGCGAACCCCGGCTGGCGTCGATGTTCGCGGCCAACAACCCACCGACCCGGAGGTCTGGAAACGAGAGATCGGAAATAAGCCCGGGTGGCAAGAGGAGAGAATCAGAAACTTCCTCGAGTGCATGAGCGACCCGTATGAACCTCCGAGCGTCGACATGGTGGACGACGCCTGGTCCCACTTCATCTCTGGCGCCGTTTTGACCGGCGGCCCTCGCGCAAAGGGGCTGACCATGGAAAACCTCCCAGAATTTCTCAAGAGGTATCGCTCCATGGACTTGGAGCGCCAGGAAAAGGTTCGGGAGCGAGTGGACAAGGTAGTCCAGGACCCCGAGATCGCAAAGAGCCTCAAGGCCTGGTACGCCAGCTGGTGCAAGCGGCCTTGCTTCCACGATGACTATCTCCCCACCTTCAACAAACCCAACGTCCGGCTACTCGACACCCAGGGGGCAGGCTTGACCAAGATCACCAACGACGGCATCATCGTCAACGGTGAAAAGATCGAGGTCGACGTCATCATCTTCAGCACAGGATTCGAGGTCGAGGGTGCCAACTCTCCCGCGGCGCAGGCAGGCATCCCTGTCACGGGACGTAATGGACTCTCCTTGAACGAGAAATGGGACCGTGGCGTGGGCACCCTGCACGGCATAACCACTCGGGAATTCCCCAACTTCTTCTTCACCGGGACCAGCCAGACTCTGACGTCGCCCAACTTCATGGTCGCCCTAGACTACCTGGCCAAACACTCCGTCTACATCATCTCCACCGTGGTCAAGAAGGCCGAGCAAGAAGGCAAGTCCAAGGCTGTGGTGGAACCCGCTCTAGACGCAGAAGAGGCCTGGGCCGCTGCGATTGCCAAAGGTGCCATCTCTGGTGCCGCAATGGCTGGTTGTACTCCCAGTTACTACAACCGGGAATGCGAATTGGAGAGCATCACGGCCCCCGAGGAGTTGGCCAAGATGATGAGGAAAGGCATCTGGTCTGGTGGACCTTTGGATTTCATAGATTTCGCCAATGCCTGGGAGAAGGACGGTAAACTGGAAGGACTTGAGGTCTCTACCTTTTAGAATAGACCGCCGAGGAGCTTGTGTCGATGCCCAGGAAGGGAGTTCTGATGAATTCATGCTCTTTGTCGCCTTTGCACAGAATTAGAGAGACTTGCTTTATGAACCTCAAAGTTGAGGGTGGAGCTTTTCCCCCATAGCTGCGTATCGATCACTCCCTCGTGGATCGTCTCTCCTGTACAATGTCGATGAATCCGTCGGAAGCGGAATTCTGCTTGCCGCGGCATATCTAAACATCGTCATATTGTATCGTAAAACATGCTCTGCCAGTGAAATGCCGTTAAGATGTGCATAATGTGCCTCGGGTAAGGGCAGACCGTGAAGCCGCGCGACGACAGTGAACTCTATAGCGAGTATAAAGTCGTGTTGGCCCCCCAGCTGTACCTTTCCCTCTTGGCCACCTGCTGCACAACATCCCACACGCTTGCTCTCCCCAAGTGCTGATTATCGTTTTCACATAGACAGACTCGATCATCGTCCCAGTCCGCCAAAATGCCGTCCAAGGAATCCGAGGCGCTTGCCGAATTCTACAAGTCGTTGACGTCGACAATGGCGGCGAACCCGACCCTCCCCTTGGATATACTTCGGATCATCACAGAAGACTGTCATCAGCTCGCATCCGAGCCCACGGACGTCACCTATGAGGAAGCACAGTGTGCCGGAACCGTGCGTCCTGCGATCTGGTGTCGACCCCTTGGTGCCTCGACAAAACATGTGACGCTGTTTTTCCACGGTGGTGGCTTTTTCAGTGGTTCGCCAAATGCGTACCGGAAGCTCGGGGGCCACATTGCAAAGGCCTTTGGCACACAGGTCCTCGTGACGGACTATCGAAGGGCTCCCGAGGCGACGTTTCCCAGCCAGATCGAGGACAGCGTGGCCACTTACGACTGGCTCCTGCAACAAGGCTTTGCTCCCGAGCAGATCATCATTTCAGGAGACTCTGCTGGGGGTAATCTCGCACTGACCACCACACTCAAGATCCTGGAACTGCAGAGGCCACGACCAGGCGGTGTAGTGGCTTTCTCGCCTTGGGTGGATATTGAATGCAAGGGCAAGACCATGGACACCAACAAAGAGAAGGACTTTCTTGCCAATCGCGAATCGCTGGGCCAAGGCAGTCTGTTGTGGCTGGCAGGCCAATCTCCTCAAAACCCTTTGGCCAACCCGTTTTATGCCGACTTGTCCGGTTATCCGCCCTTGTACCTCGTTGCCGGCGGACATGAGACGCTGTTGAGCGATACCGAAGATTTGGCAGAAAAGGCCAAAAAGGCTGGTGTGGACGTGGAGAAAGAGGTCGCGGAGGGCATGCAACATGTTCATATATTCATGGCTGGCAGAGCTCCTGAAGCGGATGACACTCTTCAAAAGGCCAGCAAATGGGTTCAATCCAAGCTGAAGCTGTGAGTGTCAAGGATTGAAGCCACCAGATGATCATGGGATTTCGATGTCTAAAGGGTGCTTGATTTCTGGGTAAGAGCTTTTGTCCAGAGCAACAGCCGCGCCCATGATATCAATCTTGTTTGAGATCCCTACCCCAGAAGCTGGAATCATTGGCCTGATAAAGGTGTCAAGCCACGGTCAGTGGACAAGTGACAGTCGACGAGACGCTATAGCATCCGTTCAAGGGACATCTTGCTGTTGCAGTAGTCATGGTGGTTGTGACAGAGATCTCCAGGCATTATTCCAATACCAGTATTTACCCAGTATTGTCATTACACCTGCGCGTAATTTGTTCTTCGCTTTTTGAAATTCTGCGCCTTTCCATTCATCCCCTTTTTCTTTATTCCGTAATATCGCTGGTGCATGTTAAGGTTATAATAGTACCACCTCGTCCTCGCCGTCCCTCGTGCTGCAAACCCTGGTTCAGGTTTTCGTCCCCTCGACGTATTGGTCGAGACCCGGCTCGGCTGCACGGCTCGGGTCAATGAATATGTAAGGAGAACAGGTTGAGGCTCGTTGCCCAGGTAGGTACTTTCCAGGTCGTAGTGCTTAACGAAGAAAGGGAGGATGAGGAAGGCGAAAGGGGTTCGTGGAGGCTTTTGAGGTGTGAGGAGGTAAATGACGATGTTCTGCTGTAGCTGGGAGGATGACTTTGCGACAATGTCTCAACTCGATCGAGTCCGTTGATGTAATGCCAACCTTTGAGCCTGCGGACGCGGAATGTCGCTTGGTAAATAGATATAGGCGCGTGGCCGTGACTAAGAAATAGTCGAGGCTCTTCACATTGATATCCAAGTCTTGGCGCTCTCAGATATACCAGACTTCAGCCTCGCGCCATACTTTCCCTCCTCTGAGTGTTGTGATAATTGAGACTCGCACAATCCAGCCCTGACACATACACAAATAAAGAAGGCCTTGTTCAAAAACAAAAACACTCTCGCACTCAAGTTGAACCCCTGACCAAAATGCCAAAAACTCATCACAGAACAGCTCAACCTGCTGGTCTGTGATAAGGAAAACTCGCCCTTTTGCAGGGTTGGTTTTTCTCGCCCGGTTTTACTACGAATTTTATACTACAATGGTTGATGTCGTCGGATCGATCGAGGGAGGGAGGAGGATTCGAGTCGGGGTCCTGATGCCTGCTAACCCGGAGTTAGGTTTGACCTGACAGGACCCAGATTGTGGTGGAATCGGGACTCGAACTCGGTACTCGCCCTTGTTGTGCTAAGGGGGTCTTTGCGTGCCAGAATTTGGAAAGAGAAAACATATATACTAGTGATTTTAATTTTGTACTGGTACCTCTGTGATTGACTCCACTTGGCGCTCTGCTTCACTCAGGGAGTCTCAGTACGACTCTCCCTTCAATCTCAAATCTCTCAAGCTTCCCCATGATGTTGTTGATCTGGTCGAACTCAAGAACAGAGATCTCGGGCTTAACATCTCCCCTGACAGCCATCTCAAGCAGCTCATCCATCTCCTGCGCAGTCCCGACTGAAGATCCTACTATATTGAGACCTGCGAGGAGTGTCAGACACCTGTGTCGAATCCAATGACTTTCGGCCACAGGGAATGGGCAGGCAAGGACTTACTTCTGACACACATCATGAACGGCGAGATCGGAAGTCCTAACCCAGACTTGGGCAAACCGATGCACACCAGGGTTCCAAGATTTCGAAGTAGCTTCAGTGCTTGATCATACGCAGCGTCGCTTCCGACCGGCACGATGGCGGCATGAGCCCCGTATCCGTTGGTTAGGCGTTTCACCTCCTCTTCAATCTGTCAATTCGGATGAGTAACTGTCTTCAATGCTCACGGAGAAAGGGCACAGACGGAATCTGTCCTGAAGTCGAGGAAAACAGTTGCTCCGAGCTTCGTGCACAGTTCCCTCTTGGACTCCCCAGCGTCGATGGCAATCACTTTGTATCCGCGTTTGGCGGCTATCTGGACACCGCTGCAGGATGTTACTTGTGGTGGCCACATCATGCTATGGGACAAGGGAGGACTTACATATGCCCTAGTCCTCCTCCTGCACCCGGAATGAGAACCCAGTCTCCCGGACGCAGCCTTGCTTTTGCCACCGCCGAATACATGGTCAAGCCGGCTATTTCATCACAACTCAGACAAGAATATTGGAGTCAGCTGTTGAGACATACCGCAAAGCAAAGGAGCAGCAATCTCAGACTTCAGTCCCGACGGTATCCTGGTGGCATGCTTGACAGGGGTAACGATGTACTCTTTCCAGAAGTCAGTCGGGAAATCCCCCAGAAGAAGTATTGGGCGAAGCTTACGTTGAAAGGTGCCTCTTGTGTTCTAGAGACAAACTCAAATCAGCTCCATCCGAACAGTCAGGTGGGATGTAGTTTCCATGAAAGGACTCACTCGTCCCGCGTTGATCTGGTTGGGACAGGCGGTGGGATTGATGGCACATATCTCGCACGTATCGCATGTGCTGTACAGCCATCTGTGCACGGAGTAATTGCTCCAGTATCAGCCATAGTCCAACACACCTCCACGTGTAAAAGGGGTGGAAGGTGACTGACTTGATCCCGAGCCTGGCATTCATCAGCTCCCCGGGGACATTGGGTCCAACTGCAACTTGTCAACCTCGATAATCAAAACACACAGCAAGGCACTTACGAGCCACCACATGCCCTACACCTTCGTGGCCCGCGATGTCGGTACTCATGGGCGTTTCACCATAGATGCTGTGTACATCTGAATGGCTTTGCAAAAGAAAAGCATCAGTCTTCTGCAAGACTGCGGTTCGCAGTAGCAACACAGTGAAATTGCTCACCAGAAGCCGGTATATTCCAGTTTCACGAGCACCTCGCCTTCTTTAGGGGATGGCACCTCAATATCATTCCTGAGTTGAAGCCGCGCGCCAGGCTGGGGCTTCTCGAGCCATGCGGCGATCTGCGTCGTTGGTATTGTCGGTGCCATACTCAGTCCCGCAATTCCTCCTCTTTCTCTGTTTCTCTCGTCTCTGTGTACAGATGCAACGACGCAGAGGGATAGATTCCAGAAATGCGCATCGAATGATAGCAATCAACCCTCTCTGTGAGCAACTACCTTGTCATGAGCGGGCGTCGACAAGGTCCATCATGGCTGCTTACTGTGCTCGGAGCTTACTCGCTGTCCCTCAGCCTTGTTCGTTTTGTTGGTGGCCCTTTGTGGGGTTTGTGGGGAAGCAAAATGGGTGGCAGCAATTGAACGATGTCCGATTGTTACCCGTAACCACTGTCGTTGTGCCCTGTCCGAATTGAATCTCCAGGTTCGCGTGGTGTCTAGACGTTGACGGGGAATTCAGCTGCTTGTTTGGATCTGCAGCCATGCATGGGTGTTTGAAGACACGATATTTCTGCAGTGGGAAGTGAGGGGACAGGCACAGTGGAGGGCAGCGGAGAAGAGAGTCGATTGGAGCAAGAACGGTTGTCATTTGAAATCTCGCCATGGATTCTGTGATTTCTGGGCTTGTAAGTCGAGTCTGACATCGTCATTTGAACTCTGCCCTGCTGTACCTTCCCCTGAAGGAGCCGCATCCCACTGTGCCCCCCATTTCCCTTAGCTCGCTCGTCCTTGCAGGTCACAGTCTTACAGCATCCAGAAGGTGCACACCAAGGGGAATTCCTATCTATTCGTCTATTTGTGCTACAACAAACAGACACCAACGAACAGCTAATGACAATCATGATTATTATCGTCGGGGGAAAGCGAAGTTTGCCAAATCAGCCAGGTGCAATGCCATTGCGACTGCGCCGTCTGGTATCCACGATAAATTTAACGTGGAAAGGGATTGTTCAGATATTTGGGACGTAGTGGCAGAGCATAGATGATCGTGACACACATGTCGGTGAGAGACGACGTTAGGATGCTGCACGCAGAGAAAAGGGAATTCAATCTGTCAGACAAGTACTAAATGGAGGTTTTTGGGTTGCATTTGGAGTGGTCGGACGTGTCAGACAGCAACATTTACCCCTCGTCTGCTCCGGGTATAAATCGGAGTCATAGACTTGGCATCAATGAAGCTTGTCACAATTGAAGTCCAGAGACCGGATGATGGCGGTCATTCAATCAACACACGGGAATGGTTTCTTGCGAATATTCTTTGGACTGAGTGAAAGGGTACAGGGCTGCGTACTACACCTGTGGCCCACCGAAAGGCAGATGTAAGCAATCGGATCGGGCGCAGCCTCGTTATCAATCCCCACAAACATACAAAAGAGAGCTTCTTCCCCGATATACCCCTTCTGTTCACCCATCCTGCACCCCAGATATGGTTTTGCCTCTGGTGACAGTCCTGAGACACACGTGACGAGTCATACCACGGTGCCTCGACGAAGGAATACCACGATAGGCGGACGCGATGTCGGATGCCCAAGTCCGGAAGGGCTCCCAAAGCGAACTACAGGATCAGGACCAAACGACACCACCGCCGTCGTACAAACGCCGGCGCATAGCGCTAGCTTGCACATCCTGCAGGAATCGCAAGTCACGTTGCAATGGAGCTAGGCCCTCTTGCAGCCTCTGCGTTGAGCTCGGGTTCGAGTGTATCTACCAACAGCCCGCCGCAGGTAATGTCAGGCCTCCTCAGTTACAGCCAGGCTATGACGAGAGACTGCGGGCTATCGAGGACACGCTCAGGCTGCTCGTCAACCGAAATCATTCTTCGTCGGACGCTTCTGAGCAACTAAACCCTCCAAGCCATCAGCAACACCGGCCGAGTCAAGAAACCAGCACTACAACTCAAGAGCCGCGACAGGTGCCAAATGACGATGAAGACGTTGCTATCCTCGACGAAGATGACTCCATCCAACAGAATGCCGAGGACTCTGTGGATGGCATGGCCGCCATCACCGATCCGGAAGAGACGGAATCAAGGTTCTTTGGACCCTCGTCGAACATAGCACTGCTCCGCCATATATCGGACGCAACTTCAGCTACATTGAAGGCAATGGGGCAGTCTCGACACTCGGAGAGTGGACTTAATCAGCCCATCGTCTCCCGGGTGGCCTCGCCAGTTACTACGACTCTCTCAGAGACCAGCCCTATCGCTAAACACCACATAAACATTCGGTCGCTCCCTCCAGAAGCACGCGCACTGCACCTTATCAGGCTCTTCTTCTCCGATACCGGGATGCTTTTTCCCTACATTCACGAGCAGGACATTCTTCGTACATACTCTGCTGCTCGGCGCAACCGCTTTAGCGCGGTGAGCCGTTCGTGGTTATGCCTTGTCAACGCCATATTTGCATTCGCAACATATATCAGCGCTAAACCCGACCAGTCGGCTGAAAAGAATGCCGCCGAGTCGGAGATCTTTATAGAAAGGGCACAGGCTTTATCGGGTGAGATTGAGATGAAGTCCGCCAGTTTAGAGACCGGTAAGTGTTTGTTGAGACGAATTTTCTGCGGTTGTCGATGCAAATTGCTCGCGCTGGATATAATCACTAATTGGCAGCAGTCCAATGCTTGCTCTTGATGGCACAGTATCGTCAAGGCACTCAGCGATCTGATCAGGCCTGGAATTTGCATGGTCTCGCAGTCCGTGCAGCGATCCAATTGGGGTTGCACTCGCAGACCGCTTCCTCGGGATTGAACTTGGTTGAAGCCGAGATACGCAAGCGGACGTGGTTTGGCTGTATGATCTTGGACAGGTAAGCGTACTGACAATTGATAAGAAACAACATCTCACAGGCCCTAGGACGCTAAGCATGACTTTTGGCCGCCCTTGCATGATGCCTAACTCTATAGTAAAAGTAGACCTCCCGTTGAACCAGAATCTGGAGCGGCTGTCGATGCTGGGACATTCTGCGACTTCGATGAGCAGCTTGGATCCGCCAGACACAGTTTGCCTTTTCACGGCAACAATGTGAGGTTCTCTTTGGGCCATACCATGCTGTAGTGATTGACGATTTGCAGACAACTATACTATATTTTGGGAGACATAATATCCGAGCTCTATGGGGGTAACGTGGACATCGACCCGGGGCTTACCGTTCCAACAATGCTGGAAAGAACGGTCGTTCTCGAACAGAAAATGGCAGCTTGGAAGCATAACCTGTTCCCTCAGCTGCAACGGCGGCCGTGGGATACACTCGATCCCGACACCGTCTCCCTCTCCGCTTGGGATCCGGTCTTTGACAGACTGAGCGTCATCATCACGCTCAGATATCTCAACACGCGGATCCTCCTGCACAGACCTATCTTGAGTGCCTTTTTACGTCAAAGGGCACGAGTGAAGGTATCTGGGGAACCAGTCGAGCAGGAAGATCCCTTTTTCAACGATCTCGGAGAACGAAGCGTCAAGATCTGTCAGCAAGCGGCCTTGGAGATCGTCGAGATTGTCCACAAGACGAGTAAGCCGCCCGCCTTGTTGGGGGCGTGGTGGTTCACTGCCTACTACAGTATGCGCCCTTATCTGGTCACTGGGTGCCTAGTGCTAACCATATCTACGCAGCATTCAACGCGGCTCTGGTAATATTCAGTTGCATTTTGCTAGAAATCGCTCCGTCGAGGTTGCACTCTGTGAACAGCCCGTCCATAGCCACCAGCGACTCGTTGGACTCGGCCAAGATCGTCGAGATGATCACGCGGCTCCGACGGGCCATGGAGACGCTGAAGCGGTTCGGCGAAGGCACCAAAACGGCAAAGAGAATCAGGAAGACATTGTTGAAGCTCGTGCAGATATGCATGACACTGGTGCAGTTCAATGCCGAGCATGGTCCAACCATCTTGTCAGCCTTGTCCTCTGGACAGCAAAGCGAGGCCGCCCAGCTCAGTAGCCAGAACAGCGTCTCGTTGCAGCCTCAGGGGGCGATTGATGGGGGCATTGCAACGAACGGCCTGCTGCCGACTCTGGGTCAAGACGACCCTTTTGCGGCGTTTGACATGACCATGCACCAGTATTGGACGGACAACAGTCTCGATCTGTTCGCGGACCTGGTCGGTGTTGAGCCGGGGTTGACTGCTATGATGGCTGGCTAAGAGAGAGGGCATTCTCAGCCTAGAAACTGGGAGCAGAGGAGGTTGCACTAGACTGAACAATTTCCCATGTCTCTGTCGAGCAAAATCTCCAAGTACATTGACTGCTCAGAGTATACAAAATTGTACATACAGCGAGCCTCGCACTCGCACTTGTGACCGATTGACCCCGTCTCATTATCGTCCCTTTTGCTGGTCACAACTCACCAAGTCAGCTTGGGATTTTTGCCTTGGGCACGCCATTCCGTTCTTTCCCCGTCCCTCCCTCTTCCCTCCACTTTGTCTCCATCCCAAACTTGAACCCCACATGTCCGTCTCGCTGGGTAATATCATAACGACCATTAACCTCGACTTATGTACCATTCATCCATCCATCTATATATCCGTGCCCGTGACAAAAAAAGCAAAAACAACAACTTCGACGCCCAAGGAATCCGCCCCCACGATGAAAGTGCCCTGGACGAGACTGATCCGGTTCGTCGCGACCGACGGCCGAGTCCTGCGCGGCGAACCGATCCTGCCCAGCGAGGACTTCGACCTGGGCAACGTCACCGAGGCGGACCAGTTGAAGGCCAAGGTCATCGCGGGCGACGACATCTTCGACACGACCGGCAAGACCAAGGTGACGGACGAGGTGGTCACGGTGAAGAAACTCCTCGGGCCGCTGGCGCGCGAGGAGGTGCCGATCCTGAGATGTGTCGGGCTGAATTATGCAAAGCACAGTACGTTTATCATGATAAGTCTCTTCCCAATCACCGTGGGCTGTCGATTATGCCACTCGGGCGACAACAGTGGAGGCGGTCTAATGCCACGGAAACGAGGCGGTTGGAAGTGATTGTTGACTGTGAGCGCCATGTATATAGTCAAGGAAGCTGGACGCCAACCTCCGCCGTTTCCCTTTATTTTCTTCAAGCCGAACACGACAGTCCAGGATCACGATGCTCCGGTGGTAATACCCAAGCTCGCCCAGGATGACCAGGCAGACTACGAGGGAGAGCTGGTAAGATTCAATCCCCTCGTTTAACACTTGGTTTTGTCTGAGAGATCATCGCTTAACCATGCATGCATATCCAGTGTATCGTCATCGGCCGCGACGCAAAGGACGTCCCCCGCGACCAAGCCCTGGACTACGTGGGCGGGTACACGGCCGGCAACGACGTGTCGTCGCGGAAACTCCAACGAGACCCGGAGCTGGCGGGCAGGGTGCCCCAATGGGGATTCTCCAAGGGGTTCGACACCTTTGCGCCGCTGGGACCGTGTCTCGTGGCGCCCGACCTCATCGGGAACCCGGCGGGCCTGCACCTGAAGACCATCGTCGACGGCGAAACGCGGCAGAGCGAGGGCGTGTCGGATCTGCTCTTTGATTGTCCGTACATCATCTCGTATCTGAGTCAGGGGACGACCCTGCAGAAGGGGAGTGTCATTATGACGGGGACTCCAGGAGGTGAGTCGATTAGATCTTGTGTCGCACTGGCCCCGTCTTATCGGTTCCCCTTTCTTACCTATAAGCCAAACATACCTTTCTCTTTTTTGAGACGTCACAAATACTGACCTAGATCTAACGTGGTCGTACAGGAGTCGGCTCCGGCTTGAAACCGCCAAAATACCTCGTCCCGGGAACGAAGATGGAAGTGCAAATCTCCAAGATCGGGACGCTGCGAAACACGGTCGAGTTCGCCTGAGTGTGTATCCATCCCACTGCTGCCCACGTCGCCGGTGTGTTCTTGCATTCAGCAAAGGTAGACTTTTGAAATTGGGACAAAGGGGAGGGGACAAGCAAAGCGATTAGAACAATCATGCATAGAATTTCAGAGGTCTGCCAGACAGTATTTGCCTGTTGGGCCAGCCAAGCCAGCATTGGAGAATCCCGACGTTATGGATAAGCGTCTCCTTACTTTGTATTCGCTTCATCCATCACCTTCATGGTCTTCCCGCCCTCCAGGCGGACTCGTAGCGCGTTCTTCGTCTCCTTCGCTGCTGACTCCCACATCGCCCATCGTGGTCTCATCTAGACCCAGCACTATCTAAGTAATGGCTAGGATGAAACATCTCGCCTTGAAATTGTAGGTTAGACGATATATGAGTTTGATGCATGGGAGCTCATAATTTGGTTGGGCCCAAATATGAAGTCAAGTCAAGGTTGTAGGGTGCGGTCCCATCCCATCTTCCCCCTCGACTTTTCACTTTCACCTACCAATTTCGTGATCTGGTACGGTACAGCCTCGAAACCCCCAGCATTTATACCGATCTCTCACTGGATTCGACCAAATGGATCGTCCTGACCTACCTCGGCGACACACGAACCCATCGTGACGTTCAGAACCAGAACGTCAAAGGATCACCAAGTGGCATCCTTAAGACACCTTCGACCTATGATGTCAAGAACATGCTAAAGAGCACAAAAGGAGGACTGCGAGCAAAAGGAAAAACATGGGGAAACCAGACCAAGCCCGGCCTTCCAATCAGTCTTTCTCCTGCTACTAGTTCTCTACTCCATCCGCCATGAATTTGACGTCACACGACAGATGCTTGCGGTGCTTGGTGCGAAGATCGCCGTTGGGCAAAAACGTACAAAGAGGGAAAATGCTCACGCGACACCCTCGCAGCGAAACACCCGCAGTCAGAAATTTCTAGCATTGAGCAAGATGTTTTGATCGTGCATACGTTGATTAAGCAAGCTCTGGACATAATTGTCGTCTTCTATTCAATGCTGCTCATCCACTGCTCTGACGTGTCTGGTTTATGACATTCTTTTCCAAACAAGTCCCAATGAGACCATCCAATGTGGTCCTTAGTGCAATACCGACGCATTGGCCAGCAGGTCGAGCACGAATGGCAGAATAATGGAGGAAAGCAGGGCCACACCAATAAGCAGAGTGCTTTTCAAGATCTCGAGGCTGTATCTGCACAAAGAGCTCTGAAGAGACTCAATGGTGTCAACGAAGAGCAATCCTCTGAAGCACGCACAGAACCAGACAACGGCAACACCAGGGCAAATGGCAAGATCGAGGTCGACACCACAGACGACAGTGATCCCCTCGACCCCCACAACTGGCCGCTCCTCGCCAGGTGCAAGAACATCGCCATCCTGAGCCTCCTCATATTCTCCCAAGGGTGGGCCAGCGCCGCAGACTCGATGGCAAACTCGCGAATGAGCCAAGACTACGGCGTGAGCAAGGTCGCAGCCAACCTCTCCCAGGCGCTGTACCTCTTGGGGATCGGATCTGGGTGCCTCTTCTGCGGCCCGCTGTCCGAGACCGTGGGCAGGAACCCGACGTACCTCGCCGCGACTTTTTGTTATCTGTGTTTTGTTCTCGGGACGGCGTTGACGTCAAATCTTGGGGGAAGGATCGTTTGTCGATATTTTGTCGGTCTCTTTGCCAGTGCCACTTTGGGAATCAACGGCGCCAGCGTCAGTGATCAGTTTCGCCCCGTCAAGAGGACATTTGCCTTCCCCGTCATCGCGTGGGCAAATGTTGCCAGTAAGAAGCCTTTACTTGCTCTTTTAGCTCGACTGCTAACTCGGATGCACCAGCTCCCATGCTCGCGCCCGTCGCGGGAGGATGGCTGGTCCAAGACCGCAACCTCAGTTGGCACTGGACCGACTGGGTGACACTGATCATTTCCAGCTTCGCCTTTGTCGTTGCATTCCTCTTCCTGCCCGAGACATACCTCCCGGTCCTGCTGGACTGGAAAGCGCGACATCTCCGCCGTGTGTCCGGCTCACCCATGTACGTGTCCAGACACGCCGAGAGAGCATCCCTGCTCAAGCGGCTACGCGAGACCCTGCCCATGACGGTGGTCTATTTCTCGAGCGAGCCCGTCGTGGCGGTGCTAGGCGGATACCTGATCCTCGTGTACATCCTCATGTTCAGCTTCCTGTCCGGCTTCGACTACATCTTCAAGGAGACATACGGTCTATCCGACGGACTGACGGGGTCGTGCTTCGCCTCCATCGCCGCGGGATCCAGCTTCTTCACGCTGTCGGCGCCGGGGCTCTTCCACCTCTCACGCGTGCACACGCACTACGTGCCCCAAGCGCGGATCACGCCCGAGTACCGGCTGTGGCCGGCGATCGTGACGGCGCCGCTGATGCCCGCCTCGCTGTTCTGGCTCGGCTGGACCAATTACGCCAGCGTGTCGGTGTGGTCGGGCCTCGCGGCCTGTTTCTGCTTCGGCGTCGTCGCCACCGCCCTCTACGTCGCCACCTACGAGTACATCGTCGACAGCTACACCAAACACAGCGCCGTCGCGCTCGCCAGCATCACCATGGCGCGTTACCTCGTCGCGGGCTCCATGGTCATCGCCGCCCGCCCCATGTACACGGGGATCGGGGTTCACTGGACCATGACCCTGCTCGGGTGCATTGGTCTGCTCCTCGCGCCGGCACCGCTGGTCTTTCGATGGTACGGGGAGAAGTTGCGGGCGAAGAGCGCCTACGCGGAATCATGATATGCTGTTTGTGTAGTAAATAGAATTTCTTGCTTTTCGTCTTTTTTTCCAATGATATTCTTTTATTCGTCATGATCTTTTTGGTTTTTTTTTTTTTTTTTTTTTTTTTTTTTTTTTTTGTGTGTGGATAAAATGGGTGGTCTTTTTTTTTGTGTGGGGTTTAGTGTATGTGGTCAGAATAGTGAGGATTTTTCTTTTCTCTCTCTTCTCACTTT